CTCCTGCATGGTTTCAACCACCCCCACCTCCACCGGCACCATCATCACAACCATCGTCTTCAGCTTCACGTAAGAAAGATGTGTACAAATGCACTATGTGTGGCAAGGCAAAGAAAACTGACACTAGGCACACACAGTTGGATGGAATATGGTACTGCCCATAGTCTGGGGAGACCCTAGCTGCATGGAAAGCACGAGTGTACAAGTGTCAAGAGTGCGGTCGAACTAAAACTAAAAAAACAGGCCACATTAGACACGAAAAATTCAGACTCCAGTGGTACTGTCCATCATCTGAACAGACCGTAGAAATTTGAAAACAAAATCTTGAAGGTAACAAATGGTGAAATAACTCATCATTGGAATCTCTAAACAACTTGCAACTTACAGAGTAAATAACATGGTCAGTTCGGGTGGTACAAATTTATGTGCCGAGGCCACATTAAGTACAGTAATTTTGAAAAATATGTTATGATACTGTTTCACTGGAGAAGTTTTTCAGTGTGTTATAGATTATGTGGATGGATTTAATGCATAGTATGTTTTTGGTTTACATCTGGAATGAGGTTGATGCTAACATGATGGGCCTAGAATGCACTGGTAGTGAGACTTGTGACTTTAACATGACTTATGCTGTATAGGCCTACTTTTACGCCATGATCATTTGTTTCTTTTATGTTAAGTGAATAATCACTGAGGAAATTGCATATGATGTGATATTATAAATCTACTATACCATCAAAATGCAACAACCCATCGTCAACTTTAAACTAAATATTAAAGCTATGATAATCATTTCTACTGTTGTACTGGTGAACTCTCTGCATCACGATTATTAATAAGGACAACATTTTATTAGTACATCTCATGCCGTTTTACATTTTTTTCAAATATAATTTTTCTTTTCAAACGAAGTGTATGGCCCAAATCTAATTATGGATTGTGTTTTGCTTTATTAAGAAAGTTTTGCGTCTTAGAAAAGCTGAGTAAGAATGAGTGTTTGAGTTTGATCCTTTTTGTGTAATTGTGATGTAGTGTTCACCCATAAAAACATATCCATGCTTGTGATCTGTTCGTAACTCTGTATGCACACCAATATAATCAATGATCAGTCAATCAGCCGCGTATATTCAGTATAAAAAATAATTGAGATTCACAACTTAAAAAAAAATTAAAATCAAGGTTAAACTCTCACGTTTACATCCATACATATGTGACCAGCCACCTTTGGTGGACTGATTGTTAAGTTTAGGTTTTTCTCTTTAAAGAGCTCCTCCCTTGTCTTAACTGTGCAATGGAATGCAGTGAGGTCTGGCAGCTTATGCCCCAGGGCAATACCCATAGCTGGCCAGGGCCTATACCCAAGACCACAGTGTAGATAGGGTCACTTTGCCACTCACTTTCCCACTGAGCACTGTTCCTTGAAGACCTGCAGATCCAGACACCAAACCAGTTTAGCATTCATACATGGCATCAATTGCCAATATACCAACCCCCCTTTTTTGTATGATTACTATTGTTTATGCAATAAATCAGCTTTAAGAACTATTGCTTATGCAATAAATCAGCTTAAAGAACTTGCACTGGTCACATGCGTCGTAGACAGGATTCAAGCTTCTTTTAAGGGGTTGGTTATTTGGCAAACCTGCAGGTGAATAACAGTGTGTGAGATCGTCACCAGCCCACACCATGGATGAATTGGAGGAGTGAGTGAAGGTGCTGACAAAGCAGTAAGATCAGCAAACAGGCCCCGACACAAAAACTAAAGTGGTAGTGGTCCCCAGAGAGCGAGGTGCGAAGCTGTCAGGGCGACCTCGTACTGATAAGGACCCTTAGGTCATCGAATGGGCAGAGGATATGAGGCGCATGACCAGTGACCTGACAGAAAAAGAAGGCATCCAGTTCATTCTAGACCACCTCAAGGGGGCAGCAAAGGACGAGGTGCGGCTCTGCCCTGCTGTTGACAGAGACACAGCAGACAAGATATTGAAGCAAGTTGTGAAGACCCTCTGCCCTCAAGATACCCCATCATCCTTCTGGGGGGAGTTCTATGCAAGAGTGCAGTGAGGAGGGGAGTCAGTCCAAGATTTCTCTCTGCAGCCGATGAAGCTCCTGCAATGGGTGGCTCTAGTTTCCCTGACCGATGGCATAAATGACCAGGATGTCGTCCTGTGTGAGCATTTTGCAGCTGGCTTGGCTGACCCTACACTGCGGAGGGAGGTTCAACGGGTCATACAGGAAAACCCCGGAGCATGGTGCCAGACAACAGGGAAGGCGAGATAGTGCCATGACAAAAGAGGAGGAAGATGTCTTCGCGTCCAAGTTCTCCAAGACTTGACCTGACACATACAGATCTGTCACCCGAAGCGTGTGGTTGGCCATCCTGAGTTCAGGAAGGTCGAAATGGAGGGACGTCAGGGAGGCATAAAGATGCCAGTTGCTATCGACAGAAACCTGATCACTAGGAAGTGGGGGCATGGGCCCCAACCAGAGGCCCCGGCTTCAGCTGCGGCAAGTCCGCCACATGTCGGCTACATGTAAGCTTACCGTGTCTTCCAAAGTTTTCAACTAATTCAACTTTCAACTAATGTATCACTATATCTGGGCTAACCATTCAAACAACTAATTGACGTGTTCTGTTTTCATGCAGATTGTACATGGTCCACGGTGAGGCGGCTGAGAGTCCGGATGCCAACCGTGTGTCAGAATGTCTGTGCCTCAGGCTTCTGAAAAGATTCCATCACATTCCCAACGGACCAACAGACAGCAGGGGAGGACGGCTCCCCCTTGTGCAATCAATAGTGGGGGCATATTAAAATGTTCAACAATTAATTAGGGACAGTTCATACGTACAGGAACACACAAATCTAAGTAGGAGAAAAGTATAGGGTTTAACAAATGATTCTCTACTGATCTGTTTTTCCTTTCCTGGTTTTGTTTAAGGTGACATAGTGGATGGTGTTCCCTGTCCGACTTCCATTCCGATGGCATCAAGCAGTCAAGAGCATTCCTTAAGTAAGTGTGGTTGTCACAATTTGAAAGTAGGAGAAAAGTATAGGGTTTAACAAATGAAGAGTTCATGCGCAAAAACCGACAAACGCCATTCGTTCTGAAAATAAACCATGACTACCATTATAAAGTCTGTGGCGCTCTCTATCTGATCATCAAATCTGTTTTGTTGCAAATGCCGACATGCCCTATGTAAAATGCATTGCAATTCCATGTTTGGTTTCAGAAACCGACATGCGCCAGTCTACATTTTTCGCAAAAGCCGACAATTCCATTCAGCCAATCAGCGCACCATAATTTAGTCAGGTGATCCATGATGGCGGCGCCCGTGTTCACTCTCACTTCGCGCTAAAATATCCGCATATTTCATCGAAAATTCGGCTATAATAATGGAGGACTTTGATGATATGGATGAGGCAGTGGTGCTTTCGCCAATTGGGCGTAAAAAGAGGAACAATTCACGCAATTCTGTGCGCTCCATTGCAAAAAAAATCGCGTCATAGTGGTGATGGAAAAATCGCTAGCATTTCGTGTGCACATAATGTACGTAACGTGTGCATGGCAACTTCCCTCTCCAATGAAGATCTAACCTATGCACATAATCAGCTTTACTCGACTGTAGACAAAGTTAAACAGGATGCCACCCTGCTTTCTCACATGGATATCAATAAATGTGTGCGGAGGCGACTCAAGGTAGATGATGTTGACAGGAGGAATGCCAGGGAAGTTTCAGTAAAGTACTTCACTTTGACTGTAAACAAGGAGAAAGTGCCATTGTGCAAGGCCTCATTCATGAGCATTTTCGGTAAGTATGTTATAAATCAGTAGCGCTTAAAACCCTCCGTCAGACTCCCAAATCTCGATACATTTCGATAGCGCATTAGCCAATCAGCGCCGTCATCTCTATAGAGAATTATCGAGAATTATAGAGAATTATCAACAATTGACCAATAGAATTATCGACAATTGACCAATGGAACGACAGGATTCTATCGAAATATTGCGTACAGGAGAAAGTTGCAGTTCGCTCGCTCGACTACTGAAAAGTGATTGATCTCGGGATTTTCCTACTCAAATCGACTCAAATTTTGTTCGGGTTTGACGGAAAAAGTCCTTTCTGTTCAAGTTCTGCATGTTCAGTGAGTACCATGTCATTATTAATGGGGAGCTGGGTAAAAGTCGAATCCCCCGGACCTTGCCGGATCCTCAATATTTTTACACTATTTCTCAATAAAACAATGAAATTATATTAAAAAACTGTCCGTTTTTTTACTAACAACTTGAATTTAATGACTGGTTTGTTTAATATTAATTCTTGTTTATTTATGATCACTTTTCTGTTGCTTTTGTTGTTTCAATGTGGAAATAAATGTTGAGTTGAATTGAATTCTTGAAGTGAATCCTAGGTGTGCCGCCCTAGGTGTGCCGGATCCTGGCGCTACGGTAGTAAAATGATAGGTTTGATTATTTTTAAAGATTTCTGCTGGGCTTTTTCTTTTCTCGCAGCACTGACAGACAGGTTTTGATTATAATTCCATTGTTCTCTCGATAAATAGTGTAATTTTGTTGAGGATCCGGCAAGGTCCGACAAGATTCGGGGGATGCGACTTTCACCCACACCCTTATTAATGGCAGAATTTGGGAGATTTCTGCTCCTATTTTTTTTTAAATGTCCCACATATTCAAAATTGTGTAAATTAGATTCTAATTATTATGTAATGTAAGTGAAAGTCAACATTCCTCATGCACAACGATGCCGATGGAATGCGATAAATATCTGCACTGATAAAACCACACTCCCCGGATAAAAAGTATGCAAAATTGAGTAGAAATAGGAGAAATCTGACAATTTAATCAATATATGAGTATTACAACTTGGCAACTAAGAGTAAGACGTAAGTTAGTTTAAGTAAAAATAGAATTGAGTGCATGGTCATGATGGATGATGTCTGAACTCTGTCTCTGATGTGATGAGCCAATAAATAATGAATCAAATTATTCTGCATCTAACGTTACAGGAAGTTCTATTAATGATTAATGTAAATTGATTACGCCTGTGTTTTTACTACAGACAATGATTCCAGTGTTCAAACGGCGGAAGGGAGACGGGTCCCTTTTGATATCGGATAGTGGGGAGGCGTTGGCAGTGAGGAGGGAACGGCGAGGAAAGGGCTATTATGTTCCTCCAAAGTCTCCTACTGTGGTAAGGGCAGATGCAGTGGGGAGAGTGCAGCATCTGGGAGGAGATGTTCGAAACTCAAAGCATCTTCTGGGCCAGTTCCAAATTCAGTTTGGACAGTTCCGGTTAGTAAATAATAATTTGTATAACCATAACCTCTCTACTGATGTTAATTAGAGACCTGATAATATTGTATGCATCACTCATCAGCCAAAATGACAATAGTGCAGTTACACTGACAGTAAAACATTTTTCATTTGCATATTCCGATGAATTCAATGTCCACCTTAACAACATATTACTCAAACTCAAAGTTCAGGGCATGGCTTGTAAAATGTTTTTATGGCTAGTGAGAAATTGGGGAAAATGAATACAGGAGTATGAAATATTGAATTGTCTTGGCTTTGAAAGTGGACTGATTTTGATTGTACAGTTATAAAACATTTAATATATCATATGTAGGCAGAGTATGTTCAATATAAATTTTAACTTTGACTGTGATGTAAATATGATGAATAAGCCAGAGTATTTTATTCCATATGCAGAAATGAAACCTTTCTGTGGCTGGCTGAAAATGCCCTTGGCTACATTGCACATCTGGTGGCCATTACAGAGAACGAGTCGGCTCACTCAGATTCAAAGAATAACTGGGTGAACAAGATGGCCCTGGTGAAGTATCTGCGGCTGTTCCCAGAGGGCAATGAGGCAATTTCTGTGAAAGCAGGAAAGAAAGGTAGGTCACTACCATTGCCCCTGCCCCTGCACCACAGGTCGTTCCAGCCTCCACCCATCCAATACGAACCCTCCCGGTAGATAACACCTCCCCTTCCTGCTCTTATACAGTCCCGAAGATTGTAGTACCAGCCTCCTGCCAGCCTCCCATGCACTACCAAACGGCTCGGTACCGTCGCATCAAGGCAGAGGAGGAAGCCGAAGGGAAAACACGACGCACGTACACCAAAACCAATCATGACAGGCAGTGTGAAAAATGTGGAGAGGTGATAGTGAAAGAAACGCACAAGAACTTGTTGGGGCCTACATGTTGTCCAACAACCTCAAATGAAACATTTGAAGAGTTCCGGCAAAGACGGTATGCTGAAGTAAAGAAAGACGGCAGCCTGCCGACCCATGAGGGACAGTAAGTTCTCTGGGACAGTGGCTATACAGTGCATCTTGTACAGCTTGTCTGTGTGGCACCCCTGAACAACTTGTGGGGGGTAATCTTTTAAGGCTACCATTTGTTGATAATTATTTATCAAAGAATGAAGGTCCAAAGTCCTTGTAAAAGCCGATGGGAAGATTATTATAATAAATGTTCTTTTATTCCAAGTGTTTACCACTATCTCCATTATGTCGATTTTTAATTTAACAATCTTGCTCAAAACTACACAATCAATAGAAGCTACTGTAGTTTAAAGGTAAAACAGTTCTTAATCTAAAAACAATTCTGGGTTCAAGTCCCAGCGGTGGCAAAATTGTGCACGTTTTGAGCTAAATTGTTATATTATTCAAGTATTCACCTATGATGAAACACTTACTTAAGTCACTTTATATCAACCAGACAGATTAAGATACCAGTACAGTGGAACCTCATTATAACGAGGTTGGATATAACAAAATCCTCTTATAAAGAGGTAAGTTTGCTGGTCCTAGCTCTTTATATTTCTTTGTTTTTTTACCCTGATATAATGAGAAACCTGATATAACAAGGTAATTTTCATGGTCCCAATGACCTCGTTATAAAGAAGTTTCAATGTACATGTATAATCTTTAGTGATGGTTGGTATATTGTTTTTAACATTGATAACTAGATGGAATTCGACCGCACGGAGTCAAAATATATATGCCTCTGCATCCCTATAATTACAGAGTTAAAGCCTTCCCCCCTATATCATGATATCACAAATTAGCAACTTTCATGCATATAATGGCTCCTGTGTTGTTTTTTTCGTTCCATCTTAATCTTAATGTTATCAATTTTTCTTTATAGCTTCTTTGAAAAATACGTCAGGAAAATTTGTTTCCTTTTAATATTAAGTTGTTTTAGATCTAGACTCTACATTACACAAAATGCTCTAGATCTATACTGACATTAGTGAATAAACTCTATTTGATGAGATCAGGTATTTCCACAAATATAATATTTTGATAAACAACAACCTATGTCAAAAAATAAAGTCGGAATGAAAACAGACAGGTAAAAGTTGAATAATAACCAAGGTAAATGTTGGGTCACTTTCATATATCTGCAATTCCCTTATAAATGTAATTTGTTGTTTTTTATGCTATTTCATGAAAGATAAACATCCATCAACGTTTTAACAAAGGAATAAAAACATTACAAATGGTTTTGATGAAGAAAAAAAATCAGATCATTCTACCGGGATTTGAACTCGTGCCCCCCACAATTTCCCGATGGCGCGAAATTTTTCCCCGCCAATTTTCGATTGCGCGAAAGAGTCTCATGTGCAAAACTTTTGAAGCAGAAGGATTTCCGTGAAGCTCTTGTCCTCCAGCTTACAGAGCCTTATCGACAACAGCAACAAATAGTTGTATTTTTACCTATCTGAATGATGACAAGACTGATACTTGTACACCACAATTGGCAAAGATACATTGTACATGTAAAACCAATGCGAATGATTTTCTCCATATTTTTTTCTCATTTGTTTACTTTATGTTCAGTAAGAACGTCACAAAATCTGTTGCCATGGCAACCAAATTCAATTTTTTTTTATTTCCTAAAGGGTTATAAATATAATTATCTGAAACTTATTACACTGGACCATACTTGTATCTCCACTAGATACCGTAGATATCCACAACCTTGTTGCCTGTTTTGTTTACATAGAAGAAAGATAAGCCGTTGCCATGGTTACCATGTTGAATTTTTTAATTTTTTGTATTTATATTCTGATAGACTATCCCTTGGGCTAAAAATAATTCCACAGGATCATATCTGTATCTCAATCAGGTAAAGCCCCATGTTTACATTTTTTAAATGCATTGCATTTATCCCATTTATCCTAAAACAATAGAATTAATCTGTGCACCAAAGGGTTAAGACAGCAAAATATCCTAAATTCTGGTAACTTTTTGGTGCTGAAATAATTGCCACATTGGGGTTTCTGTATGAAATTACATCACACTTTGCTCATGATTATGGACATTTCATTACCATGAAAACCAAAAAGGCACCAAAATACCCTTGAAAACAGCAAACCAAAAATTGAAAATAGGGTTTAATGGGATACAAAGCTGCATTTCCAAGGACTGCTTTTAAAAAAAATTACTTTGCATGAGCCATTAAACTTTTAAAGGCATATTAAGCCCCAATGTACAAAAGCAAAAACTAGCAGAAAGAAGATGTCCATGTGGAACAAAGAAACCTTCACAAATCCCTTTAATTGCCCAATGTGTGATGCACAAACATTCATCAGGTCAATTCTTGTTCTGTACAGTTTAACAAGCTGATTTTCATTATTCTATAGCTAGTTTAGAATCTCAGAATGAACATGTGTCATATTGTACAACATGGAACTGTGCAAGAAGTCCGTACATTCAAACTATTTACCGAACAAAGCTATTTACAAAGTAATTGCACGTTTCTCGTCAATATCCACAACATTGTGTACTGCAATTTAGGCTACATCTAAATTAAAGGGCTACGGTTCACAATTACACTTGCTTCTCTGTATCTATGTACACATGTTACTGCCAGATGATACAGATGCAGCATTGTACTCAGCGTGGGCATTGGGGAGTGGGGGAGTGTGACCTAGTGGTTAGCGTTTGTGACTCATGATCAGAGGGTCAGGGGTTCAAATCCAGCTGCTTGTCATATTTTGCGTCTTTGGGCAAGCCACTTCAATTCTACGTTACCTCTCTCCACCCAGCATTATAAATGGGTACCGATATCAGCTGGAGAGTAACCTGCGATGGACTGGCCTCCCATCAAGGGGGAATAGAAACATTCTCAGCCTTTTCATGCCAAGGAAACCGGAGATAAACGTTGGCCTGATGGTCCATATATTGGCTTGTGACAGACTATTCTTTTTAAAATTATACTATACAGTAAGATCAGTGCAGTCCTTGGGGAGGAAACTGCAAGTTCTACATCCGTTACGGATGTGCAGGTCCACTTGAAGTTACTTTATACACACATCGCATGTCCAAATGCATTTCTATGACAATGTGTCATGAACGCAATGACATCTAAATGACATAAGGACATCCAGTGACTCAGATCCCTGGTGGGTTGAAGCGCTAATCAAAGACCCAACTCTCACCCATGTCCATGCACTGGAACTTCTCCACCAGGTCGCCGTCTTGGGTTTCCTGAGCTCCTGAAATATGGCAGGATTTTGGGAGGGGTTTCAACATACATTTTGGCATGGGACGGACTCCCTGGCATAACCAGTAGATTTTTGATGGTGCTTTCGAAAACCCCAGTGGGAGGGACACACAGACACACCGTATGCATGGACTGGTACATGCCTTACATATAGACAAAGGGATCTGAAAGACGTAGGACAGACAGACAAAGGGAGAACAACAGATTCTTTGTTGTCCTCGAGCATTCATCTGTTGTTTAAAACGGTCCTCTATTGTACGTCTGTTTGCTTAGTCTATGGGAGAGTGTTATATGTGGGCCATTCTGTGGTCACTGTGTGACATAAAATTGGGCTTGTCTGATTTTTGAAGCTTTACCCCTTGTTAACTACATCTAACATATTACTTTCACTGATTCATCAGGTTAGTACTTTTTACTCCCTACCTCAGAATATAGTTTCTACTTAAGCAATTTTGTCAAAAATATTAGGAAGGGTCATCAAAGTTTGGTCACATGTGTGACTGACATCAGAAGTAAAAAAGGTTATCCAGCCCATAATGGAAATTCACGCTTTTCTCCAAAGTTCTAAGGACACACACACCCATACTTATTTTGGAGTAAGACTAGTCTTTTGTGATTTACAGAGTACAATAAACAATGTACACCCTCTGCTTTAGTTTTACTAAATGGGAATCATTCTGTGGTCATGTGTGTGACATTTTGATCAGTCACGTGTGTGAGACATTTTGTAATTAAAATTATACTAATTTATGTACGGAAAGACCAACTTATGAAACATCTTAAGAAATTTGCATCTGCACTTACTAGCAACACTTTAGTGAACAATAACCATTTGTATTACATCACATAAACAAATTTCCCCAAAAAAATTAATTTAGTTTCAATTTCTCAAGAATCGCCCGTTACAGCGACAAAGGGAAACACAATGCCTTGTCCTGGAGAGTTATGTAGTGCACGACTTTGTGTTCGTGCGCATTTGGCATCAAGTACATATAACTCGTTTTTAAACAGAATGTGTACAAATCCGTAGTGTCTTCACATGAGTGTCAAGCGTTGACAATAATATACACTCATATGTCACTCCCAGTTGTCTCCCTAAACTCTCCATTTGTAACCGTTGAGGGGGTACTTATGCACGGAGTCTATAAATGAAAATGGGCATATAGTCAAGCATCATTCTTTAAATAAGAAAAACAACCTTTGACCTACCTTGCTCTGCCTCCTGCTGCATTTCAGTCAGGGACGTCAGGGACTGTATGAATGGAACTAGAGCCTCGCTGGTCCGTTTCTTGACTTGCTTGAGGAACGGGTGGTTCAGCAGGGCAGAAGCACTGGGCCTGCCAAGCGAAGAGGTTCAGCTCAAGTGATTTTTGGAAACAAGGACAAGTTTGAGTAATGACTATGGTTAATTGGTCCAAGCGATGAATTTTTCTGAGGAACACATTTTGTGCAACTTTCTACTCCTCTTAAATGTATGACAACTATTTGACGTCCTTTTTTAGTTAACTGTATTGAAAAGTGCACTTCTTTGAACATTTAAATTGTTCATACTTTCCAGGACAACCGAGGGCGCTGTTGATGTGATATCATTTCAGGAAGACACTGTTCAGTTTAGGGGTTTTCTTTTCAATTTGTGAACCCAATGTTTGCTCATTGAAAACATTTGTGAGAAAGGTTTGCTCATCTGCTTACTTCCATGTACTGACACAACAACGAAACACCAAAGAAAAGAAAATGTACGACAGCAAAGTATCCAAATTCTAGCATTTTTTTGGTGCTAAAATAGCTGTAACATTGAGGTTTCTGCTCAGAATGACATCACAGTTTTTCTCATAAATGTGGAAATTCAAATTAGCATAAAAACAAACAAGGCACCAAAATACCCTTCAAATTAGCAAAACGAAAATTGCAAGTAAGGTTAAATGGGACACATAGGTGGATTTTCAAGGATTGCATTAAAAAAATATTACATTGCATGGGCCCTTGAACAATAGCTCAATTAACTTCACTCGAACAAAGGATGGTTGGCATACTCTATGATGACTATTTGGAACTGAGTCCAGGGCACGGTTATATTGCTGAATACCAATAGACCTTTATCATGCTTCCACCATTTCAGTCATGTTCCCTGTATCCAATAACAGTATTGAATGATAATGTTTTTTGTGCAAAAAGGAACCAGACTATTTTCCCTTCCAGCCTCGCTTTGGTTACATTGATTTGAATGGGAAAAAATCAAATGGTTGCAACATGATAATGGTCTAAAGCCATGTGCATCGTAAAGCGCAACAGAGAGGAAGGACCATGAAGTTTCACGATGACGTTTTGACCATCGTCAAAGCGTCAGGTGTAAGTTACGTGAGGTGTAAGTTACGTGAGGTGTAAGTTACGTGAGGTGTAAGTTACGTCATGAATCCACCACCCTAGTCGACTAATGGCCCTCATCTGAACTTGCTCTGCGGTTAAATCACGGTTCCCAAAAATCACGGTTCCCACTCAAACTTGGTCTGAGCTATCCCGGTTACACCATTCCAATCAATTAAGTTAGTTCACCAGAATAAGTTTGCAACAAAACATTTGTTTTTGTCCAGCAAAAGAAGGGTAAACCCTACCTGTCTGCCGGCTCTTGCTTCAGGCAATCCTCGATGAACTGGTGGAACTGTGGGGAGAAGAGCCTGGTGAAGGGGTTCTGAAGGGGGTCAGACTGCTTGCGATTCCCCGACGCCTCGCCGCTGTCCACTGCGGACCCTTCCTGGCCGACTTCGCTGAGCAGCGTGGAACTGTCCAGCAGTTTGGGAGTTGTGCCGTTGATCTTCTCCAAAAGCATCTGGATACAAGTGGTTTTTTCGGTTGGGGGGAGGGGGAGAAATACAGGAAGCGACTTCATGAGATTTGGATTAACAGGCTTGATCATGAAAGGTGTACATATCATACATGTACCTCACTCATGAATACCTACCTGTAAGACTGTTCGGCTCTACGCGGGATTTGTAAGAAATTAGCATATGGGCAATTCCAGCATAATGAAAGGAAGTGTAATGTCCGTGACACAGTCAATTAACCATGATATCTAATTTACCCTAACTCCCCAGGCTTTTGTTGCTAGGATGCCACCTCAATCCTGCAAATCCTCCAACTGCCTCCATGTAAAAATTGCATACAGCCTCAATCCTCCAAAATCGTGTGTTTTTTCTTGAATGTGGTCCTTGGAGGGGTGACCACTACCTCGATCCTGCAAAATCCTCTAGCAATCACTGTCAATATGTTCAGGCAGAGCCAGTGACATCCTGAAGCATGGCAGAGAATTTCAAGTATAATCTAGGCCTAAATTTATGCACGGCCGAGCATAAACAACACAAGGTCCAGCCTAAGACCTTGACACAGTGCTTCATCCGAAATCAGCCACACATTTTTGCCATATAGACTCATTCCTTCATTTTACAAAGAGGATTTTGGAGGATTTGGGAAGGTTAGGGTTAAAGCCACGTAGGATCATTTACAATTACCCGGAAAATTTAATTAAAAAATCCTTGCTCAAAGTGAAGATAGGACTGGTTATCAAATACCCTGTGAAAACCTGCTGCCTAAAATGGTATTGCTGAACAAAAACTTACACTGAATGTGGTTTCAAAATACAGTGCCCTCGGGCACACTTCTTTTTATATGTGTTACCAATGGAATCAGTTCCGAGATCAAAAAAGTTGTGCAACTCTATTTTCTAAGTATGTATCGTATCAAATGAGCTGAAAATTCAATAGATCTCTCTCATAGGATGCGATCTTTGTAGGAAAATGGCGTCTTTAACGCCATCAGGCGCGTATGCCCGCGGTGTGCAAAATGTTCTAGACACGCGAGCGTGTTGTTCGAAATTTCTTCGAAATACGGCGTAGCCCATGCACGTCACGCACATTTGACGCCCAAAATGCCGGTGCACGTGGCAATCTGCAGGAAGTGACGTCATTTGAGAGAGACCTATGGGTTAGTTGCTATGCAGCCTACTTAAGATTTTTAGCAATTTGGTTGTTCCCCCCCCCAAAAAAAAACTGCACAAAAAGTCAATTATCCTTTAATCACAAAATGCAACAAAAAAATGAGATGATTAGTGTGTGGTCCTAGCAGCAGTCCTTACCTTCATGGGGACCATATCACAGAATGGTACGCAGCCGTTGGCAAGCTCACAGGCCGTGATCCCAACACTGTAGATGTCTGACTTGGTGTCATAGCCAAGGAGATTCTAAGAAAGTTAAACACAAAAAAGTATGGCGACATTCAAACATGAAAGGCATAGGATAGATGTGACCTGCTCTGTCAAAAGCAGATGCTTCTGGGCAGAGGGTGAAATTAAGATAGGGCCAAAAAATGCTGTGGGGGTGATTTTTTTTTCGATTTTCAAATTTTGGCAAATTTGTAATCCTGAACATGTCTACATTATACTATAAAAGTTTGAAACCCTCTAAATACAGTATTTTTGATGATTTATTAAGGTATATCAGTTAAAGAAATTACTGTTTTGTGACGTTCGTAGCCATTTTCTCCGTTTTCTACTTTACGACACAATGAACTTCAAAAAAGCATAACTCTGCTCAGGAATGACCGGTTTGTTTCAAAAATTAAACCACCTATTAAAAGGAAAAAGAACATATTTTAACAATATGCAAAAATTCCATTTTTGACCTCATGCCCAGAAAAGTCTGATTTTGACAGAACAGGTCACAGATTAGAACCTAGTCGATTATTATGTCCTAATGTCGATTATTAACCCTTACTCTCTGAGGGTAGTTTACTGCATGTCAGTTGGTTATGCCAATGCCCTCCAGCTGCAGTTTATTGGCAGATAGTTTGTCTTAACAGTGAAGTCTCCAATTGGCAGGAGTTGGAGGCCCTGGAGGGTGCCTGATACTGACCAGCTGGGGGCACTCACTTTGTTATCAGAGGACTCTCATTGTTCTCTGTGGCATGTATTGGAGTGCCTGTCCAGTTACCCTTGAAATGACATGGCAGATATTGGAGGGCCATGCAAAAAACATAGGAGATTTTCTTGAGGCACATATTGGCATGCGTTGGAGGGTCTAGTAGGGTAAGGGTTAAAGAAAACTGATGATTTGCATAAATTTGTCCTTCAGATTCCTTACATGGAAATCAATGTTGTGGTTGAGTCCATTACAAGTCCATCACAAATCGATTACGAGTCAGGTCACAAGTAAACCACAAGCCTTTCACAAGACCAGAACCAAGTAACGATAGATGTACATTGACAAAGAAATGCTTTAGTCAAAGTTCATTTGAATAGTCTGCGACTTGAGACTATATTACTTGTGATGGACCTGTGAGGCAACTGTGAGCACTTGTAAGGACTTGATGTTTTGTGATTACTTACGATTACTTGTTAGGACTTGTGAGAACTGGTGAGGACTTGTAAGGACTTGTAGGGCCTTGAAAGGAACTTGTGAGGACTAGTAGGGATTTGTGAGGTCTTGTGTAGACTTGTTAGAACTGGCGAGGACTTGTAAGGACTTGTAGGGTCTTGTGAGGACTAGTAAGGATTTATGATGGACTTGTGAGGACCAGTGAGGACTTGTGAGGACTTGTAGGGACTTGTGAGGACTAGTAAGGACTTGTGATGGACTTGTGAAGGAGTTCTGAGGACTTCTGAGGACTTGGGATGGACATGTGATGGACTTGTAATGGACCTGTGATTGACTTGTGATTACTTATGAGGACTTGTGAGGACTTGTGAGAACTGGCGAGGACTTGTAAGGACTTGTAGGGCCTTGTAGGGACTTGTGAGGACAAGTAAGGATTTATGATGGACTTGTGAGGACCAGTGAGGACTTGTGAGGACTTGTAGGGACTTGTGAGAACTAGTAAGGATTTATGATGGACTTGTGAGGACCAATGAGGACTTATGAGGACTTATGAGGACTTGTAGGGACTTGTGAGGACTAGTAAGGACTTGTGATGGACTTGAGGACTTGTGAAGGAGTTCTGAGGACTTCTGGAACATGTGATGGACATGTGATGGACTTGTGATGGACTTGTGATGGACCTGTGATTGACATGTGATTACTTATGATCACTTGTGAGGACTTGTGAGAACTGGGGAGGACTTGTAAGGACTTGTAAGGCCTTGTAGGGACTTGTGAGGACTAGTAAGGATTTATGATGGACTTGTAAGGACCAGTGAGGACTTGTGAGGACTTGTAGGGACTTGTGAGGACTAGTAAGGATTTGTGATGGACGTGTAAGGACTAGTAAGTATTTGTGAGGGACTTGTGAGAACTAGTGAGGACTTGTGATGGACTTGTGAGGACTTGTGAAGGAGTTCTGAGGACTTCTGAGGACTTGTGATGGACATGTGATGGACTTGTGATGGACTTGTGATGGACTTGTGATGGACTTGTGAGGACTTGTGATAGACTTGTGAGGACTTGTGAGGACTTGTGATGGACTTCTGAGGACTTGTGATAGACTTGTGAGGACTTGTGTGGATCTGTGAGGACTTTTGAGGACTTTTGATGAACTTCTGTCACCTGTTCCAAGACTTCCGGTGCCAGCCAGGGTAGACTCTTGACGGCTTGGGTAGGGAACTTGTGCACCGCCCTCAGCCACTTGCCATCCTCCACCATACTGACGGCTGTCCGCAGTCCAGCTAATGTCACTTTGCCGGTCTTGGACAGGAGGATGTGGCTTGCATTGACGCTCCTGCGAAAATAAAGAAACAAAACAGACCATATTATAAAGTCCCTCAGTGTGCAGGAAAGGAGATAAGGAAAGCACTTATGTTGGTTATCAGATGAAAACATTGTGCATGATGCCAGTCCCACAATATGGCGTTCGAAACGTTCAGAATATTGTGTGTTTGGCATGTTTGGTGTTGCATACCATGAACTTAATGAATTCTTTGTATTTATTCATATAGGGCCTATTGTTAATAGTCTGCACGTGTGAGAGGCATTACTCTTCTGATGTTTGCCACTCTGTTAAACCCTCACAACTACTTATTTGTTTCAACTTTCATTTTGGATACGTACATTTAAAGCTACAGTCCATCATTTGCAGCTATCCAAAAAGGAACTTACGTAATTATCGCTGAAAAGCAGACTTGGTTAAAAAATAGTAATGGGACTAAACTCCCTGTGATATTGTTCTTTCTGGCAAGCTGTCATTTTGAAGACATCAATGAAAGAAGGCCATTTCCAACGAAGCGTCTAAAGATGCATTCTTGAAATTTCTGTTAGTAGTTCATTTTTAATTTGGCGAAGCGCACACGAGCGTTGACATGACGCACACTCATGCGCGGTTGCTATAATACTTCGGTTCGGTACGCAACATCGCGAAGCTGCAATCGGCTCAGTGACAACGTGTCTCGGACGCTGAATTCAAAACACGACTCAGCAACTTTTGATTTGAAATTGAGATCCTAGAATATTGTTTTCTTGGAATATACAGCATTCACTGAGCTGACACTTCATCAGGTTAGTTGTACAGCACAAAGGATGGACGCTACCATTAAATAAGTAAAGTTAATGTTAGATTTTCAATTACATGTACAATAATTCCATCTAATGTCTAGGTTCGGAATCCAAAACAGATTTTTTATATTGCGATACCGCATCGCAGCATCTCACATTGCCATTTATTTGAAATTTATGTTCTCATTTATCTTCAGGCAAACATGCATCCTCAATCCTGATTGGTCGATCCATGGCAAGAAACTGTGATATATTATCCCATATACCACTGTCCTACCGCACTCCGCGTATTGCGCTATTCCAAGATGCGTGCACGCACGTGTAATAGAAAAACCTCTGAAAAGTTCGTGCACAGCGTATGTGTTCCATCTATACTATGCGTCAAAGTGCTTGATAAATTTGTTATCCCACTCGCGCTCGTGGAACATGGAAAATGTAGTGCATCTGCGTCCCACATACTACTCGGTCTGCGGGACACAGACGCACTACGTTATTCCGCGTTCTACTTGTGCTCGTGGGATAACTAATAGCATTTGTCCTGCCCTGACCTGTGCACATAGCCCATCCGGTGTATGTAGTCCAGCGCCATCAGTATGTCTCTGATGATGTACGCGATGGCCATCTCTGGCATGCCATCAGGGAACATGTTGTCAAGGATTTCTCTTGCTGAGCCTTTGTGAAAACACAGAAAAGAGAACTTTTGGAAAAAATTGAAACTAGTAGTTAGAGGTCCTCATTTCATTCTTTGATAATCCTTTCCACAAATATGACTCAATCAACAAAATGAGTCTGAGGTTGCCAGTGCTGTTTGTGTGTTACAGGCCCTTAACCAGTTCCCGCAGGGATTATTTTGACAAGAACGAACGAGGCCCAGGATTACTTTTCACTCGACCTCAAGCCAGGTGGAATGAAGCCATCACCCTCGGGCAGCACACTCATATTTTCGGCCTAGCTTGCTGCGAGCGGGTCGCTGACATACTTTCCAGCCTTTTCACAATAAGCTAGATAACAAATTTATATAGATTGCAACCTAATTCATTTGTAAACTGGGTACAAGTTAAAATAAGGGATTAAAATGAATGTAACTATTTTTTTTTTTGTAACTGATGATATTTACCGAGGTCCATGAGTGGCATGACGACCCATAACTCGTTATCGGTGATGAAGGCCTGGTTGAATGCGAGGATGTTCTCATGTTGCATCAGACGCATCAAATAGAACTCATGCTACAGACAAAAAAAAAGAAAAGGTTTCTTAACCCTAACCCCCTAGAGTGATTTACTAGGAACCTTTCTCACTCAGGCAAATTCCAACACCATGTGGTAAACTGTGCACAAAACTGTTGGACTCTGATTAAAGTTCTCTCCCAAAGACGGCCATCTCTGTAGGAGAACTGCAACTGCATATTTTATGCAATCAAGCATGCATTGCGCAGTATTGAAAATGTTCCAAAAACGCGTGCTTGTTGCTCAAAATGTGTTCGAAATACGACCAGCCGACGTCATTTGAGAGAGACCTACATGTATTGGTGGTATGCCTAACCCCATGTAAAGCATAATCAGTTTACTAGTGCAGAACTCATTTGAAAAAAAAAAGTTCTCATACATCAGTGTTGTACACTTTCCATCACAAGTCCGATCACAATAAAGAGCAAACAATTTCACATGCCTGGTCACAATTCAAGGCCGCTTCATATTCACGTGAGTGGGAAGCAAATTTACATAATGAAAAATAGTCACTGTGAAATAGCTGTAACACTGAGGTTTCTGCCTAAAATGACATCACACTTTTGCTTATGAAGATGGAAATTCGCATTAGCATAATAACCCCAAAAAGCACCAAAATACCCTTGAAAATGGCAAAATGAAAATTGACAATAAAGTTAAATGGGACACAAAGGTGCATTTTTGTGAATTGCATTACAAAAAATTCATTACATTGTCCCTTTAAATAGTGGCTTGACTTTGAACTAGATAACTATAGATGACTGTGATGAAGACTTGTTGTGCGTTGTGATGGACGAAACTACATCACTGATAAAGATCTCAAGAATTATTATTCACTGTCTATCCTTACAACAGTACTCTGTTAAACAATGAAAATAAGCCTACAAAGCTCAAAAGCCCAGTGGTCATTATATGGAATGTATTTTGTCGTCCGACTCTGCGGACTGTCAATATTGAAGCCTGCCCTCACTTCTATGGTCAATTGAATTAACCATACCCTTGCTAGATGCAACAGTGGAAAAAAGCTGTTGCATACTGTTGCATTTAGCAGTCAACTCAAGTCCCTATTTTCGTTGCATCTTGTATTAACTGCTCATAGTGCAAAGGCATAATTATAGAACAAAATCCACTGCTGCATTTGGTTTCATTGTTAGCAGCTTAACGCCATATAGTGCCAAGGCTGGTGTGTACTGAGGTCACAGCAAAATGCAACAGAAAATTTGTTGCATGTGGTTTCATTGTTAGCAGCTTAACGCCATATAGTGCCAAGGCTGGTGTGTACCGAGTTCACTGCACAACATAACAGAAAATTTGTTGCATTTTGTTGCACTTAGCATGGTTCTCATTTCAACTGTGTTACATTTTGTTGCATTTAGCATGGCTCTCATTTCAACTGTGTTACATTTTGTTGCATTTAGCATGGTTCTCATTCCAACTGTGTTACATTTTGTTGCATTTAGCATGGTTCTCATTCCAACTGTGTTACATTTTGTTGCATTTAGCATGGTTCTCATTTCAACTGTGTTACATTTTGTTGCATTTAGCATGGTTCTCATTCCAACTGTGTTACATTTTGTTGCATTTAGCAGGTTAGCAGGAAAAAAACCCTGATAAGGTTAGTGTTTACCTGCAGCACTGCGAAGCCCTCATGGACAGCATCTAGGTTCGTTCTACTGACGGCCAGGAAGGACTGCGATGGCAGGTACTTGGCCAGGTACACTGTAGCCGTCCCATCATAGGCCTGGCCTGCAGACGGGAAACAAGGCGCAGCCCAACAGTGGTTAAAGGGAAAATACAACATTTGCAAACATCAAAAAATAAAACTACCAAATCATTTTGAAATACCTTGCTGGACTGTTAGTGAATGACAGTGTAAAGCATCCTGTAAAATCATGGCACCTGGTATACTGTCATTTTCAAGAAAAGTGGTATTTTTGTGTCAATTTCCAACGCTGGTCGGCCGACCAGCGTTGGAAAACACTGGCTTTTTTTCAAATACTGGCCCCAATTGACCATCGCACTTGTTTGCAATCGATTACACACCTATGAACGAGTACAAGCCAGCTAGACTGGTTCTCTGACCTTACAATTCCCCATTGTATGTAAACTGCTCTGTTTCTTCTTATATGGAGTCAGGGAACCAGACTACAGGAAAATGATTGTTTTTCTTGGTTTTTATAGCATTTTCGAACCCAAAACCTCAAAAAAGTCAGTGTAACTATATTTGCTATGTATTTCCAACCCCCCAATTCCATCCATTTCTGAAAATTACAGCAAAAGCAAATGATGTATATTCCCTTTAAAGGACAGATTTTGGAGAGATATTTTAAATAAGAAAAAGGCGAGTTTGGTATTCCAACTGCAAGTGTGCTGGCCAAGATTTGACAGTTATTTTCTTCACGGATTTGCAGTATACGTGCATGATCATAAAGGGCAACTATGAATTATATGAAAAGTTTATGTTCTACAGTACATGTAGAACTTTACAAAATACAGAAAAGTTGGGTTTTCTGAAATTCTATAGTACTTTTATGCTGTGTAAAAACTTTACTTTCATTATAAATTATACTGTTTATTGCATAGATTATTGCATAAGTGCGTTATCATTGTCACTATGGACCTGCGTACATTTATTTACTTTGTTTATACCAACCTAATGCTTTTTATTATGTATGGGCGACTGTGCCATAATCAAAAAGAATATGGACCACTTTTATGAGAGGTTGAATTCCAATTGCTTAGCTTTGTCAGTGGCATTGTCTTCACAAAAATACTGAATAACCTTAGTGATAGTCAGTCGTTGCAAAGACGGTTACACCTCTATGTTCTGACACCCCTATGGGAAAGAATGTTGCAACCTGACGCTACTTCCGCAGTTGTGTACAAAGTCTATAGAGAGTCATGAAAATGTTTTAAGTATTTCTTAACAAAAGTGGAAATGTTTCTCAGTCCCAGATTCATGTCTTATCATCATTTTTACAATGACTGACCTTCATTGAGATGATATACGAAGAAAAAAGCAGCATTGGGTTGCAACATTCTTTCCCCTCCCCCCCCCCCCCCCCCCAATGTTCCAACACCCCTATGTTCGACTGCACATATTCCTATTCCTAACCCTAACCCTAAGTAACAATCTTATGTGCAGGTTGTCAGAACATAGGGGTGTCAAAACATAGAGCAGTCACTGTTAAGATGCCCAAATACACATGGCTTAGAGACCAAGTAACATTGCAAAAGTTGTTCAAAAAATGTTGAACATTTGAACAATTTTACAACTTCCACAAACTGCGTACGCAACCTGCAAAGTGATATCTGGAAATTGTATTCTTCCAAAGTTACAAACAAGAAAATTCGAAGAAACATTACCATCGATCTTATGTACTTACCTATCGCTTTCAGCAGTTGGTACTGCTTAGGGTCAAGCTCGTAGTCAAGGGTGGCCATCATGGTGGTTCCAGCTCACAAGTTACATCTCTATGAAGAATAAACGCTGTTTAGCAATATCTGCAAATTTTCATTAGTAAAGTAAACATTCAAGAATAGCAAACAAATTTTGAATACTTTTTTGTTTATCCAATGCTTGATAAGATTGAAATAATGGCCATTGTGAAGTTAAGGGAATATACATCATTTGCTTTTGCTGTAATTTTCAGAAATGGAAGGAATTTGGGGGTTGGAAATATATAGCAAATATAGTTACATGTACACTGACTTTTTTGAGGTTTTGGGTTTGAAAATGCTATAAAAACCAAGAAAAACGATCATTTTCCTGTAGTCTGGTTCCCTGACTCCATATAAGAAGAAACAGAGCAGTTTACATACATTGGGGAATTGTAAGGTCAGGGAACCAGTCTAGCTGGCTTGTACCCGTTCATAGGTGTGTAATCGATTGCAAACAAGTGCGATGGTCTATTGGGGCCAGTATTTGAAAAAAGCCCAGTTTTTTCCAACGCTGGTCAGCCGACCAGCGTTGGAAATTGATACAAAAATACCCCTTTTCTTGAAAATGACAGTATACCAGGTGCCATGATTTTACAGGATGCTTTACACTGTCATTCACCAACAGTCTAGCAAGGTATTTCAAAATGATTTGGTAGTTTTATTTTTTGATGTTTGCAAATGTTGTATTTTCCCTTTAACAGGGCCCTTATTTTGGGAAAGAATTCCATACCTGGACGTCACTTGACACCCTGTGCACAAACCCTATGAGACTTGTCTGAAAAATTCTAAGTGTTTTCTCAGTAAATGCTTTAATATTTTCCCTGCTAAATTTGACTTTTTGGATTTTTTTTAAGTTATCGCTTTCCGATGGTTGATAGGTTATTGCAGGGAAAAATAAGTGATGGCCATATATGGCTAGTTATTTATATGGAATTCTTTAATCTTTTCCTCTTTTGTTTCAGGCCTTAGACATGTTAGTTTTTATTATTTCAGAATGACTTTTAGGCTTATAATTATTATCAACACTTAAGCTAGCTTGAGTAACTCCAGCTCCAGCTCAGTCTAAATGGCTATCAGCAAAGCTGGAGTTACTCTAGACCCGTGAACGTGGCTTGTATTTGTAAACTACGCCACGCTGTTGTGTATTTTCGAACCTGGCGAACGTGTCCCTCTGACTCCCTCCGTTACACACACTGGACGTTATTTTGCCCATGTAATAAGTACTCACATATGAAGCTGTCTTGAATTCTATTTGTACGTCAAAACTTGCATTTGACGAAAATTGAGGAAAATTCTGGCCCCGGTTCATGAAGTCCGTCCGCTACTGCTAGCTGCCATTTTCTCCCAACTGACACATGCGCATTGCGTTTTATTTTCGTATGATTCGACGGCTGTTTACTGTCGCAGCTAAAACAGACATCGTTTTAGACAAGTTTCAAGTCCTTTCCTCTCTCACCGCACCGCACGCGGTCGCACGTGCGCCCGCGTGTGTGTGCGCACACGTACTGTACACGAGATGAGCCGAGCAGCCAATCATCTGCGGGTTTTTTTGGGGGGGGTTGCGACATGAAACAGCCGTCAATCTGTCCAAGAGACTCGGACGCGTCCGGGGTTATTTGTCAGGGTCAGGTTAAAATCTAATTTCTACACGTTCGTATGGGTCTTTACTGATGGGCAAATTTCGTCGAAATTACACAGCCTAAACAATCGGACGGGCAAATTTAGATTTCTAGGTGAGTACTCAACACCCATACGGAATTATGTATGTCGGATCGATTTCGCCAGGTTCGAAATGACACAAGAACGTGGCGTTGTATACAACGCCACGTTCACGGGTCTAGAGTTACTCAAGCTATATTTAAGCAATCTTCTTTTAATTTTCATTACCGTATTGTTTGTAATTCTGATCATTAGGTAGACAATACAGCAAGGATGGGTAGACCACAAGCAAATTTTGAAACCCCCCCCCCTCCCCACGGCCACGTCCATGGCCTCAGCTCCCCCCCCCCCCCCCCAAAAGAGACAACCAAATCACCTTGGCCAGTAACTCACAATTGTTACTTTGCAATCATCACCGCATACTTATTCTAGGTAATGACACCAAGTTGACTAAGGTCCGAGTTGAACTGTGACCGAACTGACTTCGTTTGTCCTCGGACTGCCCCCCCCCCCATGCCCCCGGCCCCGACATTCATTGTGATGACATTCTGTGTTTCCAGTTTCAGTCACACAAGCTGGTCTACCACGCCCACAGACGATCTAATTAATCTCTAACTTAAACATTCTTCCGATGAAGAATTTCAAAAGCGAAAATAAGCTCTTACTGTTGATCAAGATCATTTATTTCAGACTCCAAAACCAGCGACGAGATAGCCCGCTTCTCACAATTCTGTGCCACTAAATTGTAAACAGTGCTGTACCTAGACGTCCAAAGGCACATGCTACGGTAGTATTGGCCGTCAGTTTGGGTACCAGATCTTTTTTGGTCCCAAAGTTTGTGAAGAGCGCCCTCTACGATGAATATAAGCATGATTCCCTTGCTCTCTTGCAAAGATTTAAAATTTAAAAAATATTTATATAAATGAATAAATGCCACTGAGAGAGTGGTACTCGAGGGGGAGGGAGAGAAACAATGATAATGTGACAGTAAAAGAACCCAAATTGAGGGGAAAATAAAAATGCACAAAAATAAAATGCATGAAAATATTTGCCATAATCTACAGTAAATCTTTATATTTTGCCCATTGCCGAAGTAGCAAAATACAATGCACTCCTTAAACTGCACATTGCAATTCTTTTTAAAAATAAAATTTCGAACCCCCCACGTAGGCCATCAGCCTGGGGGTTTGGTCAGTATCAAATCAGGGCACAAATGATGATTATAGTGCGCATGCGCAAGGTATACCGCCCCTAGAGTGGTACATGTAACAAGCATTTTGATGGCCATTTTGAAAAAAAAGGGTGATAACACCCAAAAAGCTGCCACCGCTGCAATGCTATCACATATTTTCCAATTCTGGAGGTGTATGCCTTGCCGAAAATCGCTATGACGATTATTCCCCTCATTTGATACCGGTGGCCAAAATGGACCGAGGCTGATGGCCTAACGAATCTAGAAAATCCCACTCTGAATTATCATAGCTGCCTTGATGACAATGCACACCCAAAAATTGATAAACATATCTGAAAGTGCTGCAATGATTTTGAATCCTTTTTTTTTTTTTAAAGAATTAGGAATACAAGAAAAAGCTTGGTGACAAAATTACATTTCAACACAAAGTCACAAACCACTATTTGTAGTGACACACAAGGCTTCATAATTAAAACACACTTTATTCAATTTAAGTGTTTACAGTGTCAAGAACTGGGCAACAGTCATGACGGTTACTTCTAGTGTACACATTGGTGATGCAAATCTTTCTTATTGCTAGTGTACAAACGTAAGGTGCTAAAGATAGATGACCATGCACACTGCAATAATATAAACTAAAGGACAAACAAAACATACTTGAAACAATTCAGGGATTTAACAAAACTCGACAAAAGTGAACTCTTGTTAATGAAGGTCTAAAGCATGGGCTACTTTTGCAGTCAATGCAATTGAATGGAATTCCTTTCTTCTCTTTGTCTTGAATACAAAAAAGGTCTGAAAGTGTGATATTGTTTACAAGTAAAGATGCTGTTTTCTGAGTTTTTTTCCCCACAGAACTGCAAACATCTGCTGAGAATAACCATAAAAAGGAAATCACCCGTTTCACAAAAAAGGAAACTCCAATTTAAATTGTTGTGACGAATGTGCTATGAAAGTATTCCCTGTGTAGACTATGGAGAGCAAAATCGTTTTTTACCAGGAACAACAAACGTGTCAAATAGTGCATCAGTCAAACCACAAAATTGAATCACGGGGACAGATATAGTCCTTCAATCATGGCAGTCCCCAGAACAGAAAAATTGCGTATTTCTTCCGTTGCACACATGTACAGGCTGATTCATATTGGCGCGATAGCGAACACGAATTTGTGACGTCAGGGCAAATTCGCAAAAGTTGAACACATTTTAACTTGGGCGAATTTTGCAGCGATTGCTTTGTGACGTCAAATTTGCATCGCATTCGCATGAAGCATGAACAGGCCTTAAAGCTTGTTCCTTGCGAAATATACCATGTGGAAAAACACCATGCTTAGATTTATACAGTCGAGTCTCGTTAATACAAACTCGTTCGGACCTAGCCAAATTGTTTGTTATATCAGAAATTTGTATTAAGAGTCAGTCCTATTCCTTGTGCACATACATGCACAGTCGGGACTAAGGCTTTATGTTTGTTATAACCAGAATTTTGTATTAACAGAGTTTGTACTAACGAGATTTGACTGTACATGAAATTTTACTAGCAGCTGACCAACTCAATCACTCCCTATTAAATTAAAATCTTTGTATCGTAGAGCATACCCATGCATGCCGTTCAATTTGGTTGTTGTACAAATCGAGCTTCTGCAGTGAACGAGGTGCACACATGTCCAGTTACATGTACCTGAAAGAATTTCATCCTGTACATTTTAGAATCTTTGCAGTACATGAATAATTACACTCTGAATGTAGCAACAAGTTCAACCCTACCACACCCATCTTAGAACCTACAAGATCCAAGAGCATGCAGAGTCTGTTGAAATCTGTGGTTGATTTATGCCTCAAATACAGGTCACTTGTAAGTTTCTGCAGATTCCCTGTTGTTAGGTCTGTTGGAATCAACATGGTGTGGAGAAAATAGCTAAAGCCAGTCAGGGCAAATTCATAAGAAATCATTGTAAATGTACATTTTCTGTTATTTTTTTCCCCTACACTTTCATCCCGTTGTATTACTCCAGCTATCAGTAAACACTAAAACAAAAACTCCATACAGTCTTTTCAATAATAATTCACGAGGCTTTCGGTAACTCGTGTTGCTACAACGGACGGGTTTTCATCTATTCCTCGCCTTCGTATCCCTCCGGTAGCGCGTTGCTCTCGGGGTTGTGGAACAATGAGTGGTTACCATCTCCCCAGAAGAACGGCTTGTTGCGGATGCGCAGGTGCGGGTAGGCCACGAATTCGTCCCGGTGATGGTGGGCCTTGTGTTCCATCTCCCCCTTGTAGGCGTTGACCATGCAGAAAGCCACGCCGGGAATCGCTACCAGGAACGTCAGCATCTTCCAGGTCTTGGTGGAGCCGTGGGAGTCTGGGGCGGTGGCCGACGCTGAGGTCTCTGCCCTTCGCAGTAGCGTCGTCGAGAACTGTCGACGGACAACTCTCAGCAGATTGGATGCCATTGTTTTTGTGCCTGCAATGTGGACAGAAAATAAGATATGTAATTAGGACAATCCAAATGTCAAGGGTTTGTGTGGGATGTGCGAAGAGGTGTGGGAACAATCAAGGCGGCGACATGACTGATACTGTGATAAAAAACCTACAAGGTTGGAGCTTGCAGACTTTAATGTAACGCATTATGGTTATCAACAAGCTATTAATTTGAAATTTTAATTCACAGCCCTGTTCTTTTGCTGATCAAAAATATTAAAATCCATATTTTACTGCCCTTGAAGTGGCATTTTTGTTGGGAAAAAAAATTGCCCTATGTGGAGATGTACAATTATTCGATTGGGAAAGATCTTTTCCAAAACAAAAATAAGGCAAGGTTGATCACGTTGATAAGAATGATGAAAATCATTGTGGTAAAAATAATAAAGAATAAATGAATGAAATACTGAAATAGGGCCCAATTTTTTAAATACTTTTTTTTACAGAAATGTCATCCCAAAACAGCCTAGGCCCTACAATAATGCAATTCAATACTGTGTATTAAAAGTTATGTATTTAAAATTAAATTGACATGCTATTAAAAACAAAACTAGAAAAAAGCGTGATCGTGTCGTTATGGGCCCCCCTTTAGTTTCGATCAAATTAGAGTCAAGGGTGTTTTTTATCATTCAAAAAAGACCTAAAGCAGACTTCTCTCAGATTAGATTAGATTAGATTCTAATGACACCTTTTTTTGTGATTTTGAACAGTTTCTTCAGGTAGAAGTCACGATTTTTGTACGCGGTTTACGGTTTGTTTCGTGCCATTCAGTGCGATTCAGAGTGGCTTGCGCGTTCATGGTACATCACGGTGATTGACACAGGGGTGTGAGTGACCACTGCTAAAAATAGCTGAAAACAGCTGAAAAAGGTGTAAAAAAGCTGAGCTTTGGAAATCTCCTATACTTTTGTACACTGCAAGTGAAGGAAAAAAAACCGAAATCCAAAACAAAAACAGCTGAAATCAGCCTTAAAAGCTGAAATTTCACACCCCTGTTGACATCATCTGAAATTTTTCATGTTGCGTTTTGTCGTTGTCGTCCCCATTTTAACCCCACAAGAAAATTCAAAACACTGCCCTCTATCTATGACATACCTGCATGTTCTTGATGTCGCCAACTAGTTTGGTAAGTCAAATAAAATAAAAGTGGATTTTGTTCTAAAGACCGGGACCCCCCGTAACTACACGATAGCCCAAAAAACTTGAAAGCAAGTTTAGAGATCCATGTCCGGAAACCGGGCAAGAAGTTGCAGCAGTGCAGTCCAACGATTGTTTGAGCCTGAACAAACAAAACAAATTGTCATTTTACCCCGAAATAACACAGGAAAACAATGTATAGTTACCTGTTAGATTAATATCAACTTAAATCGATGAAGAAATAAACATCCGACGTGAATTGAGAGGCCGGCGTAAATTTTGAGAGAACGATCCTACGTGCAGAAATCATTCGACGACCAACTGGTAAACACAAAGTGCATGTTGGAAAATCACACGGATCCGCCGTACAGAGTACCAGCGCAGTAGACTAGCCTCTTTACAAGTTGTTGCCAATGGGCTCCGTGCACAAGTACCCCATCAACGGTAACGAAGGGAGAGTTTAAGTTGTTTATAATTTAAAAAAATCAATCTGGAGAGCTTATTTTTTTTCCTTTTTAATATTTTTCAATATTTAACAAAGTTTTCAGACAATAACACACACAGGATTGTTAGGAAATAAATGAAGGGGTTTGTATGTTTCATAAAGCTAAAATGTTGAAACCAACTTAATTAACAGGGATTCCGGGGTTTTTTTGTTTTGTTTTTTAAAGTTGTACCATGTTAAACTTTTATATTTTAATATTTTCTAGTTGAGAAGGGGGCAATAGCGTTGGGGTTGGTATTGTCTGTAAAATATTTTGGAGATATTTTAAAACAATTTCAACAAATTTGGGATGTTGAGGTATCACAAGACATACTTTAGATCCGTGGTGATTTTATATCATGGTTACCACAAAAAAAATGTACAATTTAAAACATACATAACATACAGAGGAAGAACTGTTAAGATTCGAAAAAGGAACCTGCAAAATTGTATTCATTTAAACTTCGTTATGTTAATGCTGACAGGCAATCGTTCAAACAACTGGTACTATAAAAAAATTAACAAATTCATTAAACAGGACTGAATATTTTTTATGCAATTTAGATCTTCATGTGGAATCTGTTTTGTGGCTTATAATATTCCAGTCTCCAGTTAAAAAAAAATTCAGTGAAGGTGGCTTTTAGAAAATCTGGAACATGCCAGCAAAGATTAATTGTTCCTGCATATACCAGGGACGAGTTACAAATAATTACATTCTTGTGGGGTAGGCTGGTTCCCACCCCACAATCAGCATCGATACTGTATGGACCGTGAACCGGTCTGCTTGTAAGGTGACACTGTTTGTGCCCAAAATAAAAAAAAGATGCCCCAAAAGAGGTTTTTGAGTTAATGTAGAACAGACATATTATACTACAAAAAAAACCCCAATTTGTTGATTATTGTTGTTGGGTTATCAATTTAAAAAAGAATTGTTTTTCTATAAACCTTTGTAGGTACAGACACCCTTATGGTAAAGTCACACAAATTTGAACTTCAAAGATGTATTTTTTTAATCTTAACAGGAAAATTTCTTACCCTTGGTATACATGTACATTTAAATGCAATTTGAAAAGCTATGTACAAGCACTACAAACCTAAAACAGGAATACTGACTACCGAAACCCACGCAAAGCTACTTTTACAGAGAACTATTAGGTTGTTATTTTAATCCGTACCAAATTAAATTCAGACTCTTGAGAATAATTTTACAATCAAAATCAAAAATTTTAGATTTTGATATTCAACAAAATGGAAAAAAAAACTCTGACTCTCCTTTAAACTTGTAAAGCTGGCAGTGACGAAAATCAGACCCAACAAGTGATACTTCTGCTTAAAAATGTCTAATACCAGAGAAAATCATTAAAAAAAAAACGCTACAATACTTCATTTAAAATAAAAATAAAATACTAAATAACATAAATGAGAACAATATTAAGAACAAAATGGCAAAATAAATAAAAAGAAATGGGGAAAAACAATACTAGCGCATTCTCAAAAACTTCCTTTAGATGTTGGACTACCTGTATTTCAGAATGAAGAAGTTAGAATATTACATGTAAATAAGTTTCTTTTTATTACAGGAAAAAAGTCCTTACAAGAAATTGCATTGTGTGCCTATATGTGAGGTAAGCAGTACATCCTTTTTAATATTTTTTTTCTTTTAAACATGGCAATCTAGTCTATGTACAAATACAATATTTCCAATAACAAGCATTCATATTCTTAAAAGGCAAGCACAATTTTCACATTCAACTTGCTGCCTTAATTTTTTTCTTTACTACTTTTTTTTCCTTTACGTTCTCTTGGCACATTAATCCCAATATAATTACAAACATGAACACTTTGTTCCACATTGTTTTCAAATTTAAGGGAACATCTGAAAAACCTAAAAAAATGACCAATGAAACCTTAACAGTAAAGATAAATACAAGCCAACTTTAAGTACACCTTTGGTTTTTCCCCGCATTTCTGGGCCTTTTTTGTACGACACATTCAACATATTTCAACCTTACGTATAGATTGAGTGCATTCAGGAGCCATCTTTAAGGTGTGGTATTTTATGGTTATTCATTAACAATGAAGATACAAGAGGTCTTAGTGTGTATCCTTGTTGAACAAAAGCACAAACCTAAAAAATGTCTGCAGTGCAAACGATCTATGGTACGGTGCTAATCCAGACAGCTATTTGACCGTTCAGCTGTAATAAACTATGTAATGCTTTTGCTATATTCAGATCCCGGTTGGATACAGGGAACTAGATCAAGATGCACAACACTAAAAAGGCTAGCAACATCCAAACCAGAACAATTTTTACACTTTGAGAATTAACTTTAAAGCCTCTGTCTTCCACTATTTGCTGAAATCCAGTAAAAATCATTTACAGTTTTTGAGCTTACTCCTCAAGTTAATACTTCTTTATGCTTGAAATACTTCCTTATTTCAATACTTTTAAAAACACAACAGCAATTTGTTGTACCACAGATTTTTTTTGCATTGTTTTGGCCATTATTTATTATAACTTAAAACAGCTACGTCAACCCAACAGGATTACTTTGAGTGTACGGGTGTGTTTGAAACCTCGAGTTTGTCCCAGCTTCAGCTTAGCACAGACTTCAAAATCATTATGTTTGCAGTTGATGCTGAAAACAAAGTCGTGGTTTCAAGAAGTCCCCTACGGTACTTGCATTGCCTTGGCAAAAACATACATTCCAGTGTGTAGAACATCACAAATATAGCAACTTTTGGGCCTTTTCAAGCCCAGAAAGAAGTCTAGTGCAAGATTACTGGCTAGAAGATAGAAGAAAGAAAAATATCACTGGAATTGGTTGAAAGAACATAATGTGTTAAGTGTTAATGCAGACAAGCTGATTTAGAATTTTATGAAAGTCAACCGTGTATCTTGATATAGCATGCAAAAAACAATAAACCCAGCACCACAAAACAATGGACAAATTTGACTAACAACAAACTCAAATATCTAATCACATATGCTGAACACCAAATGTTCTACGAGTGGTCTTTTTTCTATAAAATAAGCTATAAAAAAAGGTGTATTTCTTTTACATAAAACAGTAATTAGTTAAAACTTAATTTGTGCGAAACAAAAATCTGTGAGTAAACAAAGTGAGTGCAACTGGCCACCTATAATGGCCCGAGCCATAGGCGAGGGCTATTATCGGCGACCAGGCAGGTCCCTAACCGGTTTTAAAACATCCTGTCTACAACTGCTCCATCACGCTATTATCCCCATTAAAAAAAACACCTTTTGATCAAAAGTTCTACCATTTTACCCCATGCTCAGGCCACTCCCATGGTATGCATTGGATGCAATGCACAGATTCTTTCAGACAAAATCCTGGGGAAAGTGTCTCTGAAACTTTTTTTTCGGGATTATCATGATGCCTCCTCAAGAGTTCACCAGTTTTTAAGAATTATTAATTTCAGAAACTGACAGACTACATAACGACCTCTATTAGTACTTGCATTGTACTTGCATTGAACTTTCTTGTGTAAAATACTGGTACGCTTTGAAAGCCACACACATACATGGTTCTATTAACATCAACAATAACATAAACAAGCATCAATGTTGGTCGAGTATTATACACAGTTACAACAGGGAAGGGGCCCTCTGTTAGCTTTGAATATGTACATTGCAAAGATACAAATTCTACTGATAAAGTTGTGCTTGAATATGACAGGATTCCATCCATGGCAGCTAAATTACAAGCATGAGCAAGTTCAGGCAAGGACTATGGTTAAAGATATAGTCCATCATTTGTAATTTGTGCATTTTGTTCGTTTGAAGCAACAAAAGTGCTCAAAATCTAAAGAAGGGCACTGAACAACTAACCTGATGAAGTTTCAGCTCAGCTTCAGCTGTATATTCAGAGAAAAACAGCATTCTAGGATCTCAATTTCAAATCAAAAGTTGCTGAATCATGTTTTGAATTGGGTCTGAATTCAGCGTCCGAGACATGTTCTCACTGAGCCGATTGCAGCTACGCGATGTCGCGCACCGATCCGACGAATTATAGCAACTGCGCGCACGTGGGCGTCGTGTCAACGCTTGCGCACGCTTCGCCGAATAAAAAAAAACGAACTATAACGTAAATTTCCAACGGTGCTTAAGACGCACCGTTGGAAAGGTCTTCTTCATTTATCTTTGGCTTTGAAATACAGACCATTCTTTTTTAATTTGATATTCAGTTTAGAAGTAGTTTACCTGATTGCTAAAGCTGGAACCAAATTCTTGATATTCTTGGTGTCTAGTTATCCTGAAATTTTCTGGGGAATTTTTTGGAGATTGGACTCTTGTTCAAGCAGAACAAAGGAGGATTAGAACCACCCGATCTACAATTTCTTCTTGGCTGCCTGGGCCTCCTCCTCGGCGTCGGTGAAGATCTTCTTCATCTCGGCCAGCGCCTTGAAGATGTTGCTCATGAAGCGTTTGGAGTCCGTGGAGGGGCAGGAGTGCTTGGAGGAGACGTGGAAGAAGAAGCGGCTGTCCTCGGGCAGCATGTAGCACACGCCGTAGCCCTCGTCCGACACGGGGCCGAAACCTCCACCGGGGCTGGCCTGTACAAACAGAGACAGAGCAACAACATGTACTTTTAAAGAGCAACCCCAACAAGACAGAAAAATGAAGATTTTCAACCTAAATAATGTTTTCTTTTACAGTTTCCTTAGGCCAAAAAAAAAAAGTCTCCGGTTTCTGGTATGGAGCTTGCCCAAAAGTGGTGCGGTGACGCGGCTTTTTTTTTTTTACCTGATTTTTTTGCTTCAAATGTCGGCTGTTGACTGCAAATGGTGCCCGACTAAACTTAGTGCAAATATATGGGAGTCCAGAAAGGCCACATAAAGCTTATTCTCGACCATAACCCAATCTAAAAACACGTTAAAATTGTGCAGCAGCAGGATTCCAGTCAAACCAGTGAGTTTGGCGGTTTTGAGACATCATCTTTCATTGAAAAAAAAACTTTTTCATTTTGCCGACGCGCATGGCTACGGCGACGTGCGCGCATACCAGAAACCGGAGACTTTTTTTTTTGGTCTTAGGTCATGTATGCTAATAAAAATTCTCCGGCAAGGTTGATATCCGCAGTAAAACTATGCAGATTTTTACCCAAATCTCAGGACTTAATCACTCACTTTCGAAAAAACAGAATACATCCCCAAAAAACCCTTAAGTTCCATGGCAAAATATGTGACATTACTTAGGAGGAGCATTGTGTCTTTTCTCCGGCCATACATAACTAAAACTGAAGTTCCTAAAGCGCCACTGTTGGTATCTTGTAACGAGTAGTTTACTTATAGGTGGCAGAAATAAAGGACAGCATTTTTCCTGTTTTTTCCATGTATCACTGTATTTAGCTTGCGCACCCAATTAGGAGTCATTAGTGAGGGATTGCATATTTTTGTCACTGGTCAATAAAATTCCCTCCAGGCAGGTAGGGATTGTTTATCTTTTAACCCTAACCGCCCTGAATCCTTCAAAATCCTTTTTGCAAATTGGAGGAATTTGCAGGATTGAGGTTACATGGCAAAAGTGCGTTGCTGATTTCGGAGTACGCACTGTGCCAAGGTCTTGGGCCGGACCTTGTGTTGTTTATGCTCAGCCGTGCATAAATTTAGTCCTTGATTATACTTGACATCCTCCGCACTGCTCCAGGATGTCACTGCCTCTGCCTCAGCCTATTGACAGACATAGCCAGAGGATTTTGCAGGATTCAGGCAGTGGTCATCCCTCCATGGACCATATTCAAGAAATAACGGAGGAATTTGCAGGATTGAGGCTATATGCTATTTTTCCATGAGGCCAATTGGAGGATTTTGCAGGATTGAGGCTACATCCTAGCAAAAAGGCCTAGGGAGTTAGGGTTAAGTCCTGTACAGGGTGACCCAAAAATGCAACCTTTAAACATTTGCCCATCAAAAAAAAAGGCATTGGTGAGTTTTATGTTTCGGGTATCAGATTAAAGCTGAGAGCTTTCTCTTTCAAAATACTGAAAAAAATCATGAAAATACCACTTTGAGTTGCCGGGTAAATGCCAATTACATAAAAGAAGTCGTTTTCCATCCTGTACACAACAATTACCACAGTGAGGGATTTTCATTGCACCTATTTGTGCATGCCCTAACCCTTACAAACCCAGCACATAATGACAAAATTAACTCTTTCAGTGCCAAACTCGTACATGTACGAGGTATATTTGTTAGTACAAAAGCGCCAACCTCGTACATGTACGAGGTAATGTTCGTACTTAAAATTGCCAAACCTCGTACATGTACGAGGTAGAGTAAATATGTTATCAAAAGGGGGCGCTCTCGCTCTTTCTAATGGTACCATTTTCATGCATGTACGACCTATATTTATTTTTTCATTTTGAGTTCTTGCGAGAGGGCGTAGCACTAAATCTCGTATTTTCTGCAAAAAGAGCGGAATTACCCTGTGTTTAAGCCAGTGTTTCAGGGTGTATCGCTATGTTTGTGACTACTTTTGACTTTACAATATATCAAGGATATACCAGAGAGCAACAACAACAAATTTAGTGAGTAAAACTTATTTACTTTTTTTTTTTTACGGAATTTCGAACAATTAACAAAAACGCTCGAAGTTGGGCACTTTAGGGTTAAACTTTTCAAATTTCGCAGGCACTGAAAGAGTTAAGAGAACAAATGAATTTACCTTTTATTTTCCCCCTGAACAGGTATCTCATCCTTTTCAGTCCTATTTTAAACCTTTTCAGCATCATAAATATGTCAAATATTAAAGAAATTGCGCAGTTGAAGGATAATTGCACAGTAGGCTTACAGTAAAATGTTTCACTGTTTGAAGTACTTGTGTACAGGATGAAAAATGCCTACTTTTACTTAATTGGCATTTTCTCAACAACCCAAGGTGCTAATTTCATGGGGCTTTTTTCAGTATCTGAAAGAAAAACCTCTAAGTTTCAATCTGATACCCAAAACATAAAAATCCACCGATCTAGGCAAATGTTTTAGGGTTGCATGTTTTTTGGGTCACCCTGTAGTTAGATTTGTAAGGTGGGACCTCACCTTGTCTCTGTGTTCCATGGTGTTGATTGAGCGATTGCCGGCAATCTGCTGCTGGGGTGTCTGGCTGGTAGACAGGGTCCAGGGGTGGGTCAGGGCATGGTGCAGAAACTCACTTTCCTGGGGGGGGGGGGGGGGAAGACAGACCAGAAAGACTTATGATTCACTGAATGAAAAACAAAAAGATGTTTTGGCATAAGTAGTTTCAGTCACGTTGGGACAAAAGGGCGGTCAAGACAAAAACCGACTTCATGTCATGAATGCCAAGGTTGCATCTGGATCAGCAGAAACCTGGGTGCTGTGTCGTGGGAACAATCCTCCTCTATCACGCTGTGGCTGATAACGTCTTCCCCAAAGAGTCCCCTGAGAAATGTACAGTTTCTCTCAGACAAAAATCAGGGAAATTTTCTCTTGAAACTTTTTCGGGATTATCAAGATGACTCCTTAGGAGTTATCCAACTTCAAGAATGCTTAATTTCAAAAACTGAAGGACTACTTAATGACCTCTATTTTTAGCTATTGCAATGTACTTGCATTACTTGCATTGAACCTTCTTGTGTAAAATACTGGCACACTTAAAAGCCACACGCACACACTTTTTATTTATACATGGTTCTCTGAACATCAACAATAACATAAACAAGCATCAATGTTGGTCAAGTATTATACAGTTACTACATGGGGGGGGGGGGCCTCTGTCGGCTTTGAATATGTACATGTTTTAGCATAAATAGTTTTAGTCACATTGGGACAAAGGGCTGTCAATACAAAAACCGACTTCATGTCATGAATGCCAAGGTTGCTCTTATTTTAGGAGGGTGGGGGGGCTGGGGAAAAATCTGGACCCATTCTTACATGTGGTCTAATTGAGATTTTTCAGACATTTTCTTCAGTACATCCTAAACTTTTTTTTATTGAGTACCCTTTCTTACATGAGCGCCAAACCAAAAAGCAAGGGAGCGACTTGGGTATACTCAAACAGATTTGGGTTACAGAAAAGAGAATTTATGTATAAATTTCCATAAGCTAAATTCTAAAAATTGTTCCAAATGAATGCCACTGTCACTCTTTTGATGGCTTGCGCACGTGGTCACGCCGTGTTTTGAACAACCTTGATTTAAATATTTTGAATAATTAGATTCTTCGCAACTCTGTAAAGCCAGTTTGAAATGGTCTGCAGCCTTTGCAAAGCGTGGTGGAGTAATGGCCCAACATCTTCAAAACAGACAGTGTTTTTTTTAAATTTGTGTGAGGCATCCACAGGTTAGTTCATTTTTGCAACACTAATGCTTCAATTTATTTTGAGTGGTGTGTGTGTGCATGTGAGAAGGGTGACTCACATAATTCAGACCCTTGCAGGCCACGTAGAGAGCAAACAGATGTCGGTCCCATCCCTTGCCGCTCATGCAGCCCTTGTACAGCTTGGTGTGGGCGTCCGAGGCCTTGCGGAGAAGACGGATCTTCTCCTCGGCTGAGCGGTTGTCTTCCATCATCGCTCTGCGCAGCAATAGAAAAATGAGAGATGTGGATGAGAAAAGGAGCCTCATTCAAATTCTGGGCTGCAATTGACAAAATAAACCTTTGAAGTCAAGACAAACCTGCTCATCAATTAGGTTTACCACACTCAGTTGTTCCATGGAGCTTATGGCAGGTTTACACTTCATGAAAAGTGCAAGTGTGAGGTTAATTTGACGCGCCAAATTTACACTTGCATTGGCATGCGAGCCTTACACCAACTGGCTCTAAAGGCCCTTAAAAATCCTATTTGTAACACTTTATTTATCTTTTTTGTTAAAAAAAAAGATTTTAAAAGTTTCAAGACATTTCTGTCATAAAAAACAGATTTTTTTTGACAGAAAATGTAATCTAGATAGAAAAGTCGGGATTATAAAAAGACACCCCCATTAATTCACATTTCACAAAACACTATTTTTAAATTCAAATTCATCCAGCGCCCTAAACGTCTTGTATCGGGCACAAGCTCATACATAATTTTGCCGAAGACCCTCTGTGTATTTCTGTCTTCGCCATGACAGAGAATAAATTTGCTGCATGTTGAACATCAGAAAAGCCTCCAATCATAATTTTAGGAGTGCCACATTAACAGAGCACTTGCAAAAAAATTGAAAAGAAATATAACCCCAAAGTTGGCAGTCACTGACCGAACAAAGTCGCAGGAGTCCTGGGTGAGCGGTCGGACGGTCTCGGTCCTGCCGGCAAGGTACAGGCGGGTCATGGAGGCCTCGTATGTCAGGGCAAACTTGCCCTCGTCCATGTAGAAGGCCAGTTGCAGGGCAAGCTGCAAGTAGGCATCAGGGCTGACCTGGGAACAGAACAAAGAGATTGCCTGGGGTGAGAGACTGGGGCAAACTGAAAAATTCATGAAATATTGGCAGAGGATTTGGGGCTGCCGAGGCCCCATAACAACATAGGGTGTGTGGTAAATGTATAAATTTGCATTAAACAGCCCTCCTTAAAAATGCCATTTCCTTTATGCAAACTTTTGACAAGAAACACATAGTGATACGAGGCTTCGCCTTTCCTTTGCCGCCCGACGACTGCTGCACGGTCGAGCTAGCAACTCGTGAACAACTCATGAACAGCCACACACACATGCACACAAACGTGTTCCCACCGTCGATCGTGGACGTCCTATTGTCCCTCTTTTGTTTGTACTCTAACTTTTTAGGAAGACTCCCATATGTTTTGTATACGACCCCAATTGTGGACGTATGCTGGGAATCGTGGACGATATCGTTCTCTTTTGTTCTCTTGAATTTTTCGTCCATGGTTTGAACAAATGAACACGCCCACTCTTTCTTCTTTATAGTCTAGCGGTGATAAGTTTCTCATATTTAGGCCCCTCAAAAAAAAAAAATCCCAAAATCTGGAAAAATCTCAATCGAAAATCTCAATCAATTAATTGAAGTAGGCTACCGGGTAATGAGGGCGTAACAATACCACCTTTTCACGATACAATATGTAACAGGAAATTGTACTGAAATTTTTATCATTAATAATTTATCGATAAATAGTCCGCAGCTATATGTACGTACAAAACTCATGTTGTTTGTTTATGTCTGCAGGGGAAGGCTAGCTATGTGTTATTTTGACAATGACGACTTGGAAAGAAGGGGAGTTTTTGTCATTTCAGAACCATTTGTAGCGTTTTTAAAATGTCCACTACTGTAAACCTTTACAACATTTAAAACGAAAGAATTTGACATGAGATTGCACTGTTTGCTTCCAACGTACTTTGCATTTCTTGACGAAGCCTTTCCCGTAGGCATCATGATTCAGCACACACAAATCCAGATCATCGTTGTTCTGCATTAAACAAAAGGAGAATCACACAAATGGTTGGACAAATTACAGCAAATGCTTTATATACTTGGAGCTCCACACAAGCTAAAAGATTATTAGAGTAACTTTGGCCAGTTAACTTTGGCAGCTTAGGCCAATATTCGTGTTGACAAAAAGGTGTGGCTTCAAATCAAATTTGTACAGGGGGAAAAATGAACATTTCAGTATGTATCCAAGTAAAAATATTGCACAGCTTTTAGCTTTTTAATATTTATCTCATGAATCTTTAACTCCATCCTTCCCAAATCCTAGAAAATCCTCTTTGCAAAATGGAGGATTTTGCAGGATTGAGGCTATATGGCACAAATGTGTGGCTAATTTTGGAGGATGCACTGTGTCAAGGTCCTGGGCCCGACCTTGTGTTGTTTATGCTCAGCCGTGCATAAATTTGGGCCTAGATTATAATTGAAATCCTCCGCACTTGCTCCAGGATGTCACTGGCTCTGCCTCAACATATTGACAGTGATTGCTGGAGGATTTTGCAGGATTGAGGCAGTGGTCACCCCTCCAAGAACCACATTCAAGAAAAACGGAGGATTTTGCAGGATTGAGGTTGCATCCTAGCAAAAATGCCCAAGGAATTAGGGTTAAGGTTTGAGTGACGACTTCAAAAACAAGCATGATTAAACATTTGCATTGCCTGATTCAGGGCCTTGTCGCACTTTGAGAATTTTCCATGGGACACTATCAAATTTGACTGCATAAGTAATCTAAAGCCTAACTGCTGTAATTTTCCAGTAAAATTTAACAAATTGTTAACGAAATATTTGCCAATTTGACTCCAAGCTGACAAACCAATGAGAGAAACATGATTAACCCTCCTTTTGTTAGATCAGTCAAAAATGCAATCCCCTTCCCCTGCCATGCCTTTTACACAGGCTAGTCACTAACATTCAGATCACATTTCTTATAGGCACTGTAACAATCAAAATTATTAACAGACAAAAGCAGGTGACTGGTAGGCACACATGTATATCAGGTTTCATAACAATCACAGCCAGTCAATCCTGCTTTATGAAGGCAGGGAGCACTCAACTGTTAAAAACATCCACTTGATTTATTATGACTGCTGGGCCGGCCTTGTTGAAATTGCCAGCCAGAGAGGGAGGGTCAAAGGTATAGTCCATCATTTGTAATTTGTGCATTTTGTTCGTTTGAAGCAACAAACGTGCTCAAAATCTAAAGAAGGATGCTGAACAGCTAACCTGATGAAGTTTCAGCTCAGCTTAGAGAAACACAACATTCTTGGATCTTGAAGTTGCTGAATCATGTTTTGAATTGGGCCTGAATTCAGCGTCCGAACACGTTCTTACTGAGCCGAATGCAGCTACGCGATGTCGCGCACTGATCCGACGAATTATAGAGGGCGCGCGCACGCATGTGCGTCGTGTCAACGCTTGCTTGTGCTTCGCCGTATAAAAAAAACGAACTACAAACGGAAATTTCAAACGGTGCGTCTCGCACCGTTGGAAAGGCCTTCTTTCGTTGATTTCTTCAAAATGACAGCATTCCAGAAAGAATAATTTCACAGGGAGTTTAGTCCCCTTGCTATCTTTCAACCAAGTATGTTTTTCGACAATAATTATGCCAGTCACTTTTTTGATAGCTGCAAATGATGGACTGTTGCTTTAAAGCATTATTTTGAAAACAATGACGACATTTTCAGAAATTGAATCCGAGTCCCAGAGGTGGAAGGTGAGGAAAGTACCACATGGATCCCCAATCCTAGCTAGTCACCTACCTTAATGGCAAAGGCTACAGCGTCATGGATGTCTTCGTCCATCTCCTCGCTGATGTCCCATTCCAGGGAGACCGGGGCCTTGATGGCAGCCTGGACGAAGCCCTCCATGGGTACGCAGTGACCGTCGGGGCCATAACGCTGCTCCTCCACCCTGCAACATCAAAAGAAACCACTCGTAACATGCATTCTGACATAAGGCCGGTTCATACTCGGCGCGACGGCGAATGCAAATCTGTGGCATCAAGGCAAGTATTCACGCCGCATATTTGGGAATACCGCAGCGAATATTTCCTGACATCAAATTCGCTTTACTTTCACATTCACATTAAGTATGAACCAACTTTAAGGTTGTGACTCTACATTTTGATTTTCTAAATGTTTGAAACCATTATTTATTAATGATTTAAAACAGAATGGTAGCCAAACAACACTGCATTTAAAAAACTGCTAATCGGAGCTTATTACACCCACACAAACTACTTTTTTTTATGCAAAACATATGAAAGCAAAATTAGTTTATTTCCAACACCACACTTTGTCATCAGAGTAAAAATACAAAGATGTTTCAATTTTTTGTGTGGAAATACAGTGAAGTTTCATTTCAATGTTTCAACTACGTTCACACCATTTTTCAGGATTGTACAAAAATTCAAATGTCTGCAATACGACTTGGATAGAAGACTGATTCCTAGTCTGAAGGTACAACAGGCTTGTGAACAGAATTTGACCTGGGTACTTTGTGCCAAACGCGCGCAGATCGTGTGTTCTGCACACTCAAAAGGTACACGGGATCATTTGCTTTTGTGCAATTTTTTGTTCAAAGCACCAAATTGTCCTAAATCTTAGGAAGGGTGCCAAGCAACTATCTTGTTGAAGTTTCAGCTCAGTGGATACTCTACATTTTGAGAAAATGTATGACCAATTTTAGGGTCTCGTAACTGGAATCTGTTACTAAGGCAGGAAATAAAAAATGTGTCCACCGGCATATTTTCTGAAACCACCTTCAACGATTGTTTTCTTCCGAATGATACCATTTCAGGCCGAGTAATTTCACATGGTATTTAGTGCCAGTCCTATCTTCACTTTGAGCAAGGACTTTCTCGTTAAATCGGTAGGTACGTTTCTAAGTGTTCCTAAGTGCCTACAAGCTCTCATGAGTAGTCGGGAAGTGCAATCTACTCCCTGCCAAGCAGTCCAATAGAAAATCCCCCTTTTCAAAACGCCTCAAACTCACTCGTCAGTGCAAGCGTACTCCTGCAGATGAGCCACCACGGGGGCGTCGCCCCACGAGTGCTCCACGTTGTAGCCAAACTTGCCGTCCGTGAAGACAAACATGGACAGGCTCTTGTCAAACCAGTGCGAGGAGCCGCTGCCGTGAAGCAGGTACTTGGCCCGGTCGCTCAGGTTGTCAAACTCGCAGGTCTCAAGTATCACCTAACAAAACCAAACAAAAATTAGGAACGGTACCTAACTTGTTTGAGAGAAAATCTCGGAAGAAACCTTTATCAAAATCCACCACGGTGTATGTGTCCATTTTTCAAATGTAAATACACACGCAACTCAAATATTATCGGTGTAGACGAAGAATTTGGATTGGTGAAAAACAGTGTATATGGCGAGTCCAACACTGACTGAATATCTTCCTCAAATGAAGCGTCAGAAAATGGCGAAATGTCATTGTCGTTCTGACCTCCGATGCAGGGTCAAATAATGTAAATATCTACTTGTGACAAAACAGGTACAGCATTATTTGTGCATATATAAGTATCCACGAAATATGGCAAGGTAGAATCCTCAAGGCGCACTGCAATTTCAGATGCCTTAAAGCTATAGTCCATCATTTGCAGCTATCCAAAAAGTAACTGATGTAATTATTGTTGAAAAACATACTTGGTTGAAAGATAGTATGGGACTAAACCCCCCTTTGAAATTATTCTTTCTAGCAAGCTGTCATTTTGAAGAAATCAACGAAAGAAGGCCTTTCCAAAAATTTCCGTTAGTAGTTTGTTATTTTTATTCGGTGAAGCACAAGCAAGCATTGGCATGACGCACATGCGGTTGCTATAATTCGTTGGATCAGTGCGCGACATCGCGTAGCTGCAATCGTCTCGGTGAGAACGTGTCTCGGACGCTGAATTTAGGCCCATAACAAAATATGATTCAGCAACTTTTGATTTTAAATCGAGATCCTAGAATGCTGTTTTTCTCAAATATACAGCTGAAGCTGAGCTGAAACTTCATCAGGTTAGTTGTTCAGTACCCTTCTTTAGATTTTGAGCATGTTTGTAGCTTCAAACGAACAAAATGCACAAATTACAAATGATGGACTGTACCTTTAAGGGTCTTGCCTGTCCTCATAACATTGGGGCCCAATTTCATGGGACTGCTTACCATTAGCGAAAATTCCCCAAGTACCGTGACAGAAATTCTGCGCGTACGGTAAGCATATTTTACAGGTTAGCGCGTCATTTCGTCTAATAATACGTGCATGCGTAATCCCGTACCCAAGGATCTGTGCTTACAGGGTAAGGACAGAAATGTTTTTGCAGGCGCTGTTAGAACAGCACAGTGGACGTAAGCACAGACTTCTGTGGTTAGCAGAGCCATCAAATTGGGCCGAGGTTTCCAGACCGATGATGAACCACAACGTGGAATCAAATTTTGTTATATTCATCACCGCAGAGCTGCACAAGAAGTACAACAGACCCACTTACCAGGAAGGCAGCCTTAGATAAGATATCCAGTGAGTCTTGATTGACGCCCGATGACATGTACTTGCTGCGCTTGGTGGCCCAGTCCGATCTGTCCAGCGCAGTGAAGGCACCCAGGGAACTGGCCGCTGAGCCCTTGCCCTCGGCTAGCAGTTACAAAAAAAATAAACAGGAAAATAATGAGGGAACGATGAAAATCATGGGATTTACACACGTTCCATGCAAATGTGGCAATCGATTTTGCCGCAAAGAAAATGAGTAGGCTCTTCAGAGATGTTAAGTCCTCACAAGTCAATCACAAGTCAATCACAAGTCAATCACAAGTCAATCATAAGTTGTCCAGTCTCAAGCCAAGTCACAAGCTATTCAAATGAGCTAAGACGTAAGACATTCTTTTTGTCGCTGCTCATCCCAGGTTCTTGTAATCTGACCTGTCACTGACAAGAGTACATACTTGTCACTTGGGCAAACATTTTTAACATTTACATCGTCAAAATAACAACTTGTACTGTCTACAAACAGATTTCCCATGATGCACTGTGAACAAAGCAGGATTTGTGTCGCTAATGGAAGCTTTCCTGTACTTCAGTTTACTGTTGAACAATTTCAACATCAATTTATGTATATAAAAACTAATCGAACAAACTCAAAGAAGCCCACAGGCACTAAAACAGAAAAAAAAAATCTTGTTTAAACTTCCAATCACGTGACGAATATTTTGGACATATGTGATGCTATCAAGCTAAATGAGTCGTTTGTCAGGAATTTTTATTTGGAGATTCAGGCCAAAATAGGGCCACTTCATCACATCACTTCATCACATCTCTTGGTGTTCCGACTTCCATAATTTTTGAACTAAAGATGGTATCAGCATGCGGTTTGCATGCGGTAATGATGAGATTGTGCTCTTTTCAAATCTGTAATAAAAAAAATTGACCAGGGTCGACAAACGACTCATTTAGCTTGATTGCCTCACATATGATTTAACACTTCTCATGGCAGATATTAAAGTTTTTTATGTTTTATTTAACTGGAAATATTCACTTTTTTTCTATTTTGGACCTTTTCAACCTCCGAAAATACAGTTTGGTTTTGGGTTGTTTTTCTGTCCATAACGCACCCCAAAAAACCTGAATTATGTCTGACCGCTAAATAAATTCATGACTAAATGTGGGTTGTTTTATTTTTGTTCCATGTCTTATTCAAAAGTGAATAATAAATTTTGTATTGCTAGTTAAAATGGCAATTTGAAAACAAAATGTATTTTTCGGGATGAAAGTCGAAACTTGCCAGTGATGTAAACATTCTGTTCAGTTTGCACCGAGGCGCACAATGGCTCCTCAGAGAAGTCACGGGGTTATACCTTCCTTCCTGTCCGCATCTTCAATGATCCAAGCAAACTGCTGCTCCAAGGTCAAAGGTGAGAGTTGCTGACCCATGGTGTCAAACATATCCAACTTGTAGAAGTAGCCCCGTCGGCGAACGACTATGTGCTGTGTTGATTTTTTTTTTAAATTGAAAGATTTTTATTTGGTATTAACGACAAACCTTATGCTAAGAGCAATTATAATAAACACCGCAAAAAAAAGGAAAAAAAGTCCACACTCATTGGAGGGGTCAACATTTTGATACTCAGTTTGATACCAAAGACTGTTAATCATCCAAGATGGACAACAGCTAATGAAAAATGATGCAGTTGGGTCATTCCACCGGGTTGGGGAACAAAGTGTGACACATGACCATATTAAGAAAAACATGAATGCCTTGCTAGCAGTTGATCTACATAATATTTGTTGTTGGGTGTTTCACTACTGCAGAAAGTTTGAAATCATTTCAATGTATTTTGCCAAAAATATGAGCAAAAAATGTCATTTTGGATGTAACATTGACACCGTGTCAGTATTACATTCGAATATGACATATGTACCTTTTTTAAAATTTCTGCGAAACATTACCCAAATTCACTTTGCGTATCGGTACTTCTTACTATATGTGCAACACAATAAGAAAAGCTTTTGTTATGGTAGTCAGGTATCAAATGGAGCAGAAATGATAGCTTGGTTGTGTGGACGTAACATTTACACGGTGTAAAACCCAAATGCCACACTTGCAATGAGTGATTTTGACACCGTTACATCCACACTTGAGGTATTGCTTCTGCTATGTTTGAACCCTGACTATACCAAAACAAAAGCTTTTCTTGGTGCTCAGGTGTCCAGTTGTAAATATGCAATGTCAGTTTGGGTAATATTTTACATGCGTGTAAAAAATGGCAAAAAAAGAATATTTGGATGTAACATAGACACGGTGTCAATGTTGCATCCGAATTAATGCATTTTGGGTCATATTTTTGTCAAAGTACTTCCAAATGATTTCAAACTTTTTCAAGTATTGAAACACCCTCAGACAAATATTATGTTGAGCAATTGTTTAGAATGCATTGATACTTTTCATAATATAACCAAGTATATGGATGTAACATGCACTGCTTCCCAACCCGGTGGAATGACCCAGTTCAAAAAGTTGCAAATTTAAAGATTATGCGAGGAGAAAGTGCTATAAGTGTAACCACTGGCCCCTATCGACTGCACAGTGCCCGAACAAAGCGCGGGTAATTCAATTCGTGTGCTCCTATGCATGCAAGCACTGATCGGTATTCCAATGCCATTCGTTTCGGGCAGTGTGACATTGTCACGCAGCAATTTCCACTCGCGTACTCTTTAAATTTGCAACTTTTCAAACTGCGTAATTTTTCATAAACCGTTGGATCGTAAATGTTGGATGATTAACAGTCTTTGGTAGAAAAGGGGGTATCAAAATGTAGCCAACAACATTCCCCAAAGGTCTATATAAATGACGTTATGATCAGACGATCAGATTCAAAATAATGACCCCTCCAATGAGTGTGGACTCTCTTTTTTTTTGAGGTATTTAGTTCCAATACACTCCCACAGCTGTGTAAGGAAACTCATATTTTTTTTATAAACATTTCCTGCACTCCACTTGGGAATTAATTTTAGATTCTGTACCACACTAAACACCTTTTCCACAACTACAGATGCGGATTCTGAGGAATAAATTAATTGGTAAATTTTATAAGTTACAAAAGCCTATTATTTTGATCCTTGTGGACCTTTCTATTTCTATTTCAGAGGGATAAAAAAAATAAAAGTCTGCAGTAACTTGTATAGTTCAGGTTATTCAAGCCAGCAAGCAGTGTGCAGCGGTTTTTGTTTAAAAGTCTTACGAACAAGTAAATAAAATGAACTTTGCATGCATTAAGGGTTGACTGTACCTTGGAAACTGAGGAATCATAGTGGACAAGCTCATCAAAATCTTCACCTGGCACTCTGTGAAATTGATCACACAAACAAGGAAGGAAAAAACTTGCTTATTAATATAACCTTCCAGTTTTTAGAAATGAAAAGATGTCTGCTGCAGGCTCACAGATTTCAGTTAAAAGGTTTTCTTACATGGGAATTACTACAACCATTTTTAACAGTTCCGATACTTTACTTTAGTATTTTCCTGAAAAACTAGGAAACACACAGACGTCTGCTTCATTGCAACTTGTTGCAATGCGTATTAATCACAGACGTGTCATACCTTGTTTGGCAAATGCTTAAAGGTAGGGTAGATCATTTGTGCATTTTTTTTTCGTTTTAAACAACAACAGTGCTCAAAATGGGTACTTAACAACTAACCTGACGAACTGTTAGCTCTGTGAATGCTGTATATTCTAAGAAAACAATATTCTAGGATCTCGGTTTCAGTTCAAAAGTTGCAATGTCACGTTTTAAATTGCGCCCGAAATCAGGGTTCGGGACAACTTCTCATTCAGCAGACTGCAGCTCCGCAGTTGCAGCTCCGCGGTTGCAGCTACGCGCATGCCTCGTGTCAACGCTTGCGCGCACCCATTCACAGATTGGCCGAATTACAAACCAACTACTAACGGAAATTTCCAAAATGGAAATGGCCTTTTTTTTTATTGTTTTCTTCAAAATGACAGCACGCCAGAAAGAATACTTTCACAGGGAGTTTCATCCCATATACATTAAAACCAAGTATGCTTTTCAACAATAATTTTATCAGTTACGTTTTTGGACAGCTGCAAATGATCAACTCTACGTTTAAGAAGTATTTTTTTTGCCTCGCAGCTCCGTGAACCTGGGCCCATGTGCTAATTTGATGATGAAAAACAATGTTCTTAGCCTACAGTGCCAAAATGTATACTGGGAACATGTCCAGCCATGGAAAACTTACCGGACAGTGGCAAATAGCCGCTCATACTGGTGCATGCATATTGGGATGGTGTTTCGGATCACCAGAGGGGGCACTTGCTCTCTCTCTATCTTCCGCTTGAAGGACATGAAAGCATAGCTCTTGGCAGCAGCCCTAAAGTGGAAAGAAAGTTAACGGCAAATGATAAATTTACTGAAAATTATCAGTCATACTGAAGGTATCACACTGGCCAGTGTGATACGTACAGTGGTTGAGCTAGTTAATGGTCAATTAACAGGCCTAACACATACCTTGCTGTCTGGACATGGGTGGGCTTCCAGAAACTATTGCCCAAGCAATAGTAGTTGCAGTTGATTGCGATGGGCGACCGGTTCATCAGATAGATGTACTTCTCCCTAGAAGCAAAAAAGGGTACTTAAGTGGAGCCAGAAATAACTTGGAGGCACAATTTTTCTGGAAATAATTTCTTTCTGTACCGAACCATTTCAGATGTGTGACCGTTAATGTCTGGCAGGTTGGTTACATACGTTATGGGTGGTCCTTTTCTTGTCTTCCATACTTATTGTGTACCAGGTTTTTTCCACTGAATATATGTAAATTTCTAAGAGCTTCTTACCACCAGTCTGTGATGTAATTTGATGCCCACCAGGACTTCAGGTACAACAATCTCTGCAGCTTGGGCCCCACAGTTTTCTTGAAATGCTATGGGAGAATTTTAAAAAAAAAGGAAATATAAATAGTGTGACAAGTGTACATATAATTGCTTTAAAGATAAACGAGTGTAAGATACCCCGCTTTTAATTCTTTTAGAATATGTCATTATGATCTAAGTGTAAGTTTATCATGTTGACAGAGATTTCATCATGTAAAATAATAACTTTGTTGTTTTGCTCTGAAGACTAAGATCACCGATGTGTCGAGTCCAAAGTCTGAAGTCTGAAACTCATAAACTTTATAGTGTCGGGTTATACTGTATTCCCACTTTCCTTTTAGCATTTAATTGTATAAACTGCAAGTATGATGCTCCTTGATTCATGAGATTTACATTTTCATTACTTTGTTTCATTTACTCGGGGCAAATGCAAAGATGGCAACACCAAGAACAGTTTTGGCGGGAACTTCAAGTTTTTATATAAATTCATATTATTTCAAGCTGAGTGTAAATAGTGTTAAATAGCCTAAATTAACATTACTAAATTATTTACTTAGTATTTAATGTTTCCTTTTGGATATCAAGTCTAAACATTGTTTCATTTTATTTCTGATTTGTTTACCCTTGTCGTGCGAAGACCTGACAACATGTATATTTTGTCTTCGTCTTTCAGGAATTGAATAAATCGCCAACAGAGAAGCCAATTGGCCGTTTCGTCAACTGTCAAAAATGACTCGTCACAATAGAAAAATGTGAAACTTTTCTCTATTTATAAAATGCCAGTTTAGTTTAGGAAAGGCTCCAGGTGTAAATGTGTATTGTATTTCAGAGAGCCCTTACCTTGGCTTGTTTCTGCAGTGTCTCATATTCCTCTTTATCCAGCAGTGGCTTCATGGACTCCAGGAACTGTCGGATGGTGTCGTCCAGCGATGGTACCGGCATGCGGGGCAGGCTGAGCTGGAAGCTATAGGTGCCTGGGCTCAGCGCCGGAACCAACGAGCTCAAGGTCTGGCCACAGATGATGCGGACACAGGCACCCCAGGCCAGGGTGGTCCAGGACTGGTTCTTGGGAGTCTCATCTGAGAAACGTAGGAGGGGGGAGGGGGAAGGAAAACAAGTCATATAAAACTGCCTTACAATGGACCCTTCCTGATATGGCCTTAAGCTCCGCCCACATTGACTTTGCCTAGTGATAATAAAAATGTGATGCTTATCTTGAGGTTTATACCAAAGGTCTCAACTGGAAGCAGCTCGAGATCAGTGCAATCTGCTCTCTACCTTCACAGGTACCCATTTATACCCTGGGTGGTGAGAGGCAATTGTAGTAAAGTGTCTTGCCCAAGAACACAAGCACCTCATTTCCCACCAGGGTTCGAACCCCCGCAATGTCGCTTAGGTCAAACAGCGCAACTATTGGACCATGGCACTCACAATGCTTGTGACCAGGTTTGACCAAATACTGTGGTCACGTGATCAAAATTTGTGATCTGATTGGTCACTGTGCAACTGTTTGATTTGACAAACAGGAAAAGGTCCGTACAAGAGATTCAATGTACAAAAGAGTAATACCAGTGTCATAAATCATACTTAGCCCATGTCCCTATCCACCACCACTGGATCTTATTCCGAAATAAACAATAAACAAACAAAAAAGAGAGAAAATGGTCCTTACGTAGCCATCCCTTGTAAGACAGCAGTATACGAAGCAGGTAGCGTCTGACGTGGAGTAGTGATACGAAGAAACAAACGCCGACCAAGAGAGATACAATCAAGACCTTCAGGTAGAAGTACGGTGGCCCTGGAGATAAGAAGAACAAAAATGCTCAGCACAATTTTGATTAAAAACAGGTGGCTTCCAAAAAAAAGGGGAAAAAAAAGAAGAACATGCACTATACAATCATTCTTTATGGATCATTCTAGAAATTTAGGGTCCAAAGTGTGACATTTTTCCTTTCCCTTATATCTTGGTACTTTGTAATTTGCCACTCAAGTATCATGAAGACTGACTACAAATTTTGTTTTAATGTTTATCATTCTTGGAGGACGAGTGCATTGAAAAGTGCATCAAAATGATGAAATCATAGATTTCAGATGTAACAGGGACAGGCAACAAGTGGACCCAAATTTAGAGCATGTCCCTTACTCGTATGATAATTTTTTCAACCTCCAACGACTGTACCAGTACATATAGTCGGCTGTGCTTGATCATATTAATTTGCATCACAAAGCGGCATATCGTTTTCATAAAGTCATTTCATAATCATCTGACCATATGTCAAACTTTCCCATCTGTCACTCTGTGCTGCACCAAATGATTGAGTACAACTGTATGCAACTTTAATATGTACAAAGCAACTTTCTCTGCCTCAGCTCACATGGGGCGAGTCAAAAAATGCGGAACCCAAACTCAAAAAAAAAAATTGTTTCATATTTTAAAAAAAATATGTAGCACCAAACATAATAATGACTGGAAAGCCAATTTCATAAGCTACATTTAGATGAAAAAATTACTGAAATTGCTCAATCCGTTCAAAGAATATCACCATTTAAACACAATAACCTTAAAAGCAGTTTAGTGTGTATTCTGACTGTTTGGAGCAACAAAGAAAATGACACAGGATACTTGTTCAACAACTGTCCACAACTGTAGTGCACAATATCTTTATTAACAACCCCGCTTAGGCAAACAATATGATTTATAAAATCCATTTTTACTAAAAGACGGACTTTCAAAAGGACTTTGTTGAATATTTTAAACTTTTAAACTGAGGTTTTGTCGCTGGTGATGTTTGAAGACAATTGTGAAGACGATTCTTGAAATCGCATTTTTGGACAACAGAGGTTTTACTTTTAGGGTCATTGTGTTTAAATGGCAATATTCTATGAACGGATTGAGCAATTTCAGTAATTTTTTCATCTAAAAGTAGCTTATGAAATTGGCTTTCCAGTCATTATTATGCTTGGTGCTACATATTCTTTTAAATTTGAAATAAAATTTTTGGGATTTGGGCTCCGCTTTTTTGGACTCAACCTGTACATCATGGATATACACTCACCTCTACCGATGTATACATACTCGCCGAGTGTCCAAAACTTATCGTTGATTGATTGACAAATCTCAAAGTCCGTGATCATGAGAAGTGACACGACAGCCACAGATACTAGCAGGTTCCATGAGGAGGTTGGCCACAGACCATTCCAAATAAGGTTCCTTCAAATAAAAAATTTAATATAATAAGTTGTAAAAAGAAAATGACCGTAGGGGGTTTGAACCTGCGACCTCCAGGTTACCGTTCCGGCGCTCTACCAAGGGAGTTGACCACAGACCGTTCCAAGTTTGCAACTAAAGTTTAAAAAACAATTCTTGTTGTTTTGTTAAGTTTAACACATAAAATTGACTGGAGAGGGGTTTGAAACTATGACTTCTGGGTTACCGTTCCGGTGCTCTACCAACTGAGCTATCCAGCCCTATGTTTGTGATTTCCCAATTTGTAAATGTCTTTGTTCATGGAGCACTTCTAATAACATTTCAAAGTTGTGCAGCCTGGTGGTTATCCGGGGTCACAGGTTTGGGCTCCGGTCAATTTCTTTGTTCAACTTTAAAAGAAAAATCATTATTTTAATGCACCTAGTCAGTTCCCTTTTGTGGTTTATTTGAGAAAAAATATTGATATTAAAAAAATTTGCGAGATAAGGCCCCCCCCAAAAAATATTCGGTCTCTGGTCAGACCAAAGTTCCGGAATTGACGCGGCGACGCGGAGTTTTTTTTTTTTCTTCAAGCTTGAATTGTACAGACAAGGTGGGGTACTATTTTGCTTTTTTGGTGTCCTCATGTACATTGGTGTCCTCCATAATTTGCCTTGGTGCTTTCGATCATTTGCCTTGGTGCAATTTCCCATTCCTTGGTGCTCTTTGGTAAAAAAAATTGAGTAGGTGCGGCAATAGAGGGCGCTGTTGGAGCTACCGCGGAACATTTTGGAAAAAAAAAAGATTGACGCGCATGATTAAAATCGACGCGCGCGCTGACCAGAGACCGACTTATTTTTTTTTTGGCCTAAGTCATTGACACTGGTTCAACTATTAGGTTACATGTACCTCTGCAATATGAAAGGTTTCTATGGCAATGGAAACCGTGTACAATGTCACCATGGAAACCCATTCAAAAATGATCTGATTTTGTTTGCTTAGGAACTAAATTTAACGTAGAAATTTTACAATGTACATGTAAGAGAGTGGTGAACAATTGAATTTTACATGACGGACTTTGAAAGACAAACTTAAAAAAAAAATCCCCCCCCCCCCACCGAGACGAAAATAAAAGGGGTTTTAACTAGGATCTGAAAGGCATTGAGATTTTTGACAGAAAGGATGCAGTATACTGTTACTTTGGCATTTACGTTGTATAAACACTCAATACAGAGTACCCTATGCACCAGTATGCATGCATTATACTACATGACCAAAAGTTGTTTGCATGTAAGGCAAAACAAAAATGGTTGTGTTGCCTTCAGCCTAAGTTACATGTATACAAAATATGGTAAATTCAAACTGTACTACTACGATTTTGTAACGAAATGCAAAATTATGGCATAACAAAGAAACAGAAACGGTAACATTCTAAGAGTTTATTAAATTTTTTCAAGTAGAAAAAAAACAAAAACACCCAACTGGAGATTTCAAGATTTTGGGTCGGTCGGATGAGGGCAACACAACAATTGATTTTTTTGCCTAATGAGCATCCCTTCATATTTATCCAAAGCATTATTTTGGGATGGCTGTTCAGTATTATATATCCCGGTAGGTTTTCATGATGCGATTCAAACGGAATTGTATTCTTGTTTAAACTCAACTTGACCCTTAATTTATGACTATGTTTAGCTCGAGTGTTACCAAAAGGAAATTGTTAAGTACCCTTTGTTGATAAGAAGCTTGGCAAATTGCTGCCAAAACTGTTCAAGTACAAATGTACTTCATCACGAACACAAAGCTTTAAGGATCACACGACTGTTCACTCACATGTGCATTGTGCACAGTACAAAGCTCAGAAAAAATACTGGTACCATTCTGTACATATACATGTACTTCATTTGTTGATAATTGTGTTGTATTTTCAGTCAATGTTTACCCGGTTAATCCTTAACTTTGATCAAGATAGTTAGAGGTACATTAAATTATGCTCACACGCACACAGACCATACAAAAACAGTACACGTGTCCAGCAGGTGTAGAGATTTTCGAAGGATCATCAAATTTCTCCATGAAACTAGAAAATACTTGAAAACCTTGTAAAACACCTCGTTTAGAAATTGTTGAAACTATTGCATGTACCCTCACTTGGTGACCACTTTTTTGTTTTAATGCACAGTATTAATATAATGTACACTGTACCAGCATGTCTTCAAGGTACCCGTATTTTACTGCACGCACTTCCGAAAATGCAACCCTTAAAAAAATTAAAGCTATAGTCCATCATTTGCAGCCATCTGAAAAGTAACTGGCGTAACTATTGTTAAAAAACAAACTTGGTTGAAAGATAGTAAGGGAACTAAACTCCCTGTGAAATTATTCTTTCTGGGAAGCTGTCATTTTGAAGTAATCAACGAAAGAAGGCATTTCCAACGGTGATTCTTAAGAAGCACCGTAGGAAAATTTAAATTAGTAGTTCGGGTTGTTATTCAGCGCAGCGCGCACAAGTATTGGAACGACGCACACGCGCGCGCGGTTGTTATAATTCGTCGGATCAGTGCGCTACGTCGCGTATGTAGCTGCAATTCAAAGCAATTCAAAACATGATTCCTTAACTTTTGATTTGAAATTGAGATCTTAGAATGCTGTTTTTCTCGGAATGTACAGCTGAAGCTTAGCTGAAACTTCATCAGGTTAGTTGTTCAGTATCCTTCATTAGATTTTGAGCACTTTTGTTGCTTCAAACGAACAAAATGCACAAATTACAAATGATGGACTGTAGCTTTAAACAAGATGATTCATAAAGCACAAGATATCTGTGTGAGCCGTAATACATGTACATGAACATGTACACGTACACATGTGGGAATGAAAGTTGACTACCTTTTCCTTGGCACAAATGAGTAATAACAAACCAGGAACACATCTGCATGGATACTGTACGGTTGAAAGTATAATGTTGGGCGCAATCGGTGGATATGCGCCATCGGCCGATTGTGCTGCGCTATCGATCGATTCATGCCGCCATCGGTTGATTGCACTGCTTTTAATCAATCACCTTTTTCATTATAGTTCACACCTCTGGAGGATATTATTTTTTTCAAAAAGTTAGTAATGTTTGAGATTTCTCACGGGATCGATCAATCCCACAAATGCATTATTGCGTGATTGAGTGAAAGCGCAAATCCACCCATCGCACCCAACTAACATACATGTACTAGTACCGGGTACATGTATCAATTCCACTTTACTTACTGTATGATGTACATGTACATGTAGGATGGGTAGGTTTGATGACACTTTTATGCTGGGCTAGGCAAGAGAGCTAACTTCAAATATTGCATCTGAGAAAATTGATGTGCGAAAGTATCTTCAAGCAAACTTTACGCACAATAAAGATGAAATGCACGCTGTACACAAACTTCAGTGCGTATCCTGTTACACATGCGTGTTTGTGCGGAATGGCGCACGCATCTTGGAATAGTGCAATACGCAGAGTGCGGTATGGACTGTGGCCGTGCTACATGGTTATATGTAGCATGACTTGTTACATTGGATCGACCAATCAGGATCGAGGATTCAAGTTTACTTGAAGATAAATGTACATGTAGGATGGGTACGTTTGATGACACTTTATGCTGGGCAAGGCGACTTCAAATATTGCATCTGAGAAAATTGATGCGCGAAAGTAGTTAGCCTATACTTCGACTGTATTTGTCTTACCGAGTCTTGTAGAAACTGCGTACGCAGCTCCGCCGCAGCGCCCTCAACCCAACCTTCCATTCATCCTCCTGGCCTTCCTCAAAGTACAGGACGTCAACTCTGGGCTCCTTGACAGCACTGCGTGCTTCAGCCATGCTTCAGCTTAACTGTGGGGTACAATACAAAAAAAAATCAATACTTAATGTCAGTAATGTGTGGAGTGCCTTTTCTCTTGCATTCAAAGCACTAGGTGGACAAGGAATAACATGAAAACCCAGGGGTTGTAAGGATACCATTTCTTCAAGAGAGAGAAGACCGAGCATCAAGCTGGCAGCAGTTGCAATGATAACTAGATCTAAGTCTGTTCCATGAACAGAACATCTGTTTCCACATTATGATTTTTTTATGAGCTTGTTTTTGTGACTTTATGTTTTTATGAGCTTATGTTTTGCATTTATCCAGATATTAAATATTTATTATATGCACGAACTAGAAATCACGTTACAAAACGAATTTTGAATGTACTTGTAGCGTGTTTGTTATGCGTTATGTGTTATGCGTTATGCAGATACGATGACTAGAAATTTAAAAAGATCAATAAAAAAATCAAGCAGTCATTTCAGTTTTCATTTAAAGACATTCCTGTTTATGTGCATGCCAAGTTTCAACCCATATCGCCCTTTAGTTCTGTACATATAAGCAATTAAAAAATGAAAATTTAGGATGACGTCACATGTCCCGTGATGACGTTATTTGTCAATGCACACATTTACAATGTGGTCTTGATTTGCACCAAGTTTGGAGTTGATCTGATCAAAGCCAGTGTCAAATTTGTAAGTAAAAAAATTCATAAAAAATCAGCCGATGACGTCATCGTGATGTCACTTAGATTTTGCATATTATTAACATTATCAATCCTCCGACCAAGTTTCAGGACGATCAGACCTTCCCTTATGTGTGTTTTGAAAAATCGCATTTTTGATGACGTCATTCTGACGTCACACTTTTGTCACTTTTTTGTGCATACCTCTTTGACCTAACAAACCCATAACAGAAAGAATTTTGACTTTAGCATGTTGGGAGATATGGTGACCATCTTCAAAAATTCAAAATCTATATGAAATCACCTATAACACATCCCGGTCTACCTATATACCAAGTTTCAACCCGATCGGACGTACAGTTTTCTAGATAGGATCTTCAAATATGCACCTTTAAGATGACGTCACATCATGACATCATCACGAAAGTCACTCTTTAATCTTCAGGACACGAGTTACATGTAAGATTTTGTTAATTCAGGAAATATCCTTTAATGCCTCCTATCTCCAAGAATGATTATGTAAAGCAGAGTACCTAATAAATAAATAAAAAATAGTTTGACGTCAATTTCAGTGATCCTTGTATGGCAAATTACATAGGTCAAATGTAACAGGGACACACAAAAATATAACACATTTGGACCTCACATTTATGGATTGAGTTTGACCCATGTACATGTATACATTGTACATGTACATGTAGGGCTCCGTCTATGAGCAAGCCTACAATGTAATCAGATCTTTACATACATATATATTAACATCATTTTCAATGTTTTCAAATGTTTTGTTTTTAGTTTTGAGAATGATAACTGCCTTGGTCTCCAGTGCAGATGACATCAAAATGCTGTACTACATGTGTATGTATGTACCATGTACACTCTACCATGTCTACCTGAAATTGAAACAATCGATTCATTTTCAGCTGTCCTGTGCATAAAATAAATCATGATCAGATGGTTATGCCTTAAATTAATGCAGTGTAAAGCAAATCTACTGACAAATTAAATCGTGTACAGCTACATTTGTACATGTAAATCAATCCAATAGGCATTGCAGTACGTGTACATGTACGTGGACTGTACACATGGCACTGGATGTGAACTTTGACATTTGAAAATGGAAACCTCAGGGATCAAAACTTGAGCATAAACATGGATGGTAGGTGAGTGTGCATACATGTACAGTGCATACAGATAGGTGGAGGCTGCCTGTCCACTGGCCAGGCAGTGCTGTCACTGTGTGTACCTCTGAACAAGAGATGTTCACACAGTGCAGGTAGTGAAGACATTGTGTGGACTTTCCCATGTCCACACAAGGTTTCCCCCTCTCCATAAAACAGTTTTAGAGTTTGGTCATCTGTCGCAAAATGAAGACAAACACTCAAGCAAAAAAATTTATAAACAATTTGGGTTGAAACTTGAAAGAGTGTTCCAGGTACGGATGAAAATTGAAAAGAGTCAGTTTTTTCTCCAGTTTTTCTTAACCACATGAAAACAAAGGAATGTCCACACTACGGTAGGTATGTTATGTGCGAGTGTGTACATATATGAAGTGCCTAGACCTGAGTATCTTCATAGTACTCAAAGACTCACTCATACTCACATACACTTTGTGATCAACACAGAAACAATACACATTCATGTTCTGTCAGTCAGAGCATGGTTTTCTTCAAACTACAATGCATAAATTTACATCATTAATGGATGGATGGGAAATAATAGAGCACCATGACAATGAAGCTTTGCCCACAGTTTTACATACAATGTCATGTACTCATTGCACTGTGCAAACATGTTTATTTACAATTAGACTAATATTGGAGTAAACACTGTACATTATACTTGTTTACATATGTAGTATACCATAACTGAAGTTTACATACTCATAATACATTATTCACTATGACTGAGCATGGTTTACATGGAGGAGCTTTTATATGTACATTGTATTAAAGTGGGTTAAATGGTTCAATGTTGGCATATTACCCTACATGTACCTATTCAACACAGCAATATTTTTGTAGCACAATCTTGAATACCTTCAGATAAGAGATTAAATAAACTAAACCCTGAACTTTAGCTGAACCAGTTCAGCCTGAACAACAACATTGAATGCAACCCCTGCCATTGGGCACAGCATGCAATGAGGAGCAAGCAATATTATGGACTACATGCGTAAAACAGTAAATTTTAACATTTGGTTAATTCCGGATAAGAGTTCAAACTCATGAATTTTCAAAGTATATTTTCTACATGTAAATATTTTTTTCTTGGAAAGTAGACAAACCAAGCTAACAGAAACAGTTTTTGTTTTTCTTCTTCTGCACTTGGATTTATTTTTTATCAAGGCTTGAAGTTTCGAGAAACAGAAGTAGCATTTTCCTGATTAAATCATTTTCCTTAGTCCGAGTAACTTCCAAATATTAAAAAAGGCGATAAGTTGGGTCCAAGTTTTTACTCGGACTACATTTTCCTCTATTTTGTGATGGAAATTATTTGAGTGCCCCTCTGTTACAGTTCTAAGTTACTTATATGCTTCAAAGATGTTATTTTTGGTTGACTGCTAAGTTATAGGCATATGGAGGAAGGCTAGCTGGAGTTACCTCATCAACTTCAGCTAGGTATAGGCCTAGTAAAACATGATAAACGTAAAGCATAAAGTAAACACAAACTGACATAGTGACAAAGTGACAAAGAAAAAGATGAATTGAAAGTGGCAGAACATGATTCGCACTCGCAGAACATCACCGGGTCGGCAGGGCGACACGTAATGTCATCGACCACGACGACGGAATGTCCAATATGTTCCAAATATTTTTTGGACACTTACCACTTATACCAGAACTCCTCAACGTGGGGGCAAAAAATATTTACTGATCGGCGGCATGCGCTAGGCATGAACTGCTGAAGATCAACGACGCGTCCGGTTCGGTTTGTCCGGTTTTTCGACGTTCGCGTAGCCTACATGTAACTTTCTACACATTACCAAATTACGTGTAAACATGTGACGCCAATGTGTATCGCGTTTTAGTACCGGGAAGTTCAAGGATCGTGACTACGTCACTCATGGGTGATTGATAACACTGATCGGCCTCCCCTCTTCTGATAGTCATAGTTGCATCGGTATCTCGCTGGTTGGCGCCAGTCGTATTAACAGTGTTTTACTAATCGGCTTACCAGTGATTTTGTGAGACGATTCCATGAGAAGAGAAGGGAGTAATATTTAGAATATCGGGTCTCCGCAGGGACAGAATCATTTAATTGACCTCTATGCTTCAATGCGTGGACATTGTCAGCCAGTCCATTTATCATAGCGGTCATTGATCATTACTGAGAAAACTGTAAATATAAGCACAAATATATTACTACACAATCGAGTACCTTCTTAGTTGAGTTAATCCAATCACGTAGAAGATCCGGGTCCAACTGATTTGCATAAAAATGGTGGCCGCGTGAGGTCGCTGTTCGCACCAACCTTGTCCCCAGATGTCGAGCAGTACGCGCCCACCACTACCTGCTCTCTCTATTGGAAACAACTTTGGAAATAAAGTAAGCACTGGGGACGAGGTTGCTGTTCGCGCTGTATTTTTAATGCACCGCATGCATAGCGCTAGAGAGGATATCGTTTACCACGCTACGGCCGGGATGAATAACAACTGGCGCCTTGACCAAGGCTATGGTTCATTCATACTAGTTCAACCAATCTATTACCGAGTCTACTACAACATTTAAGTATATTGCACAAAAAGAGCCTTTATTCAAGCCCGGTTAGCTCAGTCGGTAGAGCATGGGACTCTTAATCCCAGGGTCGTGGGTTCGAGCCCCACATCGGGCGCACTTCCTTTTTTTTTTTCCTCTCTGAATTTTTAATAACCAAACTTTGTTCCTTGTATCAGATACCGACTCTCAATCTCTGCATTTATTTTTCTGCATTACTTTTCCACAAATTGGATTTTACTGATTAATACCCTTTTCAAGTTAAAACCTAGATTTTGGGTCAACTCGTACCCGAGTTAACTCGTCCCGAGTCAACTCGTACCCGGGTCAACTCGCACCCAGGTCAACTCGTACTCCCCTCCTTTTTTAGTTTGGAAGTACGGATGGATGGTTAACAAAACTTCCGATTTTACCCTCAAAAACGGCGACTGAGAAATAGTAGTTACGCCGCCAGAAATACAAATAAAGTTCAAGGATTAGTTGAAGGCGGTGGTATCAAATGTTGATCACAATCTGGATGAAAAGGGAAAATGTACCGTTCATCGGCAAGGGCTTCATCGCGAACGGACGGGTACCGCGCGGAGAACATTTTCAAAACGGCATCAGTGTGGTACTCGCGAGTCGACGGAGCCCTCGCTGATAAACGGTAAATTTCACTTTTCATCCAGATCATCAGATGTGTTATTTTAAAATTTGTGTAGTATTTTCTCTTAGTAATGATGTTTTTTCTTTCTTTTTTCAGAGACCCTGGATCACTGAGATTGCGGAGTGACTGTGCGAACTGCTACGTCTTGTTTTTGTTCGGTCGAACGTGTTTTAAGGGCATAGTTTTCTTTTTACGAATTTAGTATTTAAGACCTTTTTTTTTTTTAAAGAAAGCTGCTATTAAAAAATGAATTTTGTAATGTAAAAGTAATATTTTTCAACGTTCACTCACTCCATTTTTGGCATCATTTATTGAATAAAAACTGCACATGGCACAAATCTCTGTGGGAAGATTGGGGGCCCTGAAAGTACAAATATGAAGAGAAAATATATTACAGGAAACTTAAAAGAGTCACACGGACATCATTATTTAATTTATAATGATTCTTTAATATGTTGGTCATTTTTTGTACAATTAGTTCAGTAAATGTCGTAAAAAAATCTTGTGCAGCTTAAATAAAGTTTCTGCGATAAGTTCAACTAGAATATTATTTTGGTAACAGAAATGTAGGATTTTTAATTATTTGTTAACATTTGAGGCATCAAGGAAGTAAACACGATAAAGGAAAATGGTGGCTCGTTTCATTCAGAGATGCTCTTTCTATAAGTTTTAGAGGACCAATTTGTTAGTTGATCCTTGGGTGTGAAAGATTGTTTGACATTAGCAAATTGTAATTCAAGTGCAAGAGAAAGTTTTATTATCTTAAACAAAACTGAGCTAATCGGGTTTCGTCCTCGAAACTTGACATCCGATTCGATTCATCATGAACTGTGTGACAGACCATCCGATCGATCGGTTTGAGCAGCAGAAAATGGTTCATCGGAAAACCACAGGATCATCTGTAATTTAAAAATAAAATAAATTGATAAAAGCATGCATACTTTGGCAAATGAGTGCGCGCACAGGCTCGGCAAAAACGATGTCACCGTGCACGGTACGACCACGTTGGCCGATGAGTGCGCGCACAGGCCCGGCAAAAACGATGTCACCGTGCACGGTACGACCACGTTGGCCGATGAGTGCGCCCACAGGCCCGGCAAAAACGATGTCACCGTGCACGGACGACCACGTGGACCGGCGAGTGCGCGCACGGGCCCGGCAAAAACGATGTCACTGTGCACGGTACGACCACGTTGACGAGCGAGTGCGCGCACAGGCTCGGCACAAACGATGTCACCGTGCACGGACAACCGGCCATATCCCTCCGATCTTCCGTTCGTTTCACTGATTTTCTTTTCGAAAATAGGCAACTATTTTGAGCTGCGGGTACGACTTGACTCGGGTACGAGTTGACTGGGGTACGACTTGACTCGGGTACGACCTAACTCGGGTACGACTTGACTTGGGTGTCAATTTTGGGGTACGAGTTGACTCGGGTACGAGTTAACTCGGGTACGAGTTGACCCATTTCGAAAACCTAGACTAGCAAGGGATGATTTAGCCTTGGTCAAGGCGCTAGTTGTTATTCATCCGGCCGTAGCGCGGTAAACGATATCTTCGCTAGCGCTATGCATGCAGTCATATGTCTATGCATACAGTGCATTAAAAATACAGCGCGAACAGCGACCTCACGCGGCCACTATTTTTATGCAAATCAGTTGGACACAATCTAGCACCTTGGTTCAATCGTCCATGTGAGGTTTTGGGGTGGTGCTCATTATGTTAATAGCCTTAGCTGACCTTAAATCTCGTTTTCTTATTGGTCGATCGTTGCGTGGAAACTTGCATAGTGAAACGTGCACCGTACATAATCCATACACGTACACGTTGTGTGTCTCTGCACATGGCACCAATGCACAAAAACTGTGGTTCCTGTCGCGTCCGCAAAAGGCGAATAGCTGCAAATAATTTGATGACGTCCGGATTTACCAAGGTGTGATTGAACACTCCACATATTAGCCCCGCCTACTCTTATCTATATTCGCATACGAGGTCGTGCGCTAGAAATCCAGCGCAAAATAAAGAAAAACATAAGCTTTTTGCGACGATTGAACCAAGGCGCTAGATTGGGTCCAACTGATTTGCATAGAAATGGTGGCCGCGTGAGGTCGCTGTTCGCACTGTATTTTTAATGCACCGCAGGCATAGCGCTAGCGAAGATATATCGTTTACCGCGCTACGGCCGGGATGTGATCGATGAATAACAACTAGCGCCTTGACCAAGGCTAGGGATGATTACCCACGGAAACACCTTAGGCCCCTCCAAACAAACACTTGAAACTGTGTTAAATTGAACACATTCGAAGATAACATTGTTTCCTCCGTCTCAGTTAAAAGTGGATTTATTACCTCTATTTGTTTTAGTAATCACCATGAATCCTTTCAAGCTTAAGACTCTTTCCACACAAAAGAACACAGATGTATGTGACACAATGCTTAAAAATTACAACACTGATCACAAACTTCATATGAATTTCAAAACATAACATTTACTAAAATTGTCAAATGCCATTATTAAACACGATACTTAACATGTTAAAACAAAATCTAATAACTAACGTTTTCTTAAATTTGTTGTGCAATGCTCTTGCATTACTGGAATTTCTTTTGAGAATGTAAGCATTCTTTTTTAGAGGTCTTCAAAGCATTTGTTACGATACATTCAAACTTAAAAAAATTATCACGGACACACTATATTTTTAAGTGTCTTGTATTAGCGAAATCTTCCAGCAAACCTGAGAGTTTGTTTGCATTATAATAGCCTTGTCCAAGGCGGTCTCGGTATTGTCAGGGGAGAGCACACCATATCGTTCAATCTTACACAACCAAGCGTGCCCGTGTCTGGCAATGTGATTGAACACCACGATGCTGTCCGTACATCGTCTGCCAGGCTGACAGACCATGTGTTGGAAGGTTTTTATTTTACTGAAGAGATATTAAAAAAAAAAAAAAAAATTCACAAAGTTGGGAAACAAGCCTGCCAGTACTGTTCAGCTTTAAAGGGAATGTACATCATTGGTTTTTGCTGTAATTTTCAGAAATGGACTATTTGAGGGATTGGTATAATATAGATCAAATATTGTTACATAACATGTTGGAAGTTTTTGTTCGAAAATGCTGGAAAAAGCAAGAAAAACAAAAATGTTCAAGTAGTCTGGTTCCCTGACTCCACTAAAGATAAAATGGATCAATTTATAGATGCCGGAAAATTGTAAGGTAAGGGAACCAGTTTAGCTGGCCTGCACCTGTTCATGAACATGTAACCAATAGCAAACAAAATTGGACTGAAAAAAATTGGTAAATTTGGAGCAGTAGTTGAAAAATAGTCAGGTTTTTTCCAATGGTGGTCGGCTGACCACCGTTGGAAATGTGTACAAAAATATCATTTTCTTGAAAATGACTTCACACCGGGTGCCATAATTTTACAGGATGCTTTAGACTGTCATTTACCAACATCCTAATGAGGTATTTCGTAAAAACTTGGTAGTTTTATTTTTCGATGTTTGCAAATGTTGTATATTCCCTTTAACCCAAGAAAGGACATCCCCGTTCGCAGAGTATTTACACATTATTTACAAAATCTCCACCGGTAACCGACATTTTACAATGTGTCAGCCTTCCTGTTGTACAAAAGGGTTGGCTATCTGTTCCATGCCGTCCGCAGGGCAGATGAGAACCACTGACGTCCCCCTGCAGACTACCAGGCCAAGGTCCCGAGTGTCTTCTGTGATTTTGTAGGGATCATCAGGGTCTGTTACAGAGAAAATAAATAATATGTTTTAGGTTTTAGGCATAGGATGCATACCAAGATGGCGGACAACGGTTAAGTGAATAAGCGACTTTGACCCCAAGATTTTTTGTGATTTTTTTTTGTGTACATAGGTTTTAACATATCACACAATTTGTACTTCACATTCATCACAAAAAGTCTTCAAATAGTGAAAAAAGGAGCGCTTTCTTCTTACTGCTTTGGTAGCGGGTCGCCATGTTTATTTACGTTTCTTTCGTTTGGAATGCAGTCTTTCAAAAGGCAGTATGAGACCTGCTATTATCCTATTTGAGATATGGCGGACACAATAAGACGCCGCTATCTGGTTTGGGTAAATACAAAAGAGTTTACCCAAATCAACAGCGCCTTCCTATCCGGTTCGTTAGTAAAAACGTCATTCACGCGCACCCACCATTGATTACTAGCGCCCATTGGCTACAACCGCTCGAGCTGCGTTAACTTCCGGTTCCAATCGTGCAGAAAGTGCTGGAGGTGACGTCACACTAACGAACCGGATTGTGTCTGCCATGTCTCAAATAGGCTACGACCAATGCTCCCCATGTCACAGCAGAATTGCACTATTGAACACCCCTGATGTTTATTTCTATGAATTTGACTGAAATATAATAACAAAGTTCTGCTAAAAAGAAAAATTCAATTCTTGACAAACATCTTTACCTCGCTGAAACTCAGATGTTCCGTCCAACACAAGATTCAGAAGTGGATCAAATCCTTTGAGAATTCCAGTCACTGAAAGAGGAACAAATTATTAGGCGATTAAAAAATTACCCTCATTTACTACAGTATGAAGACACTGAATAGGGCTGTCCATATAGTAAGTGCGCACAAAAGGGGGGGGAGGGGTTAACATTGCGTACACCATGCATACGGGGGGGGGGGGGGGGTCCAAGCCAATGTGTACGTATGCAGATTGATAATTTGCTTCCAACAAATTGTCATGAAATCAATGTACTTTCTCATATTTAATACATTTAAACACTGTACCCTTAACTCCCACCATTTAGATTGATCTTCCCAGTGCCGCTGTCAGCCAATGCCTTTAAACTCACTCAGTGACAGCAATTTTCTGAGGAGGCACTGGGCTTGCAACAGTCACGCTCAGGTAGCTCAGGAGTCAATAATCGTTCAATATCTTATTAACCCTAACCCCTAGGCCCTTTTTGCCAGGAACCATCCTCAATCAAGTTTTGCACACTATGTTCAAATGAAGGATACCCACTGCCTCAATCCTTCAAAATCCTCCTACAGTCCCGCCTCTCAAAATGCATTCAGCGTCAATCCTCCAAAATCCTCCTCTTCTTCAAACACCATTCATGTCAATCCTCCAAACTCAACCAATACTGACTTTCCATGTGCCCTCAATCCTCCACAATTCTCCAAATTTGTGTGTGCATTCAGTATCAATCCTCCAAAATCCACCAAAACTGCCCAGAGGACTTCAAGAGGATTGAGGAGGGTCAGGGTTCAGACAAACAGCAGAGCTTACCTTCTCTTCCGCCCTGGAATTTGACCCTGGTGGGCTTGTCAATGTACTTGGATAAATCCAAAATACTCTCCTTCTTTTTCTTCTCTTGCTGTTACAAAAATAACAAGAAAAGTAGTGTTAAAAAACACAAATGCCCCGCAACCATGCCTATTTCTATGACATAACACCACTCTATTAACATCGACTTACCTGGGTCACATGGAACGTTCATTGACATCGTTATTGTTTTCTTTAGGTTATATATGTAATGTATTGATGTCTATGATCCCATAATTAATTTTTGTTTTTTGCTTTTCTGTTGGGAAGTCATTGTATGTGATTTAAGCAAACTGACTGGATATTTTCAGTCTTAAGCAAGACATTTCTCAAAGGCAAATTCTTTGAGCATAATCCTTTGAGCATTTACATGGCCTACATGGAAATAAGAAATTTTAAATAATTAAAAGAAAATATGGTTATTTGAATAAGCTTGCGTTATCATCATGACATCATTTCTTTGGTTTTTAATAATGAGAACAGTTGGCCTATGGGGTCCGAAAGTGACTCAAAATCCTAAGAACAACCTTCGGAGCTACATATATACATGTTCAAAAAACTCTGCATGTAGATCGGGGGATTCACCTACGACTGTCCCCCGATCTACATGTTGAGTTTGTTTTTTGTACACAGGTTACGGTCGTGTCCCGGCCCCTGCTTCACGTACGTGTTTGTATGTACATAGTGTACGTCCATACTACCATAGACAATGCGTTAGTAGATCACAGAGATAACGTTAATGAATGGTCGCTGTATGATGTCTGTGCTATAGTGGTTGAATTTCATGGATTTGCAACCCAAAAAATAATCATGAGTATCATTGAAGCCCCATTACTTCGTATTATTTTGACATGTGGAGATGCAAGTAGGTGCTTTCAAAGGTATTTTTGTCAAGTATTTTGCATGATTTTTGTGGTGAACTTTGAAATTATAACATTGACAATACTTCCTTGGTGGGACGCTAGTACGACAGACCAACATCCCAAATATCAAAAAAGGAGTTCTAGCGCCCCAGTTAGTGGGACTAACCCTGCATGTGAATTGTGATATTCCATTTCAAACTATTTCAAAAAAGGCGGTCACAAAAAATTAGGTCACTTTGGGCATGAAAATAGCGCCACCAATGTCCGTGGCGGTGGTTCAAGATATTTACAGCTGGTGCCGTGCGATTCGGCGCGCCTTGCACGTTCACGGTACACCACACGGTGATCTCCATGTTTATTTTCGTGTTGCGTTTTGTCATTGTCATCGTCATTTTTACCCCAAAATTTCTCTCAAAAATTCAAAACCCTGCCCTTGGCTTTATCTATGTCTATGACATAGGCCTATCTGCATATGTCGCCAACAACTAGTTTGGTAGCACAATCGCCTAATCTTGACTTGTCTTAACTTGCCTATGCAATAAAGATTTTGACTAATAAATATTAAAAACTGGTGCCAGTCTAGCTTGAGTAACTCCAGCTGACACATGCTCATATTCATTCACATGTAGCTACATGTGAATGAATATGAGCATGTCAGAAGCTAGCCCCATAAATGTGGCCTATTTACTGGACTGCCTCCGTAAACATAGGCCACACATCCACATGTACAAAAATCGTGTCGACGGAGCCAAATTTTGATTTTCACATTTAGGCTTAGTTTGTAGGTTTTTTTTGCTTTAGAAGCATACTCACCCTCTTTACAGGCTAATCAGAAAGTGCTGCCTTTTTCAGATGTCTAATTTTGTGAAATTTCATGTTGAAATTTTGATACGCAAACGTGTAAAAATGAATCTGGAAATTTCACGAAAAATATACATCTGAAAAAGGCAGCACTTTCTGATTAGCCTATAAAGAGGGCGAGTATGCTTCTAAAGCAAAAAAAACCTACAAACTAAGCCTAAATGTGAAAATCAAAATTTGGCTCCGTCAACACGATTTTTGTACATGTGGATGTGTGGCCTATGTTTACGGAGGCAGTCCAGTAAATAGGCCACATTTATGGGGCTAGTCAGAAGCTACATGTGAATGAATATGAGCATGTCAGCTGGAGTTACTCAAGCTCATGAAGCTAGTGCCAGTCTATACATGCTATGTAAAAGAAGATATACCAATCTGGAACATTTAAGAAGTGAGGGCGCTGTTTACAAAATGAATGGCTACGGTTTTTGCTCGACTAGTAATGCCAAGAATATTTAACTATAGACTTTATTATTAGCGGTCATGGTCTTTACATTGATTATTGCATCATAACGATACTTGGATTGTCAAGATTTCCAAGAATATTTTAAATAGAAATGGCAGATTATGACCACAAACACTGCATAAAGTTGCGTTACTAACTCACCGCCATTCTGTCTGAATGCACTGTACTGCAGCACGTGTAGTTAAAGACTAGAACACATTCGGCATAGGTATGTTCAATACGGGGGCCTAGAGGGGACGTTGGCAGTTTCCAAAATCAAAAGGAAAGTTTCCAGATTACATGTACATGTATAACGCGTGTACGAACTGCAATTTTGACATTATTGATATTTTCAAAGATAGTTCTGAGTTTACTTTCAAGACTAATAACGCCATTCCTAGTTGCACAGCTGGGGTCCAATGTGTGGGACAAATGGGGCGGGCACACTCAATATGTGGGACGGATTCAACTACTTTGGTCTCAACTTTTTTCTTTTCCAAGTCCTGGGCAAGGCAAAAGCAATTCTCTCACCCCAAAAATGTTGCTTGTACTCCATTTTTTACATTTCTCACTACAAAAAAATCGGGAGGGGGGAGGGGGAGTGATCCTATGGCCCATCCCTCTGATCAGAATTTGGGGTCGGCAAAATTTGGGGGGGGGGGGGGTGGTGGTCAAAAATGCTTTTAATGCTGCCTCGCATTCATACAATGTTGGTAAATTACAATCGCCTGTTTTAGGGGGTCAGTCCAAGATATGAGATTTGGTCTAGATGTTATAGGGGCATTAAAAAATCTGAGTTTGTAGGGAAACTTTTTGCTGCATTGTAACAAGAAATGTTGTTTGTTTATTAATAAAGAAAAAGAGATTGACAAGGTTGTTTAAGTTTCCTTCACTTATTTCTTCAGGTTTTTGTGGAGGGGTGTTAAGCCCCTCCCATTAAGAGGCAATGCTTGATAATATGCAGTCCCATGACTTACAGCATTGTCAATTACATTATAAACAGATAAGCTAGCACATCATTATGAAGACCATCTACCATTTTTACTGACAAATCCACCTTTGAATAACTGACATGCACATAAACATAATTACGTGCTTTTAAAACAAGGTACATTAATAATAATATACAGTGCTTATATAGCGCTTTATACCAAAGGTCTCAAAGCGCTTCACAATTATTACCCCTGTTCATCAGGCCATGAGACCAGTTTCTGCAGCAGCTCAAGATCAGCGCAATCTGGTCTCTACCTTCACAGGTACCCATTTATACTCCTGGGTTGAGAGAGGCAATTGTAGTAAAGTGTCTTGCTCAAGAACACAAGCACCATGTTCCCCGTCCAGGTTCGAACCCACGTACCGCGGCAAGCGAGTCGAACACCGTAACCATTGGACCACAGTGCTCCAAGTTCTACATTGAAGCCGTAGAACTTGGTCACAAATAGTCTTGGTCTAATCTTGGTCCAATCCTGCATTGGTCTTTTATTCTCCTGATACAGCCGGTCCATGGCAAGTGAGGTTGCTGTCAACAAGATGAATCAAATCCAGTCTTGGCAATATTGGCAGCGCTACCCACAAAATTCCGAGCATACTTCACATATGTTGTACTCAAGCTGATGCATGCGTGTGAGGTATGCTCGGAATTTGCTGGGTAGCACTGCCAATGTTGCCAAGACTTGTTGATAGCGACCTCCACCGTCGTGGCAACTTAACTGCCTTTGTCATGGGACTGGCTGCAATGTCCTTAATAATACTGGTATCCTTATATGCCAATGGCAGATGGCCATACGACACATGTGGTAGATCACTCTAAAAGTAAATGCTTAGCAAACAATGTGGTTAAAACACTGGTACACGGTAAGCACCCATATAGTCTGGATCCAATTTTCAGAAAGCTGCTTATATCTGCCGTACAAAAACTGGTATAACATCAGTCAAAATGTCTTGCGATGTATAGTGCTTGTGATTTGTTTCATGGCCGATTTCCGCCAAGTGCAAAAACCTGCTTCATGAAACTTGGCCATTGGTTTGCGAGATAAACCCCTAACAAACTTGAGCTGATTAGCCCAATTAATATTTAGTCTTAACATAATTTACACCATCAGCTACAACAGACATGGAGAAAGAAAAAAAACGACCATGAAAAAGAAAATGCCACCAAAAAAACGGTCTCACTATAGTAGTACACATTCACAAAATACAAACGTGTTCAATGGATTTGAATGAACTTGGCACTGTTCTGGTTTTCCTATTTATTTTTAGCTCTTTTCCCTACACTAATACAACTACGCCTCAAGGAATGTGTTTCTAATAGCAACCTTAACCAACCAGTATGAACATATCACCACCCTAAAATACTCAAATTGCAGTAAATAACTTGCCAAAAATGCATAAGAATGAAGAACTATTTTGAAGAAATGAAAATACAATACAGCTCGAAAATTCAGAGATCATCAAGCCATACGTACACATAAATAATAATAATAATTTGGGAGGCTAATCATCCTTACTCGCAGCTGGTATGCTGAATTACGAAGGACGCGGCTACAACGTGGTCGGGCCGCTGGCACGTGAAGTCGCCTATGGCTGCCGGCCACATCGACCCATATATATGACCACGGAGCACAGCCTGAGATCGACAGTGTTTGATTTTTCCGAAAGGAGGAAAACCGGAGGGCCCGGAGAAAAACCCTCGTGGCACAGGAGAGAACCAACGTACAACTCTACTCACATGCGATCCGCGGCCAGGATTCGAACCGTGGTCACCTTGGTGAGAGGCGAGCGCTTTACGCACAAGCCACCCATGAAACATAAAGGTTTATAGGGCAATGAGTTAATTTTGTAATAATTTTCCTCATACATATTCATGATCTAGCATTGGCCGCTCTTTGGTCAAAGCTTCAATGCACAGATATACCAACTCTATGCATGGTTAATGCTGAATTTATGTCTTATGCCGGGCACTATTACTTACAATGTATTTTGCATGTTTTGCATTTAAGCAAACTGAATTCATAAATACCTGAGACAGTTTACACATTCCTATTGGTCGAGAGCCTGTCACGAAGATGGTTTTAGCCTGCTGGTAAAACACAGCTGCGTTCTGCGCCACATCGCACCGTACGCGCCAATCTCCATATAAGGAGATTTTTAGCACTACGCGTGCGAGGCTCATACCATAGACATGGCCAAAGGGGTGTTTCAAAAACGAAGAAAAACTGTTGAACAAAATCATTGGAATTTTGTCAATTTTTTTGGACTTTTTGACTGAAAAGGTATTCATGAATGGGAATAAAAATGTGCTTGGCTAGTTTTAAACAACTATGTTTAAAACTAGCCTGGTCGCGGATAATGTTTGCTTTTCCCACGCCTTCAGCTCGGGCAATTATTTGCGATCAGGCCCCTAGCCAGTTTTAAACATACCGGCCAAGCACATATTGAGTCCCTTAGTATTACAAACATGTAAGGGACTAATACACAAAAATACAACATAACTAGAGAGATATAAACGCCGCTCTAAACTGTCAAAACTTGCTTTAAAAAACCCAAAAGCCATTACCACCAAGGAGCGAAATCAAGGAGTGATCAAGAACTTGTAAGACCTTTGGTCTTCAAAGCAGACAAAAAGGTCAGAGAAATTCTAAAACTACACTGACACCACATGTAATTATAAGGGATTGATGTTAACCTTGACGATTGATGTTAATACCACAGGAAAGAAAAACGAAAAAGGTGGCGAAGACAGTAAATCTTGGGTGTCATTCTCGATGGATCAGGACGAACAAGCCAAGCCCAGCCAGAACTATATACTGTAGATGGGAAGAAAGACAAAGAGAAATTCCATTCAATTCATTGAAATGTTCTCACATAAGAACCAAAGTTCAGTGTCTAAATGATAAGAATGTAAACCAGGTAAAAATGCAATGTTATGCTTTTTGGAATATATTGACTGCAGTGGCCCTAGGTTTGGAGCACTCTATGCTGCAATCAAACTAAATTGATTCCATTCCAAATTCTGTATCGGAATGCTGACTGAACTTCTTCTTTTTTAGGATTCAAATCCCTGAACCCTAACCTACCCCAACCCATCAAATCCCAATGGCATGTTTTGTTGGAATCTGTCAGGATGGGAACAGTACCCTTATACTGACAGTCTTTTACATTGGGTTGGCACACCTGCAGAATCAAAGGCAGAAATATGTGTGTGCAGTTTCCCGTATGGTGATAAAATTTGCCAGGAAGGGTATGGTTCCTAGTAAATCATGCTAGGGGGTTAGGGTTAAAGGCATATAGGATCATTTGCTGTTTATGCATGTTGTTCGTTTCCAATAATAACACCACTCAAAATCCAAAGAAGAATGTTCACAACCTAACCTGTTGAAATTTCAGCTCAGTGGATATTACACTTTTCGAGAAAACAGTAAAAAATAACATGCACAACCTTTTCATCACAAAACACGATTTTGTCAATAGCACTCTTTCTTCCAAAAATCTGTCAATCGTCTAATCGTTGGAAATCACCAAAAAAAACCTTTTCATTTCATCTAAATGACAGCAAGCCAAACAGAATAATTTCACAGGGTGTTTAGTACCAGTACAATCTTTAATCCAAGTAAGCTTTTGATAATAATTTGGTAGGTTACTTTTAGGATAAATGCAAATGATCCTGCATGTATGTGCCTCAAAGTATTCTATTCCAGAATTTAACATTCGATAAAGCCACTTTTGTAAGATCTTGGACACGGCATTAAGATCTCAGTGTTGGTTTATTGAGTGCTCATAACCAAGTGAAGAATACATACAGGATACAGCACAGAATATTGGGTGTTGTCTTAAAGGAGTCGTATTACAATGGGTTCTCATTGGCCAGTGGGAGGTGGTCTGAGGTGGTCTGATGTGGTCTGATGTCTGACCATACTTCTGGCCTGACCTACAAGTATATATGTATGTCAAGGGTCACACATGTGTACTTACATGTTACATCTCCCTTTTTACAAATTCAAAACATTTGAATTGAATCTTAACTGAACTATGTTTATATATTTTTTTATACAATTATAAAGCATATCTCCTGTTTTAATACAATGCTGTAAAATCATCAATAAATCATTCATACATTATTTATGATATTATTAGACATTCATAAATACCTCAGACAGTTTAGCCATTCCTATTGGTCGAGAGCCCGTCACGTGGCCGGTATTAAACGGATGATAAAGACATGGCTAGCTGGTCTTAAACACTTTTCCAGTGTCACAATAAAATGTGGACTCCTAAAAATCCAGTGCCTCTTATCGTTTCATTGGTTGAACGTTCACAATCCTCACGTAGGCATGCGCAACACTACCAGGGAGTTAGAATTTTATAGTTCTAAATTCAAAACGCAACGCGCCAGGTGCGTTCTGCGCGACATCGCGTAGAACATGATACGCGCGCGTCAATCTCCATAAAAGGGTTGTTTTCTTCTTACTCGCCAGCTGAACACTCCATTATTTTGCAGGAGGGATGTTTCAAAAAGCATAAAGTGAATTTGTTGAACAAAATCGGGATGTTTTGAACGAATTATATGATTTTTTTTTACCGAAAAGGTATTTATGAATGGGAATAAATATGTACTCCGTCGGTATTTATCACTCTGTTTAATACCACTTAGAGTCTGGGTGCTGATAATTACCCTCGCCTCCGGCTCGGGTAATTATCAGCACCCAGACTCTAAGTGGTATTAAACAGAGTGATAAAAACCTCCGGAGCACACATTTATTCCCTTATTATATGAGCAACATTAAATTTTAACAGTTAACATGTACTGTGTAGTAATAATACATCAGTTGTTTTTTGGGAAATACATTGGAGAAATCATCTGCATTTCAAAATTATCTGTTTTTGAATATCAATGCATTTCCATAATTTATCAGTGTTGCTCTTAGTTTGCTTCTTTCTTTCTTTCTTTCTTTTTTTTTACTTAGCTTGCAAATCGATTCGGTTCCTTCTGTAGTTACCTCCTTCTGATTCAACCAAGTAACTTCTTGGAAAGTTAAACTTTTTTAGAACAGTTGCATTTTTCCATGTTCTTTGTGGGGTACGCATTTTAACTTGTTCACCAATTTGCAGAGGTCGAAGATTTTTTGTGCCTCTGTCAAAATATTTCTTCTGATGTTGTTGCTTGATAACCAGTTTTTCTGTTACTTGAGGGACAACCTGGGGTTCTAGTAATTTACTAGATGTTGGAATTGTTGTCCTTGTTCGTCTTTGCATGAACATTTGTGCTGGACTTGCATTTAACCCTTCGACTGGTGTGTTTCGATGGTTAAGCAATGCCAAGTATGGATCTGTCCCATCTTCTTTTTTGAGCAGGTTTTTTGCAACCTGAACAGTCTTTTCAGCTTTTCCATTGCTACGAGGGAAATTTGGTGATGAAGTTACATGATTGAATTCGTACTCTTTTGCAAAATTCTGAAATTGTTCACTGGAGTATTGCGGTCCATTGTCAGAGATTACTGTTTCTGGAATTCCATATCTCGCAAAGTGTTGTTTGCAAATGTTGATCACTTTTTGACTTGTTGGCATTGAAGTCAATTGGGTTAACTCAAAGAAACTCGAGTAGTAATCTACAATGAGCAAATAGATCTGCTTCCCTGGTAGTTCAAACAGGTCTGTTGCTATTTTTTGCCATGGGCGTTGTGGTTTTTCATGCCCTAACATTGGCTCATTGGTTTGTTTTGGTTTGTACTTTGCACAGGTCTCACAACTTTCTACCAACGTTGTTATTTGTTTTAGCATGCCTGGCCAGTAAACAGTATCTTTTGCCAACTGTTTGGTTTTCTCTATTCCTTGATGCGATCGGTGAACTGTGCTCAAAACATATCTCTCATTGTCTTCGGTACCACTACTCTGTTTGACTTGAACACTATACCATCTTCTACAGTTAGTTCTTCTCTAATGGTCCAGTATTGCCGCAAGGATTTGTTCGTTTTGTTTATTGTTTCTGGCCAGCCATCTAGAATGATTTGTTTCAAGTCTTGCAATTCAACATCTTTCTCTGTTTTTTGTTTTAGCTCATTCAGTTTTGTCTCTGACATAGGTATGCAATCTACCATACACACAGGAACATCTTCATCTGTCGTAGGTTCAGAATCTTGAAGGTAGTTTCTGCTCAAAGCATCCGCTACATGCAAGTCTTTTCCTTTGACATATTTCACTCTCAGGTCATATTTCTGTAGTGTTAACAGCATCTTTTGTAACCGCATCGGTGCTGTATACAGCGGTTTTTTTAATATTGCCTCCAGTGGACGATGGTCAGTTTGCACATTGACAGTGCGGCCAAAAATGTAGTTGTGAAATTTTGTGCAGCCAAACACTATTGCTGCCAATTCTTTCTCAATTTGAGCCCATCGTTTTGGGGTCTCTGTGAATGCTTTGGACGCATATGCCACTGGAAGTTCACTTTGCAGTAATACTGCACCTGTTCCTGAACTTGAACTGTCAACACTAAGTGTTACTTCTTTGTTTACATAAAAGTATTGTAGAGTTGGCGCTTGAGTTATCATGGATTTCAATTCCTGAAAAGCTTTCTCTTGTTCATCAGACCAGAACCATGCTACATCTTTGTCGAGCAATTTTCTCATAGGTGCTGTTTTGTCTGATAGGTTAGGAATGAATTTCCCAACGTACGTTATCATGCCCAATATTTGTTGGACACCTGCTTTGTCTGTTGGAGGTTTCATTTTGAGAATTGCCTCGATTTTCTTTGGGTCTGGTTTCAGACCGTTCGCTGTTATGACATGACCCATGTATTTTACTTCACTCTGATTAAACTTGCATTTTTGTGCATTCAGACGTATGTTTTTTTCTTGACATCGCTGAAGCACTTCCTTTAGGATTTTGTCATGTTCTTCTTGAGTTTTGGCATGAATTAAAATATCATCCATAATAACTTGAACACCACTCATATCACAGAAGGTTTCAGTCATGATTCTTTGAAACATTTCTGGTGCCACATTGATTCCAAACGGGAGTCTGTTGAATTTGTATCTCCCAAATTCAGTATTGAAGGTACAGAGGTCGGCACTCTCACTATCTAATTGAATCATCCAATATCCACAATTTGCGTCAAGGGTACTGAACACCTTTGCGTTTGCCAACTGATCCGCTATTGCGTCAAGTGTGCGCATTGGATAATATTCCCTGAGCAAGGCTTTGTTCAAGTCAGCTGGATCCAAACAAATTCTGACTTTGCCTGATGGTTTTACGACTGCGCACATGCTACTGACCCAACCTTTTCCGGGTCCTGTGACCTTTGTTATGATGTTTTGGTCTTCCATTTTTGTCAACTCTTCTTTTACTTTTTCTCTTAGTGCTACTGGAACTCTACGGGGTGCATGCACTATAGGCGTTGCCTCTGGTTTGAGTTTGAGTGTTTGTTCTCCTGGCATACAGCCTATTCCTTCAAATACCTTCTTATATTTTTCTTTTAGCTCTTTTGTGTCTGGTTTACATGCATCTTTCTGCAGATTTGGATTTTGGATGACTTCTTCTACTTCCTTGATCAAGCCTAGTTTCTTACAAGTAGCTAGCCCAATAATTGGTGTTGCCCTATTCATCTTAACTACTTGGAACTCAATGTCATAATATTTATCATTGTACTCACTCAGTAAGGTGCACTTGCCTATGGGCTTGATTTTGTGTCCACTAAATGAAGTTAGAGTCACTCGTGATTTTGTCAGTTCTTTGCAAATTTGTCCGTGCAGGTGAGCTGGAAGGACATTGCATTGTGCTCCTGTGTCCACTTTGAACTTGGTTGTCATCATTTGACGAGCTTGTGTTCCAATCTTCATGTTGATGTTCCACTCTTTGTCGTTCGCTCCTATCTCAGCCATGAACAGTTCTTCCTCATCTTGCCCATGATTGTCCAGTGACTGGATCTGATGGTTCGTGCGGCACATTTTGGCGAAGTGGTTGGGTTTCTGGCACTTGCTGCACTGGCGACCGTGTGCTGGGCAGTTTCTGGGTCCGTGTCTGTTTCCACATTTTTTGCAGGAAAACGTGTTAGCCGTGGATGTGCCTGCATGGCCTGGCTGATTTCTGTTGCTGGGTTGTTTGGTCCTCTGCCATTGCTGACCTCTTGGATTTTGTTGTCGCTGACTTCTCGCCTGCTGCCTTGTTTTCTGCAGGGCATTCAGTGACTGCTCTTGCTTTTCCTCTTGAGCAGTTTGTTTTAGTTTGTTCACTTGTGAGTGAGTGATTTGCGCAGTTTTGCAAATCTCAATTGCTTGTTGCAGCGAGACATCTTTGGCTTGCAACAGCTTTGCTCTGATGGCGTTGTCTCGGATTCCCACGATGATTCTGTCTCGTATGAGACTTTCTTGTAGCTCTCCAAACTCGCTTGTACTTGCTTTTCTCTTCAGATCCGTGATGAAGACTTCTACTGTTTCCTCCGCTGTTTGCACTCTACTGTTGAAGATATGTCTTTCGTATGAGACATTTTTTTGAGGCAGGAATTGTTTGTCAAACTTTTCGATGAGCGTGGCAACATCCTCCTTGTCTTCTCCTTCTTCGAAGCTGAATGTGTTGTATACACTGATTGCCTCTGCTCCTGCTACATGCAGTAGGGTACTGCTTTGTATTGTTTTGGGTTTATTTCCGAGCCCACTTGCTATTTTGTATATTTGAAACTGTTGTTTCCAAGATTTCCAGTTTTCCGCTGGATTTTCAGCAATGTGCAGCTGTTTTAGTGGCGGTTGTAGTGCTTGCATTTTGCAAGATTTTCTTATTATTTTTTGACACTACTTCTGACACCATGTAAGATCTTGGACACGGCATTAAGATCTCAGTGTTGGTTTATTGAGTGCTCATAACCAAGTGAAGAATACATACAGGATACAGCACAGAATATTGGGTGTTGTCTTAAAGGAGTCGTATTACAATGGGTTCTCATTGGCCAGTGGGAGGTGGTCTGAGGTGGTCTGATGTGGTCTGATGTCTGACCATACTTCTGGCCTGACCTACAAGTATATATGTATGTCAAGGGTCACACATGTGTACTTACATGTTACAACTTTCAGACCCACTATGACCAAACATTTTGTAACTAACATAATATAAACAAATTAAATTTTGTAACAAAAAAGAAAAGAAAAATTGAAATAACTTACCATTTTAGCATACGTTTCACAAAGCCTTTCATAATTTTCCAGAAAAAAATTGCACAACTACATCTCAGAGAAGCAAAGCAATGCAAAAAAAAATAAAACCCACAAAATTGTGAGGACAAGTACAGAACAAAAAACTCCGACCAGTTACACTCACCTTAAATTTTGGGTAGTCATTCATAAGAATCGTTACTATGCCAACATACGGTACAAAACCCCGGGCTCGACCAATCACGTCTTTCCGTTGAAGCCACAGCTGTCCTGGTGCATACAGGCCTCGATCATCCACCATGTTGTTGTCACCTTTAGTCAGAAACTTCATTTCACCATTTTCCCTGTTTACAGAAAAAGGGGGAAAAAAATTTTAAAAGATAGATATTAACCTCATTCTTCAGACACTGAAAAACCTCATGTTTGTCAAAGTAAAGTTATTTACAACTTGCAAAGGACTTGAAAAAAAAAAATTGACAAATATTTCTCCATAATTTGGTCTCTGTGGAATAGATGGTTCCAACTGTCCAGCAGTTCAGAGTGCCTGAAGATCCTGAATGTGTAAATTTAGAGAGGCATTCTATAATAAAAGATGAATGCAATCGATGAAGAAGTATTTACATTAATGTACTGACGTGTTTTGCAAAATCCAAACTTTGAATAGTTTAAAGAAACCAAAATGAAAGAGAACTGAAATGAAACATAAAATGTAATTTTTCAACCAAAAAAAGAAAGATTTACATCCCTCCATGGATTTATGAAATATTAACAGAAAGACAGAAAGACAAAAATAAGTCCAAGGTTGGTCAAGGATGAATAAACTGCGCACAATGCCTATCCTGCATATCCGGTTCGTAAGAGTGACGTCATTTCAACTTAAACCACGCCCACTACGCATGGAGTAGCATAGAACCATTGGAACCGGAAGTTGACTGAAGAGGTGAGTTTTCCCAATGTCACTTACGAAGTGTTACCAACTCTATCACGAAGGCCCCCTTCAATGGCGAAAGCATTGTGCTAGCTATTGTTCAGATATAAATCTGTCATGGGGCAGTTGCTTTGTACAATAACATGCCCAATGGTTTCTCCATTGAAGGGGCCACGTGACTGTTCAGTGATAACATGCCCGGATTCATCTATACAGTGTTAGTTCTAGTTGTAGCAACAAAGGACTATCTGATAGCAAAGTACCAAGGACTTACTGTTCGTGAAGTCGTAGCACCCTGTGGACTATGGGAATGTCTCGGCCTTCAATCTTGAAGACGACAATCTCCCCGACGCGGATGGGATCGTCTTGGTAGTTGGTGAGGAACAGCAGGTCGCCCCGGTGAAAGGCTGGCTCCATACTACCGCTGGGTGGAAAAGGGATAAAACGTCCCACAAAAAAAGGGGAGTTTTTTGCTCCAATCAGTATTTTTAAGTATTAAGTAGCACATCTAGAATGCAGACATTCAGTGTCATAATCTGAATGTACGACACACGTAAGGTCAGTCCAAAACAAGGACAACACTTTGTTGTATACGTAGTATCAACAACATTGTTTTCAAAAATAAAAATTAACCAGTTACCCAGCACTCTGACGGAGAGTAGAAGGAGAACGATCATGTTTTAAACCTTGGGCAAGTTCAATCAATGACCATAGTTAACCATACTTTGACGAACTTTGATGGAATGCACACTGTGACGATGATTGGACCAGTCTAGTCGACCATTCAGGACCAGCCTTCCGCGGTTGGTTGCGCAACGAGTTATAGCTGGTCATTAACCCTAACCGAACTCAACCCATCAAAGCTCAACAGCAGGTTTTGTTTAAATCTGTTGGGATAGGTACAGAACCCCTAAACTGATCGTCTTTTACATTGGGTTGGCATACCTCCAAAAACTAAGTCCAACAGTGTGTGTACAATTTTCCATGTGGGTGTTGGAATTTGCCAGAATGGGTATGGTTCCTAGTAAATTAGGCTGGGGAGTTTAGGGTTAATAGCAATTTTCATAGCATAGTGTAGAGGGGACAGGGTTGGTGATTTTTTTTGATTTTTTTTTTTAAATCAAAAAATCAGATTTATTTGATTTAAATTAGATTTTTTTGATTAAAATCAGATTTTAATGGAGTTGGTAAAGTTAGGGTTAAAGGTCACATCATCTAGTATTCCTGCGCCACTGCCTGAGACTGAGAAATGTAACTCACCTTAAGACGACAACAATAGGACTCTCACTGCCCATGACAACCATCAGACCTTTCCATATCATCAACGCTGACGACACGATCATTCCAAAATTCAGCACCTGGTAGAACAGCTGTAAAGGGATAGCAGGGGCAAAGAATCAGGCTATGAATACGTGTAGCATTGTATTTGTAATAATAATAATTGTGCAGAGTTCTCGCACAAAGGTCAAATAACCCACGTCCCTACGCTGAAGGTTTTGGGTGCTTTGTGACGATACTGCAGACAGGTCTTTACCTTGCTCTGTGATACTTTATATTTATCACACCTTACCAACAAATTCTGTGTCTTGATTGGCCAAGAGTTAGTGAGATGACAAAGCAGGCAATTACTAGTGCACAGTATGGGCCATCGGTTAAAACTTGTTTTGATTCCCCATTAAAGGTATAGTCCATCATTTGTAATTTGTGCAATTTGTTCGTTTGAAGCAACACACCTACTCAAAATCTGAAGAAGGGTGCTGAACAACTAACCTGATGAAGTTTCAGCTCAGCTTCAGCTGTATATTTCGAGAAAAACAGCATTCTAAGATCTCGATTTCAAGTCAAAAGCTGCCGAATCATGTTTTGAATTGGGCCTGAATTCAGCGTCCAAGACACGTTCTTACTGAGCCGAATGCAGCTACGCGATGTCGTGCACTGATCCGACGAATTATAGCAACCGCGCGCGTGCGTGTGCGTTGTGTCAACGCTTGCGCGCGCTTTGCTGAATAAAAAAACGAACTACTAACGGAAATTTCCAACGGTGCGTCTTAAGAAGCACCGTTGGAAAGGCCTTCTTTCGTTGATTTCTTCAAAATGACAGCATGCCAGAAAGAATAATTTCACAGGGAGTTTAGTCCCCTTACTATCTTTTAGCTAAGTACGTTTTTCAACAATAATTACGTCAAGTCACTTTTTGAATAGCTGCAATGATGGACTACAGCTTTAATACGTGTATGTGTATAGCAAGAATTTATAGTGGTCATCTTTTCACACATTGTTGTTGCATTGGTAATTGGAAATGGACTTATTTTAAAATTCATTTTTTACATTTCTTTACAGCTTATCAGAATAAAAAATGTTTTGGATAAGGCAAGGTAAAAAAAACAACATGTTTAGCATCCGGGTTTTTGAAAAAAAGGAGGCGGGGCTTTTTTTTTCTTTCGTTTTTTCAAGATAGCCGACAGCCGTTGGTTTTTACACTGTTCAAAGATACAAAAAATGAAACAGATATGCTGGACAAGAGAATTAAACATATTTACAGTGTTTTTAATAGTTTTCCAGCACGGATTTACAAGAATTAAAAAACACTGCCGAGCGGGCATTCTTGTCCACGTTGAGGCTGGTTTGGAGATCGCAGGGTCGACTGCTAGACCCGTGAACGTGGCTTGTAAACTACGCCACGCTCTTGTACCATTTCGAACCAAGCGAAATCGTCCTTCCGTGACAAAAACTGAACATTACTTTACCGTGTGATAAGTACTCACATATCAAGCTTTCTTGAACATGTTGAAATCTGCTTTTATGCCAAACCTTGCATTTAAACGAAATTCGAGGTAAAATCTGGCAAGATCTCGACGTCCTGCAACCTCCTCCTGATGCATGTGATTTACTAGACAAGGCCACGTGATAAATGCTGCGGATAATTTGGTATCGCACTGACGCTCCGGGCACTCCTTATGTCCGGATCATAAGTGCGATTCCAAATTATTAGCAGCGTTTATCACGTGGTCTCGTGATTGGCCAGTCTGACACCGCCCGCGATCATATGCGTCACATGGAGCAGACGGGTAGCTCGGAGGGCTCCAATAATTTGGCACGCAAGTGACCCTGGGTACTTGTCCAGTAAACGTTAAAATCTAATTTCTACACGTTCATATAGGTCTTCATTTTCGGCAAATTTCTTCGAAATGACACATCCTGAACACGCGTGAAGGCAAATAAAGAATTCTAGGTAAGTACTCAACCTGCATACGAAGATGGCGGATCGATTTCGCTAGGTTCGAAATGACACAAGAGCGTGGCGTTGTATACAACGCCACATTCACAGGTCTAGGTCGACTGCATGCATGATTGATGAGAGAAGTGACCAATAGAGTCTAGAATTAGAAGTTTCGACTTGCAAGTATTTGATTTTATGATGGATCGGTCATTTGGACGTTTTTTTTTTTTTTAAAAGAAAAAAATTAAAGGAGGCGGCCTCCAAAAAGGAAGCGGGCGAAGACACTAAACATATTTTTTTTCTTTTTTTATTTGGCCTAAATCCCTTTTTAGATATTACCAATACCAGTTTTATTACTCATGAGTACTATGACCCTGCCGGAAAGAATGTTGCAACCTGACGCCCCTTCAGTGGTTGTGTACAAAGTCTATGGAGAGTCAAGAAAATTGTCAAACACTCAAAGTATTTCCCCCAAAAAATGTTGCAACCTGACGCCACTTTTTTCTTCATTCACAATGAAGCCTTGAAGGTCATTCAATCTCATTGCAAAAATGATGACAAGACATGAATCTGGGCCTGAGAAACATTTCCAATTGTGTAAGGAAATACTTGACTCTCCACAGACTCTGTACACAATCGCGCAAGTTACGTCAGGTTGCAACATTTTTTCCCCCATATGTTTGTGCATACACAATTCCTTCCTCCATGGCTGAACAATGCCCTCTGTCATGACTGCAAGTTGTTTGGTATTTTTGGTAAGGTTTCTTTACCGAAATTCAAAACCAACCTGACGCTTGTTCATTCGCCGAACCTCGTCTAAAAACTCAAAATTCATCATCGTGGACGTGTAGTCCCGTAAAGGCTACTCCGGGAAGAAAAAAAATCCTTGGAAATGCAGGCCTATTTCATCATTTCAGTTCCGTATGTCACTATTATTAGTACAGTGTACTATAGTATTATTATGCAGCATACATACTATGTACATGTGGTTTCTTGTCATTGGCGCATTTATCGAGCGCCCTCTAGGTGTACCGCACGCCGGCACTCAAAAGCGCTAATGGAGGGCGCCCTTTCGTAAAACAAGAGGTTTGCGGTAGCACGATTGAGTATCAAGACATTTTGACAACGCACTGTAAAGCCATCTAAAAAATATAAAAGTACTGCAAGATGTATGGAGAATGTTCATTTTATGTCATATTTTTTTGTTGAGTATATGCCATTTATATCGGGGTAAAAGTCTTTACGAATTGTCGTAGAAAATTATGCTTTTGAGATCCGTTTGTGGTCAAAATGTGAAAGAAATAAGCTGTATAACTTTGTATAGGGCCTAATAAGAAGCCTGACTCACGGCAGACGCCGTGACTACGGTACCTACCAGACATTTTGTTCGCTTAGGGTTTTTGGGGTCACAATTCAGCCTATATGAGTATGTGTCAGAGTTGAGTAAAGTCTGCTTGCTTTTTCTTGTCTAACTAACCGACCGACCGTCCAACCGACCGACTGACCCGGTCTGCCTGAATGCTTGGTTTGGTTACAAGTCATGTCCGCGATTGAGATCTCATCCTTAGTTTGCAGAAGGATGAGTGGAGTCTGGCATTTGCCTGATGTTTGAGGTATCAAGGAAATGTATAGATATGGTGCCAAAAATTTTTTAATGTACAATTTGAAAAAAAAGCCTGAAATCAAGCCCAGTGCAAGGAGGACTTATATGAAAACTCTCACCCAAAATCAGTTATAAAGCAAGACTAAGAGCCGTAAAGACAGGGGCGGCGGAACCGGGGGGGGGGGGGCACTTGCCCCCCAGATTTACCTCTTGCTTCAATTTTCTGCCATCTTGAAGGATCAGAATCAAATTTTCGGGGGGGGGGGGGTGGAGGAGTGCAAGTGGCCATTCCGGCACTGTAATCAATTAGAAAAGCGGGGACCTCATTTGGCTCTAGGGGGCGCTCTTTCCCCCATAATACTTTTTAACAACGTTTTGGTATTTGATACAATGTGATAAACACATTTTGCCATGCAAGTGCACATTTCTTATGTTATGTCTTATTTTATCGGAGATTATCGAAGCAGAATATGAACCTACCAGCTACCGCTGACGACAAGATCATGGAGGCAATTCCAAGCAAGGGACAGATGACCAGAACAGCCATAGTCCGACTAGAACAGCCAGGGGTGCGTTTTGGCGGTCATAACCAAGAATTGGTTCGGTGGTTTCTTGTCGGTGAATTTCTTCGGCAATTTTAATTGGGTTAGAATTATGCGTGATCATGTAGTACTCAAATCCCCAAAACAATTAACCAACTAGAGAAACCATCGAACCAATTCTTGGTTATGACCGCCAAAACGCACCCCAGCACTAACTGAATGAGCGTCACTTGTGATTTGGACTTGCTTAAGTCTCACCTTGGCCCCAACGTTAGTATAGGATAACCCTATTTATAACACCCAAAAGGTAATCATAATGATGAAAAAGACTTCCCGTGTCAGGTGTGTCCTTGTGTGCTCAAGCACAATTTGGCACATTCGCCGGCATGATTTTTCGGACCAATGCAGAGTACTGATCTCAAAGAAGAGTTACCAAAAAAGTAAAGATTACCTAGATCAACAATACAACATTATTTAAACTAAACAAAAGAAAAGAAAAAGTCTTACAATGAAAAAAGGAAATGTCAAAAGCCACGAATCGATAACCCATAAATTCCCGTGTAATTTGCCTCAAATATTGAGTCTAACTATTTTAAGAAGATAAAAACAAAAGAAATGACACCTTTATTAAGAAATAAGGAAATAAAAAAGTAAATTCTGATTAAAGGCGCCTTTGAAGATATCGAAATGAAGAATGACGAAATTGAACAAAATTATAAAATTGTGTGGCATTAGACGAATTTGATTTCTCAATAACACGATTCGGCGCAGACGAGACGAGATCGAATACTCCTGGTCAAAAACGTGTGCTCATTGTTTGAATTTGTTTGGACTACCAACAAACCAGACTTTGCAGTTGTGGAAGGAGAAATCAGGGTGAGTAAAAACCGGAACCCAAACCCCCCAAATTATATTTCATATTTCAACAAATATATAGCACAAAACATAATAATGGCTGAAAAGCCAATTTCATAAGCAACTTTTATATGAAAAAACGTACTGAAATTGCACAGTCCGTTCAAAGAATATCACCATTTAAACACAATGACCCTAAAATCTCTTTCGTCCAAAAAATGCGATTTCAAGAATCGTCGTCACAATTGTCTTCAAACATCACCAGCGATAAAACCTCTCAGTTTAAAAGTTAAAAATATTCAACAAAAGTCATTTGAAGGCCCGTCATTTAAAAAAAAGGGGATTTTATAAATCATATTGTTTGCCTAACCAGGGTTGTTAATAAAGATATTGTGTACTACAATTAACACAAGTGAATACATGTCATTTTCTTTCTTCCAAACAGTCAGAACACTAAACTGCGTTTTTGGACGAAAGATGTTTTAGGGTCATTGCGTTTAAATGGGGATATTCTTTGAACGGATTGAGCAATTACAGTATTTTTTTAATCTAAAAGTAGCTTATGAAATTGGCTTTTCAGTCATGATTATGTTTTTTTTTTTTTTTTTAATATGAAATATATTTGTGCATGTGTAATCAACCAATTAACAGTCTGTAACCGACGAACAATCAACCAAATATCTAAGCAAACTACCTCCGTATCCGGGGCCCTCACTTCTGCCAGGGGGAACCTTATGCGGTGCTGACCCCCGATGGCGAGTCAGACATCTTCGAGGTCATGGCTGGTGTACTGCAGGGTGATACTCTCAGTCTTGCACCCTATTTTTCGTCATCGTCCTTGACTACGCGTACGCTCTGAGGCGAGCAATCGCGGGGAGGGAAGAGAGGAGCTTGGCTTCATTCTCGCACCAAGACAAAGCAGACAGGTTGGTTCTGTGGTAGAGACCGACTTTGACTTTGCTGATGATATATCGCTCTAGCTGGTCTCGCCTCGATGGAAGAAGGCACAAGCTCTGCTTCTCAGCGTGGAAGGAGAATGTAAAAAGATTGGCCTGCAGCTCAACGACAAGAAGACTGAAGTCATGTGCTTCAACATCGACACTGGGCCGGGGATGTAAAATGCAACATGAAGGATGGCACTACCCTAGCTGTGAGAAAAGACTTCAAGTACCTTGGCTCCTACATCAGCTCAACAGACAAGGACATCCGAGCGAGGAAAGCACAGGCTTGGAAGGCTTGACAAAACCCCAAGAAGATCTGGAAGTCTACGATGCCGGATAAACTCAAACGAGCTTTATTCCGTGCATCCGTGAAGTCTTTTCTACTCTACGGCTCTCAGGCATGGACTCTAACTACAAAGCAAGAGGCTCGACTCGATAGCTGCTATACTCGCATGCTGAGGATGGCTCTAGACGTGAGTTGCACAGACGTCAGGAACGAGGTGCTCTATATACTACGGCAACCTGCCAAGGATCTCCACAACTCTCAGAACCAGCATATGCGTCTGCGATTGGTTGGACACTGCGTACGGCATCCAGAGATAGCTACAAGCCAACTCATCCTCGGCTATGGGAACCCACACATGGAGTAGCCTCTCGAGGTGGGCAGACGTTAACCTACGTGGACCAGCTGCGTCGGGGACACTGGGCTAAGTTCCGCAGCCTAGCCGAGATCAGGACGGCCATAGGAGAGCGTGATGTATGGCTTGCCTTTGTTGCAGTCCGACGAGAGTTGACCTTATGATGATGATGAATTTTATTGTAATTTCGATGAAAAATAAAGTGTTCTGGAAACTGTACTTTTACACTGGAAAACGAATCCTGGCATTTCTAGATCAATTTACACAAAAGCCAGACAGACGTCTATGCAAGAATCCTCATCACTCAGGCCTATGGATTTTCTTTGAAGCGGTAAATTTTCTGGTTTTTTGTTAGTGTGTGTGTGTGTGTGTGTGATTAATTGTCGTTGCCAAGGAACGAACTTTATACACAAATGTTTTCAACGAGCATAATGTTTAGGTTCATGTTGAACAGAACTCTTGGTGCGCCTTAGGTGACGTCACAGCAATAGCGCCCTAAATTGTCAGGAACTTCACTGATCGAACATTTTAAATGTTTATAAAAGAGCATTTTAAAAAATGTGCCATACTGTTCATGCATTTCTGAGAATATAGATATTTGCACAAAATATGTCCCAGTGTAATTTCATGCCATACCTGATGTCACTCCGCCCCGATCTACGACTTAGCACGTGTGTTGAAAACCGAAATGGTGTCGTCTGGTGTCCTATGTTTTTCTTAATCTCAGCATCTATAAAATTTCTAATATAAAGGTTTTAATTAATTGTGATTCAGGGAAATACATACCAAACAAAACCTGGATCACACAATAAAAAAATATATACCACTGAGATTTCTATACATTCTGGGGAAAAAAGCCTTTATTAATTCCCTCTGTTTTTGTCTTCAATCAATGTCCTAAAAGAGTACATATTATCAAAAGTTGCAGTTCCTACAATGGCAAGGTATCAGTTTGTTTGGTTAGTCTTGCTAGGTTGAGAAATAACTTCAAGTGTTCAGAATCCATCCGTCATTGATTAGTAGTTAAAGTCATGCTAGTTGTTATAAAACAGTTAATAAACAGCATCGCAAAAACTTTGCGATACTGGCATGCAAGATATTTACAGACGACAGTTAGGAAAACAAGCAGATCTGTTGGCTGTTCACTTCTATAAATATTGGAAGAACTTAAAAAAAACAAAAACAATTGGACCAGTACATCCAACATGTATTCATTTTAAACATGGTGTGCTAGCATATTGTACAAACTGCGCAATTCGTCAACTCAGTACTAAAGTTTTTAGCCCCCCCCCCCCCAAAAAAAACCTAAATAAAAACCAAAGTACCCCCAAAAAAGTCTGTTCATAAGAGCATTTGTTTCAAGCACTTTTTAAAAACCATCTCTTTAATTTAATATTATTTTAATATATTTGTGAAACAAGAACTTTTGTCTCAACAAATGTAAAATAGAAATGAACTTTTAGTACTGAGCCGACTCTAAATACGCACCTTCCATCTGCACTTGTCAGACACCATGTAAATCTACAGTTTAAATTTTACCTTCTTCGAAAACAAAACACCAGACAAATATAGTTCCACATGTCCAATCTCGAGTACATTTTGATACAAAATCAAAACAGTGAAACAGTCAAATACCATTACTTTTTTTACCCCATGCAAAATACAAAAGGCCCTGAAATTTTGCAGATTTAATTCACATTTTTTTTTAAGAAAGAGGCACTCGATTTCATGACGAGTACAAAAAATGCGCAATTTTGCTGAAACCTTCACTGCATCCTCAAAAATGTTTAGAAAAAGCATTACATTGGTTAAAATGTTGTTTTTTTTTAGAAAAAATATAATTCTAATTTATAGTAATTTAAGAGCGGTGCAGTCATTTATGCGCACTCAATTATAAATACACGCATTGTCATGTATAGCAAAAATTCCACAATCTTAAGTCAGGGCAAATTCGTGTGGTTTACGACAAGAGATTTTCTGAGTATTAGCAGCAAATTGTCCAGCATTGGATAATGTGTAGTTAAAAATGGCTGTATGCTTGCAAAGATGAGTACGCCGACCCAAATTTAAGACTACATTTTTTTGTCTTGCATAACTAGACTGGTGCTTTGAACATAATGATGTTGCACATAATGGTCTTTGCCTTGGCCTTATCAGGGTATCAGACCAAAACATGGCTCCATATCACAGCTACCCTATAAACAAAAACTCAAAAAACTACATAAAATTGCCATTATTGCTTTATCAACATATATGATTAAATAAAATTCAGTCCCACACTAACCTGACTACAAAACTCTTGACAGCATTCACTTTTTCCCTTCTAAAACGTACAGGAAAGTAAATTACCTTAAAGTCGACAGTTTTCTGTAACTAGTCCCTGGTTAAAATTCTTCAAGTTACTTAACAATATTCAATTTGCTCACATGCAAGTACTGGACGTACATCAACCAAATACAGTGGATTTCAGAAACTAACAATTTATCCAGTTATTTGTGAAGAAAATTTTTTAAAAGTTGAACAAAGAAATTGACTGGAGCCGGGTTTGAACCTGCGACCTCCGGATTGCCGTTCCGGTGCTCTACAAACTGAGCTGTCCAGCGGTTCCCCAGTAAATATAGGAGAAAGAAAACTATAGGTCGCCTAAAGGAAATTACTTTAACGTTCCCTTAACCAGGGAGTGTAAAGATTCTTCATGAAAAGGATATGAAAAAAGACTAGAGGCACATCTACTTTTCAAAACTTGAATTGGAGAAAAAATTGATATTAGTATTATTCAGGGTGTTATCCTCAACTTGATTTATTCTGAACAAATTTAGTTAAATTTATTCCATTCTTCTTTCAAAATGGGTAGACTTCCCCCAGGTTACCTACATTTTTCAAAGTTTGAAACTTCAACTGTTTTCGCGTGATCTCAAAACAAAACTAACGGCTACATATGCTTGTTACATTTAATGTTTTTTCCTAAAGAAGACAATCTACGATAACGTCAATATTTCTTACGTGAAAAATCTGTCAAAGAGCATAACCACTGTAAATGTTTTGAAAAAATAACCCCACTAAATCAAGAAACATGATCATTATTACCAAACTTTTTTAAGAAACAGAATAGTACGCTACAAAATAATAGCTTTGTAATATCGAACCAAGTATTGAATAAAATATGGTTATCTTTGAAACAAAAATACATGTACTATGTAATTTTATTATTTGTATACTATATACACATAACTACTGATGTAACATGTCTTTAGGGATACGCTAAGCTTCGTAATAATTTTGCTCGAGGATTGGTTTTAAAAAACAACACAAATGCTTACTTATAGTATTTACACATTGGCAAAAGGCCCGTTCTGCCTCTTGTAATTTAGCACCAGACAATTTCTATCACAATTTCCCTTCTGTTTTTTTTCCATTTCGGAGCATTACGCATTTCGTTGCGAAGACTTCCTTGCGAGCATATGCAGCACTTGCTGAGTAAATGAATTTAACGGCTTCGTAAACCCATTAAGTAAGGGTTAATATCGTTAATTTTCTAACTGTTAAAACACGGAACAGTCTTCAGGAAAACTGACCGAAAGCACGCCTTGCACGTTGCATTTATCAGTTTTTTTGATAGAATTTCAAAACTTGAAAACAGTACATTATCGGGACCCAACTTTCCATACCACTTAATATTTTACTGAAAGTGAAGAGTCACTGTTTGCTACATTAGATGATTAACACACTTGAACGATGATTCTGAAAAATTGGACCCAGTCCATTTTTCCTTTACTTTGGTGTCCCCCCCCCCCTTGTCCCCCCCTCCCGTTACTCCTTGTACCGTCCCCAAAGCGCCCTGCCAATTACTCTTTATCCCATCCAAAACCGCCAAGCATGCTATAACATCATTAATTTGTCAAGGCGTAAATACAATGTATTACAATGTAATACAACTGCTGAAGGGTTACGATAAGTCCGAGATTAGTCTGAGTCTTCCGGGGGTCTGTTGGCGTATTTGGCCTGTCGGATCTGCTCCAGTTTCTTGCGGGCCTCCTCCAGCTCTTTCTCTTTCTTCAAGATGGCGGCCTGGGCCTCGATCTCGATGCGGATGTTGCCCACCATCTTGTTGCTGAGGTCCACCCCGGCCACCTCGTCCTCTTGATCGGCCGCCTGCTGGGCCGCTGCCACCAGGCTGTCCGAGGCGCGCTTGACGGCATTGCCAGCAGCCTGGTTGAAATGAAAATAAAATAAAAATCATTGGTAGAAGTGAACTCAAACTCACACTTAAACAAGACACAAGAGCAGACAGTCAAACATTACCGTAAAGTTTGAGCACAAGGCATTATTGTTCCTACAATACAGCACTCTCCTATTGACCGAGCACACAAATGTACATGTGAGGAATGTTCTCAACAAAAGATTTCCCTTTCAGGACAACAATGCTCTCCTGCTCCCCTAAGGCTGTATCCGCTTCGGTTGTGTGACGTCATCTCAACTTATAACCATGCGTACTTCACATGGTGTAGAATAGCATGAATGGAACTGGAAGTTAATGCAACTTGAGTGTTGAGCTAATGGGCGCTTGTAATCAGTGGTGTGTGTGCGTGCAAGACAAACTCACTTATGAACCGGATATAACGCATGCACATGTTAAAAGAATAGTGTAAACTGGCCACTAGAAATTATGCTAGGATACAATTTTGTGTGTATGAGTAGCAACTTTCTCACAAGAGGAGATTCGCCACTGCCAGGTTTGGGTAAGTACCAATGCATTTTTCAACTGGTCAAAAGTATTGGCCAATTATGAGATCAAGTATGAACATGCATTCAGGATGACGGCAAACTGCACAATATAATGTCTTTTACTAAGATTTCTTACTGCTGATCCGTATGCTCAATTTGAAAAAAAAAAAGAGTTGCACAAACATGCATGAGCATCTGGCACCATCGGCAATGCATTCAAGAATCTCTCCCAGTTGTCTCCCCCATTCTCTCTTTGTAATGGTTGAGGGAGAATGCACACAGAGAGTCCATAGTGGTTTTTGTTATAGTGGTTTTTGGATGAACAGGCTTTTGAGTCACAGTGTTTTCACTTTTGTTCATCCTGGCCATCTTAGATTGGATTGTCTTTACTCTGCTTGTTGAACTCCCTCCCACTTCCACTCTTCCCCAATCCGCTCCCCTTCTATACATTCCTCATCCCCACCCCCATTTCTTCCCCATCTCATTCTTACCTACTGTACCTATACACATCTATTCTTTTTGATTGGTATTTGTTACACAATTTATCTTTCATCTTGACTGTCCTTGATGTATGACCTTTCTTACATTGTATATACATGTTTGTATTTTGAATGTTTTGGCCGAATAAATAATAATAATAATAATAAATAATTCTGGTGTATTACATTCACTATTTGGTCATTTCATTTGAGCTTAGGCTACCAACCTGTAATCGTCTCATGGGCTCGCTGAACGTGCTCGCCTTGACCTTACAGGCCACCAGCAGCTGAGCCGTGGAGCTAGCCACCTGCTTGGCCGAGGAGATCAATCGTTCCTGGGAGGCGTGGCCCTGCACGACGGCGTTGGCCGCTTCACACAGACCCTGGGTAGCCGCGGCCACCTTACGGGCGGCCGAGATGAGGCCCATGGACCACTGTCCGTCCTCGCTGTAGGGTGCTGGGTTGGCCATAACCTGCGGACAAAATATAATGACGGCAAGGTCCATGACTTATTCAAGTATAGTGCCATGGTGCAGTGGTTATGGTGTCCGACTCCTGTGTGGTAGTGTGAGAGTTTGAACCCTGCTTGATATCATGACTTTTTGTGTTCTTAGGCAAGACACTTTACCACAATAGCCTCTTTCAACCCAGGAGTATAAATGACTACCTTTGAAGGTTGAGAACAGATTGTGCTAATCTCGGACTGCTGTATAAAACTGATATCAAGGCATGATGAACAGAGTTATAATTGTGAGGAGTTTTGAGACCTTTGGTATAAAGGGCTATATAAAATTCACAATGATGCTTGATCTTTAAAGTTTCATTTGTAACTTAATGTACTCCAAGCATGCATACCTCGTTTTGAGAATATAGTTCTGACATAATGTCATCATTCACAGTGTGGTCTAGATCTGGCTGCAATTTCTAAGGCACAGGCGGGACAGGTAGTTCACTCTTTCAAGCATCAATATTATGAATATGACTTGGGGTAAAATATAGGTACACGGCAAAAAATGGTCGGATCACCAGTCAAGCAACGAGTCAGGTCACCAGAGACAGGGAACAAGCAATGACAAAATATTGCCTTTGTCACAATTCACTTGGAAAGTTTGTGACTTGACTTGAGACTGGAGGACCTGTGATGACTTGTGACTGAGTTAATCAGTTACAACTCTGGGGAGATGGAGGATGGGGGATGGGCGGTAGGGATTGGGGATGGGGAATGGGAGGAGATTGATGTCCCTACCATTCCCTGCTGCACCAGTTCTCTCTGCGCGGCCGAGGCTGCCTTCACCAGGGCGCTGGTAGCATTGGCGATGGCCTTGGCTGCCTCCAAGATCTGCTCCTCAAAGTTCAGGCTTTCATCCGCTTGCTGGAGACCAAACAAAAAAATTGAATTGGTGAGAAAATGTGTTATTAATACTTAATGACAACAAGCCGTACTTACGTGTGACTGCAGAAAAACAAAACAATGCTTGTCATTCAAAATCGGCATATTTAGATTACAGGTTTTCTGTCAAACACAACGGGCTCGAGAGAAAATACACAGAAACTCAGCATCAATTTAAAGGGAATATACATCATTTGCTTTTGCTGTAATTTTCAGAAATGGATGGAATTGGGGGATTGGAAATATATAGCAAATATAGTTACACTGACTTTTTTTGAGGTTTTGGGTTCGAAAATGCTATAAAAACCAAGAAAAACGATCATTTTCCTGTAGTCTGGTTCCCTGACTCCATATAAGAAGAAACAGAGCAGTTTACATACATTGGGGAATTGTAAGGTCAGGGAACCAGTCTAGCTGGCTCGTACCCGTTCATAGGTTTGTAATCGATTGCAAACAAGTGCAATGGTCAATTGGGGCCAGTATTTGAAAAAAAGCCAGTTGTTTCCAACGCTGATCGGCCGATCAGCGTTGGAAATTGATACAAAAATACCACTTTTCTTGAAAATGACAGTATACCAGGTGCCATAATTTTACAGGATGCTTTAGACTGTCATTTACCAACATCCTATTAAGGTATTTCGCCAAAACTTGGTAGTTTTATTTTTCGATGTTTGCAAATGTTGTATATTCCCTTTAATTGGACAGAAATTCAGAACTTAAGCGTGCCTCCCTGTTTTGTAACAAAAACAGTTATCAAGTTTTCACCTTTCAGTTTTGCCAAATCAGGAAACTTTTTTTATTTTCAATTTAATTAACCCCAATGTCTAATTTTTCTGTGATGATTTGAAAACAGATTACTTCAATTGGGGAAACAACTTATTCTTAACATTTTATTCACATTTGTGACAGTACTACATATTCTAACAAATTACAACCGAACGTGTCATTCATCATGTATCTTTAACAAAAAAAACCAAAAACAAAATAGCAAATTATAATGGCCAACAGAACGCAGAGAAAATAAAGAACAAAAAAAAAAACCACTTATCACAAATATACAAAAATAATTCTTCCAAGCAAACAAAATACCAAATGGCAGACTAACAAATTTAAACATATGCAGAGCCCCAAAACAAAAATTTATATGTACGCCCCCCCAGCACAAAACCAGTTGGATAATACATTGTACAGGCAAAAATTCTGATTTAGGCATTAGAAACTATATCATGTACATTTAACTTTCGTTGAAGTTAATTTGTAAATTCCTAAGGAAACTTTAACTTCAACTTTAAAGGAGACTTTAACTACAAATGGCAAACTATTAGCATGTTGAATTTTTGAAAATGTGAGATAGGTTAGGTTAAAGGGACACAAGGTCCTGGAACAGCCCAATTGGGCTACAAAACGCGCTTTGAACGAGATGATGTTAATCGGAGATAACATTTAAAAGTAGGATATAAACATCCACACAACTATCCTTTCAAAACTGGGCGTTTTTGTGTTATTCCTGTATTATGCGTGTGAGAACGAATTTCGGGGTCCACTTTTGCGACCCCATAAATTCGAGCTGTTTGGATGCAAGTTGTGATTTCATTCGTAAAGTGTTCGCCTTTTGCAGACGTTGAAGAAACCACATTATGAGAACGACAGGAAAAAACGTATTCGTACTCCGTCGTGTCCGTTGTAAACAACCGGGGATTTTTCCTCTTTTCTCGGGAACGTTAAAACATTAGGTTGGTTTCCTTGCAACCACATGTTTTGTTTGGTAGGATAAGTTAACAATCCAAAACATGACATTTTCGGGGATTTTAGGACCTAGTGACCCTTTAAACCAGTGACCATAAGTATTGAGAACTTCACAAAAAAAACCCAAAGAATTCTTTATGCACAATTCCACCCCCCCCCAAAAAAAAATATGACATTAACGAGTTTGGTCAAGAGTACAACTGGTGAACATTTGATATATGTCATATTATGGCATACGATTAAACCAAGTACACGCATAACTCTGATGAACTGTAAACCTGATAAATCACCATTTTAATTTAGTTTAATTTAATTTTAAGCCAACATTGCCATTTTTTTTAGCATATCTGTGATCACGTTCATCCGCTGTAGTTGGGCAGCAGTTTCAGACAGGATGTCCTGACGTCCCATAGGGCTACACTATTTGCACGACGCTACGTGCTATGTCTGGATTAGGTTGAGTTTTTCATGTCTCCACTGTCAACCCAAATGCAAACATATCAGGCAGAATTCTGCAGGTTACACGGGCCTGGAGATGCATCGGGATAGGATGAGGAAGACTTCTCTAGTCTCATCAATTTTAGTTTTCAAACCTTCCTCTTAAACACCACCCCCACTCTGAGGTAACAGTTTACTTGTCCAACATTTATAATATTTTATAAATTGAATAATAGTGTGATGGAGCATTTTTAAATATTTAGTACTTGGGCTAAAACCGGGCCTAGCCATCGTTAATTTTCGGCTAGGGTCATCATCGACGACCAGGCCCCTAAAATTTTTAACCAAATATTTAAAACTGCTCAATCACACTATTATTTGCATTCACAAATGCTTTTTCTTTTGTCAAAAAATGCCCCCAAAAGTTGAAGTTGAAAAAATTTCTACTATTTTACCTAAGGCCAAAAAAAAAAAGTCTTCGGTTTCTGGTATGGAGCTTGCCCCAAAAGTGGTGCGGCGACGCGGCTTTTTTTCCCCTTACTTTTTTCTTTCTTCAAATGTTGGCTGATGTTGCCATCTGCAACATCCACTTTAATCCCCTTAAAACTGAAGTGACCTCTGAAGGCCCTAAGGCTTGAGAATTCTGCACCCACTTACAATCTTGACCGACACAAACATTCTTCGGAAATTTGATTAGTCAAGACAAAAATCAGAAAAAATAGTAACATCAGACCATACAGCGACATCGACATCGTGCATGTGCTGCCACGGCTGGTCATAAGTCTGCTTCTTTACATATTGTGCTAATTAAAAAGCGTTTACAGGTTCCAGATACACGACCCTTGCTCCCTCAGTCTGGCTTCCAGACGCACAATTACAAAATTACAACACCGTCTGCACATGGTGCCCGACTAAATTTAGTGCACAATATATGGGAGCCCAGAGAGGCCATATAAAGCTTAAACTTGATCGTAACCCCATCTAAAAACACGTTAAAATTGTGCAGCAGCAGTATTCCAGTCAAACCAGTGAGTTTGGCGGTTTTGAGACATCATCTTACATTAAATTTTTTTTTTTAGTTTTGCCAACGCGCATGGCTACAGCGATGCGCACGCAGACCAGAAACCGGAGCCTTTTTTTGGGGGGGGGGCCTTATATTTCTATCCATGTTCGGGGGCCAATTTGTACTTTGTTTTTAAAAGAGACACCTTAAACTAGATACACAAGATAACTGTTTTATTCTATGCATTATTAAAATGCATTATTAAGGCCAAAAAAAAAATAAGTCGGTCTCTGGTCAGCGCGCGCGTCGATTTTAATCATGCGCGTCGATCTTTTTTTTTCCAAAATGTTCTGCGGTAGCTCCAACAGCGCCCTCTATTTCCGCACCTCCTCAATTTTTTTTACCAAAGAGCACCAAGGAATGGGAAATTGCACCAAGGCAAATTATGGAGGACACCAATGTACATGAGGACACCAAAAAAGCAAAATAGTACCCCACCTTGTCTGTACAATCCAAGCTTGAAGAAAAAAAAAAAAAAAGGAAAAAAAAAAAAAAAAGCCGCGTGGCCGCGTCAATTCCGGAACTTTGGTCTGACCAGAGACCGAATATTTTTTTTTTTGGCCTAATATAAATTACTTAGTGACTTCTCACAAAATGAAAAAGAAAGGGTTTCAATGCCCTTTTTTTGTGATGAATCTTCAAAATGTCACGCTTATGATGCTCCTGAAACTTGCTTTAAAGCCTTTAAGTCCTTCAGACAACATCAGAGATTTGAATTTTGGGTTGGGTTTCTTTTACGAGTGCCTGTGTTTTACTTCAATAGGGTACCCCGTTCCCATACTATCTGCAAATGGACAAGGCTAATCTTTACTCCTTCGTGAATTGCTTTAAAATTGCTGACGTGACTGGAACCAATCGCTGGATGATGCCACCGTTCCCTCACGCAGACAGGAACATGCAAGACGCTACAGGTTATGTCTGGTCTGGGTTGAGCCTCGTGTTTGTCACCATCAACCCAAACACACACATATCATGCAGAATATCACGAGACTTTAGACTTGCCGTTGATCCAAAATGCTTCCCTGAAGGCCGAGGGGGTTGGGGGTGGGGATGGGGGTGGGGGTGGAGGAGTGGGGAGCGATGACTTAACATCCATCACGTACGATCATTCTCCGATGCTGCACCGTTACCTGTCTACCCATTGGCCGATCCTTCGCATCAAAAGCAGATGTCTTATTCTCAAACAATCAGCACTGTACAGTGTCTACGTACATGACTCGACAGCTTCTTTCAATGGACAACCAGACGATGATAAAGAACTACAAAAAGCCAGTGGCATACTTCACACGAGTGTAAATACTACCCCATGAAAATACAGGACTTTGAACCAAAACAAAAATGAGTGGAAAGGCACCAGGTAGCAGTTGCATGTACAGCAACACCAAAGGAAAATTACGATTATTTTCGCATGAATCTGACCAAATATAGCTTCATTTTTTCTTCTATTGTTTCACAACCATTTGATGAACGAGAATCCAAGCATAAGATGCCTTTAAAATATGCCACTTTCTTCTCAATTCATACAATCATCTCATTTTTTTCACCTGTTTAGTGAGGAAAAGTATATACTAAAATTTGCAAAATTGCAGAGCTGATGTTTCCATATTTGGCTTGTATTTACACTCATGGGAAGTAGGAACCAGACTTTGGGAATCCAGTCAAGGCAGTGAGGAAGATGTTCAGTTGTTGACAAGATGCAGACGCGTGCACGGATACCAACGAGCGATCCTTGTGTGGTGGTCATACCGGTGCAAGAGCTTGTCTTGTGCAAGGGACAACAGTGTAATCATGCCATGCAAAAGGAGTTCAAGATGCCACGGAGACCAACGGCAGAGTACCAGTGAATCTCATGCAGACTTTAAGATGCAGGCAAGCATGACTTGCGCCATTGAGGGTGGTGGTGGGGGGGGGGGGGGAGGGTGGAGGGGGGGGGGGATACAGGTACGTACTAAGTTGCTCAGATCCTGCCCGTCCCAAACACGACGCCAGACGCCCGTGGTGCTATCGCGCTGTCCAAAATCAATCGACCAATCACAGAACAGGAAAGGAATCATGATGATGATGATAGTAGTAGACAAAATGATCATAATGTCAGGCATGAAAAACAGGTTGTTACTTGAATGGTCGCAGAAAGAGTTAGTGTGCTATTTGAATGTCAGTGGATGTCGTGCATGCATGATTGAAAACAGACCTATTCAGCGTCTTTTACAGTTTTAAAATAAAAGTACTATTCCGTTAAGAAGGTTATCAAAAGGTTTATCTAAAAATGAAATTTAAGGTAAGGGGGAAAGGTACAGATTTGCTTTGTACTAATACACGCAAAGACATCTTGATGGGGAAAAGGAAACTAACAGACCAAACCAAATGCAGTTAATCAAAAACTGGGAATTTAAAAAAATTTCCTTTTCGTGCCAATTCACAGATCACTGTGAAAATTTAAAATTCTCTAATTGATTTTTTTTGGGGGGGGGGGGAAACTGATCTCACAACTAAGCAAGTAATCCTGGCAGACATGTACAAAATAGAGTGAAAATATAGAGAATTAAGAACTGGCCAATCAACTGAAACGCATGAATTAACGAAACGAAGCTGGCAGCAAAGAAATTACGCATCACGTTTTGGAGACTTCAAATACACTGTCTTTACAAGAAGGTTCACTCCTTGGGAATAACCGTCTACGTACCCTCGCTCGGCCTCGGGGCTGGAGTTGAGCCAATTTTTTGGCGGCTGCCTCGATGGCGTTGGCAGCACTCAGGAGCTCGTTCTCGGCAATCACGTTGGGGTCCTCCGGATCCACCCAATCGGCTCCTGACCAAATAAAACAAAGGAACAGTAGGAGGTGAACAATTACAAGGGTTGTTTTCAGATAAACTTCATTTTACTATTTCTCCAGGTTTCTCCAGCTTGCAAGCCAGGAGATAGTCACGGTGTCGCCTGTTGCCCAATGGAGCCCTCTCCATATCCAACGTCTGATATATCTGAGCAATGCAAATTTTATGCGATCCCCGCAACAGCCAATCAGAGTCGACTTTAGAAAAATGTGACGTCATTGCGATCAGAAACGTGGACTAAGCTGTTGATTGGTCAAGTTGGCTGCCATGTGTTGTAATACAACAATGGGCTACGGAAGACCCGATGCAAGGTGCCCACTGAATGGCCAGAATCTCGAGGTCAAGACGCAGTCTTGTTTCGCACAATTAATCCCCGCATCTGCTCACATATCGTAGACCTTTGCTGTGCGAAGGTCTATTCCATAGACTAGCTGGAAGACAGTGCCAGGGACAATTTCAGTGAATGCTTTCGTAACCATAAGTAAGTAACAACAAGGAAAAACTATTCCAACTGAAAATAAGTTTTAAAAGGAACAGGTTACATTTTGAGTACCTAAGGATGGGCTCCTCCCACGCTTACTGGGAAAAATTGAGAATTCCCCCATGCTGAAAATTTTTTCCACTCGTTAAACAAACGTTCTATTTGAAAAATAATATTAATTTTGCACTTCCCCACCCTTACAAAAATAGTTCCATCACCCTTCAAACTCTAGCTCAAGAGTTTTGATTTCCCACTTTCAGAATGAATATTCCGATGAAAGACTGTTCGTCTCTTACCCTTGAGTGCCTCTGCTGCTTGCACCAGCTCGCCCACGGTCTGGGCCACTCTCTTGGAGTGCTGGCCCAGGCGTTGCTTGCCATCTGGTGAGGGCCGCTGGATGTTCTGGTGAAAAATAATAACCCCAAAAAACCAAGGTAAACTTTCGCTGGTTCACAATTTTGACTATAGTGCAATGTACATGCATCTCTGACGTCCTTACTTGCTTGTCATTTTGTGCGATTTAACATATTTATAAACCAACTCAAAAAGTAGCTCTAACAATTGAAGATTGAATTTGTTGGGTTGGGCCGCAAAGTTTTAAATACGTCACATCTACTACTGACGTGAAGCCAGCAGTTCGTTCGGGTTCTTATTTTTCAAAACATTTATATGGAAATACAGGAAGTGTTCATAAATATTGGGCATGAGGAGCAATATAGTGGTTCATACTAGGTGCAAAAGTGAACACAAATGCAAATTTACGACATCATGGCGAGTATCTGTGCTGAAATCCGCAAAAAATTGAACCTTATCAACTCCAAGGAATTTCAAAGTGTTTTACTTGTTTTTTTTTGTGCTTGGCACACAAATGTGCAAAGCAGCAGCATGTTTTCATGGCAGCCGCATCAAATCAGATTGTTGATGGCTACTTTCCCTCCCTTCTCAGTTTTGCAATTATTTTCAACCTACCTCATGGACCTGTTCCAACATGGCCCTGTAGGAGTCTGCACACTGTCTGCCTACGTACAGCGTTCTCTCTCTCAGATCCACTGATTCAGCTGCACTGGCAGCTCCCTGCGGAAAACAACAACACAACCATTTAAAATGTTCCATTTACTTTATACATTTACTTTTTATGAGTCAAAGCATTCTATTAGGTAATGATTCGAGTCAAGTCATGTCATTAGGTTAAAAACGTCAGTCACATGTTTGCTCGAGTCAATTTGTTTCACTGACATTTAAATGTGCATTCCCCATGCTCTTTATAAACTTTATTATTTTCTTTAATAAATTTTCAACTTGTATGTTTTATTCCAACCAAAAATCTTCATTTTTAAACCTTTGTTTGTGTGGAATGTCTGCAATCCTCTTAAAACAAAGGTTTTGTTTTGGACACCAAGTAGACTGGCTCCCAGTCGGTACATTATTGATACTGATTGCGGGGCAGGAACCAGCCTACCTGGCGAGAATGGAAATATTGTCTGGCAGCCAATAATTCGAAACTGTAAAGTAATAATTCAATGGCTAAACATGGGCTGATTGTTTTCGGTCGATGTCTCTTTCAAAGTGAATAACTTTTGTGTTGCTAGAAAAATAGCAATTTAGAAAAGATATCTATTTTCCGGAATGAAACTCGAAAATAGCACACGGAAATTTCAGCAATATTTCGGTCGATGTCTCTTTCAAAAGTGAATAACTTTTGTATTGCTAGAATAATAGCAATTTAGAAAAGATATCTATTTTTCGGAATGAAACTCGAAAATAGCACACGGAAATTTCAGCAATACCCTTTTAAAAATGTAATCTCTGGTACAGGAACAATGTGACATATAATTGCAACTGCCTTGCAAGTGCGAACCAGTTCAACCCACTTGACGAAGCCTGTTAGATGTCACTGTAATTATATCCTCATTTCTTGGACTTTTGAAAGTTTGATCTGAGTCAAGGCAAGTCACTTGCTTGTAATGACTTGAACTCATATGAGTTACCGAAAATTGCAACTCAAGTTTAACAAGAGTCGAGTCACTGATTTGAATAACTACAAGTCTGGCGTTTACAACAAGAACAACAACACAACAACAACAACAAACCAAATAAACCTGAATAAGCCATTTGCGAGTAACCTATACCCTTTGGGATTTCCATTTGAAAAACATCTGGTATACTGACTTGCTCAGAATGCTTGGCACGTTTTAACTTTGAATTCTCTAGACCAAAGACACTGTTGCTAATCACATGATTCGGGGCAAGCTCTTGCATAGTTACGTAAGAGACGCTCAGCACCAATAGACCATTATCATGTTGTAGCCATTTGACTTTTTCCCATTCAAATCAATGTAACCAAACCGAGGCTGGAAGGACAAATAGTCTGGTTCCTTTTTGCACACAAAAATTATCATTCAGTACTGTTACTGGATACAGGGAACATGACTGACATGGTGGCAGCCTGATAAAGGTCTATACATTGTTCACAATGGGTGAGATTGGCACGAAGACACAAGACCATGCCGGAGCTGGGGGTTACTAGCATAAGCCTTGCCCTGAATCATGTGATATAGTAACAGTCTCTTTGGTCGGGAGAATGCAAAGTAAAAACGAGCAAAGCATTGGATTAAGTCAGCGTTCCAGATTTTATTCAAATTTAACTTGCAAATGGCTTATTGACAGCAAACACTATCAACTAGGAATTGTTTCACAGCGTTAGCTTGGGGACCTACCCTGCAGCAATCGATCATGGCAAACAAGGCCTGCCTGGCCAGGTTGGATGCAGCAGTCACGTCGTCCTGCTTGCCAGAGTTGCCCGCGCCTACTGCCTTGGCCGTGGCTAAGGTCACGGCCTTGGTGCTACGGATGAGCTGCTCCGGCGTGGCACGGCGGTCGCCAAGAGACGGGTTGTCAAGAATCTGAAAACAAAGACAGTCAAGATTCATAAACAAATTCTTTTTTTTGCAAGCTTCCAGACATCGATCATGTGATCACTGTGCACTCGTGAGGCCCCCTTCAATGGTGAAATGATTGTGCGAACTATCTGAACAATAGCTAGCACAATGCTTTTGCCATTGAAGGGGGCCCTCGTGATAGAATTGATAGCGTGTCTGGACTGGTCTATAAAGTACTTATAAACTTATGTCGGTAAGGCAAAAAAAAAAAATAAGTCAGTCTCTGGTCAGCGCGCGCGTCGATTTTAATCATGCGCGTCAATTTTTTTTCCCCAAAATGTTCCGCAGTAGCTCCAACAGCACCCTCTATTTCCGCACCTCCTCAATTTTTTTTACCAAAGAGCACCAAGGAATGGGAAATTGCACCAAGGCAATGATCGAAAGCACCAAGGCAAATTATGGAGGACACCAATGTACATGAGGACACCAAAAAAGCAAAATAGTACCCCACCTTGTCTGTACAATCCAAGAGCGAAGAAAAAAAAAAAAGGCAAAAAAAAAAAAAGCCGTGTGGCCGCGTCAATTCCGGAACTTTGGTCTGACCAGAGACTGAATATTCATTTTTTTTTTTTGGCCTAAAGGGCAAAACTCAATATTAAAATCCGCTCAGCGATATTTCCTGCATGGAGTCTCATGCAATACCACATGCATCATTCAATAATTGTGGGGTCTACTTTTTTTCCTGTCCCTGTTACATCTGACATCACTGATTTTATAATTCTAATGCACTCCTTAATGCAGTTGTCCTCCAAGAGTGATTATGAATAGCAAAGCACCTATCCAACAAATAAAAATATCGTTAGGAGTCATTTTAAATGATACTTGAACGACAAATTACTAAGTACAAAGGTAACAGGAACAGGACAAATGTCATCATAAACGCGGCACGTTTTGATTGTTTTTCCGACCTTGGCTTCCTGGGTGATGGCATCGATGGTTGCTTCCAAGGCTCGGGTTCCTCTACACGCCTCGTCCTCTACGCTCTTGACTGTCTTGAGGAGGGACGTCACGTTGGTGACCATGACCTGAAAAAAAGATGAGCCAAACAGAGTCGTAATTGAGTCAGAAACAAGAACACACAAATCATCACAAGTAATCCATTCTTAAGTCAAGCATATGTGACGCAATCAAGCTAAATGAGTCGTTTGTCGACCCTGGTAAAAAAAAAAGTTTATTACAGATTTGAAACGAGCACAATCTCAGCATTTCTGCTGTGAAAACCGCATGCTGATACAATTTTTAGGTCAAAAACTATGGAAGTCGGAACACCAAGAGATGTGATGAGGTGATGTGATGAAGTGGCCCTATTTTGGCCTGTATCTCCAAATAAAAATTCCCGACAAACGACTCATTTAGCTTGATCACATCAAATATGCTGTTTGATGATGAGATGCGACAAAGGCAATAATCCAGTTCATTATTTCAACTGTGCATGTGCCTAACGATATGGGTCAAGGGTCATTCGGGATAATCGAACGATCGGAGGCGCATGAACGCTTGGGCGCACGACGCTTGCGTGCCAATTACAAGCAGAATGGGCGTGCGCGTAACATTGCGTAACATCACGCCAGCGATGTTGTCCTGAATGACCTTGGGTCATTGAAGTACCCAACTGGATTATTCAAATAATAATAATAATAATAATAATAATAATAACTGGATTTATAGAGCGCCAAATTGCCAAAGGATACAAGGCGCTGAAACAAAGAAAGAAGAACTACAGAAAGAACAACAGAAAAACAACAAGGGCGTACGACCAGCTATGGTGTGGGGAAAAAATGGGTTTTGAGAGCCTTCTTGAAGGTTGGCACAGTATCGGAGTTTCTGATAGGGATGGGTAGACTATTCCACAATCGGGGAGCAGCAATAGAGAAGGCCCGGTCACCTGCGAGTTTATTTGTTTTCTGGACAACAAGAGATTGCCCATGAGAAGAGTGAAGGGAGTGAGACCCGGTTCGAATTGAGAGAAGAGAAGAGAGGTAATCAGGGGCAGAGGAGTTGAGAGATTTGTAAGTGTGGACCATAGTACGGAATTGAATGCGTTGTGCAACTGGAAGCCAGTGTAACTGGTTAAGAAGGGGAGATATATGTGTGTAAATGGGCATCTGGAAAATGAGCCTAGCACATCCGTTTTGAAACCGTTGAAGACGAAAAAGATCATTGCTCATCCCTTTGTCATTGCTCATCCCTTTGTCGCTCGTGATCTGACTTGCGATTTGATTTCTGGCTAACTTCATTACAACCCCAATAACATCCTTGACAGCAAAGAACTTTTGACGCAACCAATGAAGTCTTTGGTGTTGATCGAGTAGTACACTTTTCCTTTTGTATTTACTGTTGCTCAACAATGGTTATCAAAGTGTTCCGCCAGGCACTCTTTTAAATTTCATTCATTAGCTGGTCTTATACACTTTTCCACTGTCACATGAAATTTGGACTCCCATAAAATCCGGTGCCTTTTATGGTTTCATTGGTTGAGCGTTCACATTCCTCACGTATGCATGCGCAATACTACCAGTGAATCAGTATTTCACGGTCCGAAATTCACACTACACCAGCCCAGCTGCGTTTTGCGGGACATCGCGCAGTACGCGCTACGCGCACGCCATAAGGTGTCCTTATAAGGTAACGAGTTGTGGAGGGGTATACCATATTATAGTCAGAGGGGTGTTTCGTAAAGCATGAAGTAAAATTGTTGAACAAAATGGTTGGCAACGTCTAGTTCTTGACTTGTTTTGATTTTTGGACCGAAAAGATTTGTTTTTTTGACCGAAATGGTATTTATGAATGGGAATAAATGTGTTCGGTCAGTATTAAACACTCTGTTTAAGACCGGTAGGAGTCTGGATGGGTGATAATTACCCATCCAGACTCCCACCGGTCTTAAACAGAGTGTTATAATACCTCCCGAACACATATTTATTCCCTTATTAAAACTGAAGTCAAACTTGCAGCTATAAAGCCAGCCATGTGCCTTAGACAACTTGGCACATACGACTTTTCTACTGTTAACACATAGTATACTTTCTTTTCAGGAGCAGAATTATCAGCAAAATATTGCCCAAATGACTACGTACCTTGGCAGAGCTCTTGAGGTTTCCCACCGTAGGGTCGTCCACTCCCTTCCCTGACGCACTCTTGGTGGCGGAGATTAGATCACCCAGGGCTGAGGCAACATCCTTCACAGCGTTGATCAGCAACACCTTCAAATATAAATCAATATGATGATAAATGTGAGGGGGGGGTATAATAATTCATCCAAAGTCTCAAGTGGCGTCTGTGGCTTGTGTCCTGGAGCACCGAACTCAGATCTCAAAAGTTTCAGCTCAACAGATATTACACTTTTCCAGAAAAACATTGAAAATCATGCCCAACCTTTTGATCACGAAACACGATTTCATCTGTAGCACTCTTTATTTCCAAAAAGCAGTCAATCGACTGATCGTTGGCAATCACCTAAATTTCTTGATTTCTTCTAAATGACAGCAAGCCAGACGGAATAATTTCAATGGGTCTTTACGATCTTCATTCAGGTTACTTTTGTGATAATTTCTCTCTATGACCACATGTGTCTACCTGTCCGTCAGGGTCATCCCCACCCAGTGTGGCAGCCCCTAGCTTGACCACATCAGCCAGCTTGGTGATGGTTGAGACTGCAGACTGGGCGGCGTTTGCCAGCTGTTCCTGGGTGGATGCCGCACCGGTGACCAGGGTCTTAGTGTCCTCAACCAGAGCCTTGGCTGTCTTCAAGATGCTCTCCCTGTGGATACACCATCACATGTCAATCGTAAGTCAAGCACATGGCAATCACATATCAATCACATGGCAATCACAAGTCAATTACATGGCAATCACATGTCAACCACATGTCAACCACATGGCAATCACTTGTCAATCACATGCCGATCAAATGGCAACCACGTGGAAATCATATATGTCAACCACATGGCATCCAGTCCCACGTCAACTCACAAGCTAGTCACACAACTGCAACAAAGGCATTCCTTTATAGCTCAACCCCTGTTACATGTGACTTGTGAAATTGACCTGCGATTTACTTGTAACCGGACTACTACACTAATAAATCAACTAAAGGTCAGGTCAATCACAAGTCAACCACAATGTGAATCCAGTTTGACCTAGAGTAGCAAGCTATCCAAATGAACTTTTGACAAGGCAGCCCTATTCTAATGTTCATCTCTTGTTGCGTGTTACTGGACTTGTGATTTGACCAATGATCAATGTCTACTATGGCAGTGTCATTTTTTTTTCAGATGCCCTGTATTAACAGACTGTTCTTGGAATGTGACACACAAGTAATATGCAACATATTCACCTTTTATACTCAAGAACCTTAGGGACATGCCCAAATGTAGCCACACGGCCTGTAATGCCATCTCTACCAAGTGCCCCGACTCAAAGAGTGACACTCTCAAGCGAAGATGCCAAAAGGGTTATCCACACACAATTGGAAATTGCACTCTGCACAATTCACCACGCAAAATAAGTGCGTATCTATGTGCTCCAATTAGCACTCTCTCTTACAAGTGGGGAATACAGTGCTGCTTAGAGTTCCAACACAGAATCTACAAACAATTCGCAAATTAATCCATCCTCTTTACCTGTGATCAGCAAATGATCCACCCTCTGGCTCGGCGCTTAGTGTACCAGCTGATGCAAACATAATGGTAGTATCCAGATCACCAATGATGCCGGAGACTGTACTGGCTGCATTGATGCAGGCCTGCGTGCCGCTAGAACCGGCTTGCAGGGCTGCCATCACAAAGTTACACTGCAATGGAAGGAGGAAACACAGACCTTATATACTATTTATAGGATGAAACTGAATCAGGGAGATGTATATTGAATATTGAGTTTCGCCCTTCAATATGTTGGCGAAGAGCATTACTCAATATTTAACAATTTCCTGAGAGAGTTCAACAATTCCCATTGGTCGAGAGACTGCAACATGGGTGGTTGTGATCTGCCGGTAAAACATCATTGCATTCTGTGCCACATCAAGCAGTACGCGCCAATCTCCATTTGAGGCGATTTTTAGCACTATGCTTGCGAGGCACATACCATAGATGGCCAGAGGGGTGTTTCACAAAACAGGTAGTAAAATTGTTGAACAAAATCGTTGGAATTTGGTCAATGTTTACTTCTTTTGAATTTTTGACCGAAAAGGCACCGTATGTATGAATAGTTGTTTAAAGGGAATGTACATCATTGGTTTTTGCTGTAATTTTCAGAAATGAACTATTTGAGGGGTTACTATGATAGATCAAATATTGTTACACTGACATGTTTGAAGTTTTGTGTTCGAAAATGCTGGAAAAACCAAGGAAAACAAAAATGTTAAAGTAGTCTGGTTCCCTGACTCCACTAAAGATGAAATGGATCAATTTATAGATGCCGGAAAATTGTAAGGTAAGGGAAGCAGTCTAGCTGGCCTGCAGCCGTTCATGAACATGTAACCAATAGCAAACAAAATTTGGACTGAAAAAATGGTAAATTTGGAGTAGTAGTTGAAAAATAGTTAGGTTTTTCCAACGCTGGTCGGCCGACCACCGTTGGAAATGTATACAAAAATACCATTTTCTTGAAAATGACTTCACACCAGGTGCCATAATTTTACAGGATGCTTTAGACTGTCATTTACCAACATCCTAGTAAGGTATTTCATAAAAACTGGGTAGTTTTATTTTTCGATGTTTGCAAATGTTGTATATTCCCTTTAAAACCAGCCAAGCACATATTTATTCCCTTAATAAACCCCTAACTCTCATATGTCCTCTGAACAGGCAGTTTAGGGTATTTGTGAGGATTGGGGCTGTACAGCGTTGAACTTTTAGGTTGACTTTGAACGAGTGAGTGCACCTTTTGATTTTGCCATGATCAAAGCTTGAATGGCAATATAAATTAGACGTGGATTTGGAGTTTTAATATATACTCCAAAAATTCCTTTTAAAAGGTACATGTAATATACATTTGCTTTTGCTGTAATTTTCAGAAATGGATGAATTTGGGGGTTTGTATTGTTAGTATTGTTACGCTGACCTATTCAAAGTTATGTGTTCATAGTTGCTGGAAAAACCACGAAAAGCTTTTTTGCAGTCTGGTTCCCTGACCCTACTTCAGATGAAGCAGAGCAATTTATAGACTATTTACAAAATATGTGATGGACCTGTGATGGACTATAAACTACAGCACTGTATACAAGCATTCCACAAGTGTGACCTTGAGAGAGTTGACCAATCAAATTAGCTCTGTACCTTCTCAACCACGGAGCGTGCGTTGTCCAGCAGATCTTTCTTGGCCATGTTATCCGTGGGGCTGCACTGCACCGTGCCGGCGTTCTTGACAAGCTCGATGCTGGCGTTGCCCAGATTGTCCACCGCCGACTTGATCCTCTGTGCCACCTGTGGAAGATACATGCCAAGGAGGAAGGGGGGGGGTAGCGAGGCGGGGAGGCAGACAAGGGAAAGAAGCAAAGGCAGAAAAAGGAGGCACAAGAAAGAAGGGAATATGAAGAGGTTGGAACAGAAATACGAAGCAGATTTAACGAAATGAAAAGGAATTGCACGAAAAGAATGCAAAGAGAAGACAATTGTACAGGGGAGAATCAATTAAAGATGTTTGAAAATCTCTTTATACTATTCAATCTTGTAAGTACATGTAAAATATAATAAAAGTCTACATATATTATTTACACATTCTACGGTCTACATATACTATTTGCATGTAGTAATATCAACACAAATTGGTTCCGTACACTGTAACTATTCAATATTCAATAGTAAGCACACTACGACATCTCAGAATGTAGAAATAACAATAAAGAAACATCGAAGCTGCAAAGAAAATTGGGATAAAACTGTAATAATTTACATTTCGTACATGTACATGTAATCAAGTTGAAAGCAAGAATTCTGGTTAAATTGCAATTTGTACATTTACAGGTTGTTTGCACGTTTCGAAAACTGCTTTATTTTTACTATTACAACATGTAGGCCTCGAAGTGCCCCTCTTCATCAAAGCTTTTATTTAGAGATTTTAAAAATCATAACAAAGGGTTTTTTTTTTTTAAGTTTTCCAAGTGTCAAAATAGAGGCATTTCTAGGTTTTTTAGAGTGCAATTTTCAGCATATAAAGTAGCAGAAATACAGTGAAATAGTGACTGTATCATGCTGCTTTTCCAACATGCAAGTCAGATCGCCTAGACGCCATGCAAACTGCTCAATTTTGAAACAATAGTAACAAAAAATCTTAGATAAGTATAATGACAATGTGGTTATTTTGACATTGTAATCACTAAACTGTGGGTCAAATTGATTTTTTAAAATTTTCTTTAGAAATCTTTTAAGTGTCATGGCGGAATAAAAAATATAGGTGTTCACTGGTTATATAGGCTACTTTAAATTAAAAAAAAATAGGCTCCCAAATTGAAATATAGGTTTCTGTAGGTTTTAAGGTTTTGCTGTGAGGCCTGTGTATCTCTACTATCGTCAGTCCCGATCCAAACAAATATTCTGTAATATAAAATTTCATAATTTAGCTGTTCAATACGATTATAACTAATTACTATACAAATAAGATCATGCTACATGCTCGGTCTAATCTACATCTGATCTAATGCTAGTCTAACAATCTACTTATTGTTACTCGCAATTGCTCAACTACACATAACCACGCATCTACTCTGCACCTAAAATAGTAAAATGTATAAAAAGGTTTCAAGAGTTTTATATATCAAATTTATTATCTCAGTTTTAATGCAAGGAAAAGCTTGTGTACTAGAGCCCTCCCTCTCTTGCTGGCAATTTCACCAAGGCCGGCCCAGCAGTCAAACTAAATCAAGTGACTGTTTTTAACAGTTGAGTGCTCCCTGCCTTCATAAAGCAGGATTAACTGGCTGTAATTGTTATGAAACCTGATACAGCTATGCTTTGACTGTAGGTGATTGATAGGCCTTCTTGCCTACTTTTGTCTGTTGACTGAATTTGACTAGTGCACAGTGCTTGCTTGAAATATGATCTTGACTGTTTGGTGACTAGCCTGTGTATAAAGGCATGGCAGGGGAACAGGATTGAATTTTTGACTGTCTTTGACTGATCAAACAATTGTAGGGTTAACCCGCATTTCATAGGCATATGTGCATTTTTCAAATTCTGCCCAAACAATTAAAAAGTGAATAAAACGTACATAAAAAATCTATCTTCAGGATGATATTTTTGATTTAAACAACAGGAAAGAAGAAGAAAACAAGTACTTCAAATATCAATGCCTGAACGTTTTGCATGAATCAACTTTGTCCACTGGGGAGACCTTACTTATACACAATGTGTCGTCGATTTGATCTATATCAGTCCCTGTCTGGTATCGGACTCAGCCTCAGCCCTATCAACACTGCAAAAAATGCCTGGATTACATTTACATACGAGTACTTGCATGCATGGGAGAATCCTCTAATATTTTACTCTGCCAAGACAGAAATCCTATGAGGATTTATCTTCACCTGCAGGGAAAGAACTTTTTAAATACAAACAAAATTATAAAAAGTGTGACGGGCTTTCTGAAAGTCAAACTCAAAACAGCAGAAGTTAGTTTTAGCGTGAAAGAGCACGATTTCATTTCCAGACAATGACAAGTTTCGGTGGCTTTTTTTGTTGTAATTTTGTTTTGAGTACACGCACCAACTACGAGCACAAATACCGCCATTTTTTTTTTATGCATTCAATGATTGCCAATCATAATTTGTTGATTGGATTATTTGTTTATTAAAGTTGCATTCCCCACACTCTTCAACTTTTTTTTTCCTCTTAATAATAAATTTTCAATCTTTCTCCCCTTTTTTGGGTGTTTGCAACCCTCTTAAAAAAAAACCTGTTTTTTTTTTTAAATTGGGCACAAACCGATCTGTCTTGTGAGTAGACCGGCGCCCGGTCCCCACATTTTCGATACAGATTGTGGGGCAGGAACCAGCCTGTGCCGGGAGAACAGACATATTGTTGGGCAGCAAGTAATTCCAAAAATTGTAAAGTAATGATTTACTAACTAAGTGTGGGCCGATTTTGATCAATCAATGTCATTTTTAACAGTGAATAACATTTGTAGTGGTAGAAGAATAGCAGTTCAGAAAAGGAATCTATTTTCCGTGATGAAACTCGAAAACGGCACACAGGAATGCAACTGTAAGAGATATGCAGACAACCAACGAGAATAAGTATGAGTAATGCAACTGATCAAAATAGGCTGGTAACAAGAACACTGTGGCAATCATCCCAGCAATAGTGATTTTGACTTCAGGGAACCTGACCATGGGAACTTGCAGTTTTTTTCTCAGTTCCAAAACACATTGTAATTTGATATTACTAGCCATGTAGCGATCATGTCTGGAAACTCAAATCAATACTCTCGAGAGCGTGTTACCAAAAATTAAAAGAAAAAAAATGAGGCTCACTGATCCCGAGTGTCCCCTTTGTGAGTGCTGCAAATGAAAAGAGAGGAAAACCAAACTGCAAAGCTGCTTCAGTGAAAATGAAATTTTAACCCCCAAAAAATCAAAAGAAAATGAAAGCACCATGAGAAGACGTGAAGGTCTGAAACATGTCGGTGAGTTAAAAAATAATAAAAAGAAAGGAGAACTCCGTGAGAAGAAAAAAACACTGCTGAAAGAAAGAAGCTGCAAGAAAAGTAAGAAACCGGTGAACTGAACCAGTTAGCGAATGGCCCATGTGCGAAGCTGAAACAGTAATGAACTTCAAACGTTTCAACTTCAGGGTTGGAAGTCTGGTGTAATTTCCAAAGAGATGTCCAGTAAAATGGTATTTTTTGAGGGATAAACCACCCCCCCCCAAAAAAAAAACCCCTCAGATGCTCGCAAGAAATTTTACATTACTTTAAAAAAATATTACCTGTTGTGCTTGCACCATGTTGACGATACATTGTAAAACACCAGAATTTACATACAACGCGAGTGTTGAATGTCATATCACAAACATGTATGTGGTTACTGTTATTCACATTAGATTACAATGTGATGGTGCACCCATACTGGAATTTGTATTCTTGTGGAGACATTTCTTTGTTCTCGTGTAGTAAAGTTTTGGAGTTTGAAAGTGAAGTTTCAAAATGCTCTTATTTTAACCGGAATAAATTTCCTTGGCTGAAATTCGGACTAAATATTCCTTTTCTAAAACTCTTCCATTTGCGACACATCAACCCGCTTTGGAAATTCCTAGTTTTTGAGTAAAATCCATATATCTATTTCGTGAAAATCTTGTGGAGACGTATTCATCTATAGAAATTGTCCTGTGGAGACGTATACAATCTTTTGTTCCCTATTGTGCACACGTCTCTAGAGGGCACGGTGTACCAGAACACATTTACACACACGCAACCTAGAGGACGACATATCATCGCTTGGTTCATCTCATCAATCCACTGAAAAGTTACCAGACTTCCAACCCCTGAAATTTGGAGTAGTCACCGCAGAGAAAGATACATTTGAAGCCTGCTGAAAAATGACAGCACTGTAGAACATAAGTATATTCGCCAAAACACCACAAAATAAAAATAAAACAATTATGCTGCAATGAAAATAGTGAAAGCTCTCATAGTCAAATGAAAACCTGTTAGCAAAACCAATACCACAAAGCTGGAATGAATGAACCTTTCACCAAATTAAAAAACCAAAATAAAGAAGTAAAAAAAAAAGTGCTGCAATGAAAATAATGAAAGCTCTTAAAGTCCAACGAAACCTATTAGCGAAACCGATACCGCAAAGCTGGAATGAATGAACCTTCACCAAAAAAAGGAAAAAAATAAACAAAATAAAAACAAAAATGGGGCACAGGCAGAAAAGGCCTGCTCCATATTACACTCGCCTGCATCGGGGCAGGGAGCAAGCCTATGTTCCTGGACAGATGATAGGTGGACAAATTTTCTTAATAACCCAATGCCCATGTAATATATCCATTACCTATGTGTCAAAATTTGATCCCCCTCTCAAATCGATTTCTTTTTTTTGGCCTCTGTAGATCTTGGTAGGACGGGCAGGCCCTCTTAATTTTGTTTTGTATATGTGACCTGCCATATCGTAGTGAGGAATAACCCCTACGGTACCTTTGACTTTTCAAATTGCATACATCAAGTTAAAGCGCATATCATTGGCTTTCTAGTGATACCAAATATTTTTATGTAGCTTAATTTATTCCAAAGATACTTCAACAGTGACTCGCTGAACTTCACCAACCTTCATTTTTTGAGAAAAACAGCTTTGTAAAAAGATATACGCATTGCGTTGCCAACGGCATTTTTTTTCCTTCCAATTTTGGGGGTAATTTTTTCCTAACAGGAAGGCATAGTGTGAATCTTGGATAGCTTGGCTACTCAAAAATACAAAAAAAAACAAAATCGATTTTGACATGATATTTCTAGTCAATCCGACTTCAGGCATTGAAAACTAACAAGGTTTTGTGGGACATTCCATATTTTGCCACAGTAGGTCACACATTTCAGGTTAATCCAGTCAGTAAAAAGTGTGCAGCAGTTTAATTCATTTTCAAGTCATATTTTTTACAAAAAACAGCTGCCCCTGCCCCCCCCCCCCCAAATCTACGCCCACCTACTCATCCACACCCCTCTACCCCCTCCCCTCACCCCCTGCCTGTGCCCCAACAACATGAACGACAAACTGAAAAGCATGTCAGATGAAGAGAAGTTGAAAGCCCGTCACTTACCTCGTAGCGCGGACCTACCTCCGGGTTGGTGGAGGCCATGGCACCCCGGGAGTCCTCGGCCAGCTTGGAGTACTCGTGGGAGAGGTTGTTGGCCAGCGTGCCCAGCTCGCCCACGTTGCTGTTGGCCTTGGAGACCTGGGGGTAGACAGCGGGGAAGGGATAGGACACATCCAAAAAAAAGACAAGTGAGTTCAAAGTTATCGGTGCTTAATGTTTAACCCATTACATGCATACGTGTACATAGCAGTGTTGTATAGTCGACTCCATCTCAAGTTTGAGATAGTAACAAAGTTTGAGAACAGTGACAAGTTTGAGAACAGTAATAAAGGAATGCCTTTGCCCGGCTCTTTGAATAGCTTGGGACTTGACTTGGGACTGGTTGACTTGATAGATTTGTGGGGACTTGTAGGGAGTTGTAGGGACTGTGATAGACTTGACCACAACATTGGTATACTAGTTGTAACTTGTATTCAGTCTATTCCAAGTGTACATATGCATACATGTAAAATGTTAAATATTAATGCACCGGTAGTTGTATAATGTACTTCACATATTATGTGGAAGTTATAAAAAGTCAGACATTGTATAATGGAAATTCCCTTTTTCCCTTTAACCAAGAAATTTCTTGGACAGTTTTTATGTTTGATCATTACCACAATGTTCAGATTTTGAAAAGTTTGGTTACATGAAAATCATAGATCATATTATTACTACAGACAATATCACAGAGGACCTGTCCTCAGAAATTCCTGCTTGATATTGTATGCACAGATTCACATACATAGTAACTTAAAACAACACCAAACCAAGGGCATCATTTCGTCTGTGTTCGACCATGTATTCACTGCATGATGGTGAATTCAGTTTTATACACACACAACACACACACAGAAAGTACAGAAAAGTGATTACACGACACTCATATGTTTTATATCCGAGTGTGAAATGGTTACAAAAGTATGTCAGCAAAAAGTCAAGCTTTGAAATTTGCGGTCACAACATGATTTTGCCAGTTCAGCGGAGCTCTTTGAAAGCTGGGATGCGACACCTTCGGAAACCTGAGGATCAGTGGTTGGCTCTCGATTTTTGGTTGGGATTTGAGGTTGCGCAGTTTTTGGTTTTGGAAAACACTTTCATCTTGAATTATCAAAAGGTGGTTATTGGCAGGTGCATGGAAGGGGGTCTGGGTTAATTGAGAAGGGGAGGTAGGGGTGCACGGTATTTTAGGATGCTGCAATTTAGAAAATGTTTGGAATAAGCAAGGGCAGGAATGCTGATTTTGGTTAGGTTTTTAATGTGTAGTTGATGATAACCTGTTGTGCTTGTGTAAACATGTAAATAGCGAGTTATGTTTTGCTTATGGCTGAAGATATGTAATTAATGGATTTCTAATAAGTTGCCTGATTTCTCTCTATCTATCTTATGCCAGATGTACAGACAGTATGTGTAACGCTGCTGATTTATTGTAATCAGATCATAAAAGTCAGACAAATTCTTCAGCTGCAAACCTTAACGCAATCTTCTCCCCAAATTTGCTGTATGAAATGGTCATGCATTATTTTCAAAATAACGTTGAGACAATTTCTTCAGTATACATGTACAGCATTCAATGGTGCACACATAAATGTGCATGTTTTTTTTTGGGGGGGGGGGCCCTAGTGGTTAGGGTTTGTGACTCATGATCAGAGGGTCCAGCTGCTGGCCATATGTTGTGTCCTTGGGCAAGCCACTTTATCCCGACTTGCCTCTCTCCACCCAGGAGTACAAATGGGTACCGGCATTAGCTGGGGAGTAACCTGCAATGGACTGGCATCCCATGCAGGGGGAGTAGAAATACATGATGGGTCATATTGGCTCAGGAACATTTTAATCAATTTCCTAGACTTACCTTCATACACTACAATTGATTAAAGAAATTATGAGACACTTGGCTTCCACATTTCACAGTTTGTGTTTCGCTGCTTTATGATGATGATTTATGAAATTATTTTGTTTAATGGTCATGGTTTTCACAGCATTAAGTATGATGCTGTGTTGTCTCATCAAAGTCTTAATTTCTTTACTTTATCGGATTTTTGAATATTTGTAAAATGACACCTAATTGTTATTTTTGTTTTTACAAAATGTCAACAAGTAAGATCAAATTGGAAATTTTAGGCTGTTGTAGCACTGACCAATCGCCATCACAGATTCAAGCTTTAAGCAGCAGAATTATTTTTAATGCGGGCACAAAAACACCATGGCTTAAATGCACAGAGATTCCATATATGTAGGGATGCATGCTTTGGTTACGAAAACAGCAATGAAATATTACTATCATAAATATGCAAGAAACTGGAGACAATATTTTTTTGTGGAGATGGGTTCGATGGAGATGTAAGGCTGATGCCTGAATGAGTCTGTGATACAATGGATGTGATGATGACGTGATAGAATCAACAAGACTCACATTCCTCTTGCTCACTGCAAGCTGGGAGCCGGGGACGGAAGGAAGAAAACAAAAAATCACAACAAAACTACTGAGCAAAACTTTCTAATCTTGCAGGACTTCTTCACTCGAAAATCCAAACACGATGATGAACATTTTTATATGGTTTTAAAACTTCAGAACGCTGGTTGTTTTTGCCAAAAGATTTTGCGACGGAATAGTTGCATTTCTTCTGTACAAAGAAAAAACACTGAATTAACTCTCCTAGTCTTCTGCACTTCAAATTCCTTCAAGTTAGTCTTCTGTGGAGTATGGATAACGCTTCAAGTCCCTGCACAATTCTTTTGTGTGGTTAAGCTCAGGGCAAGCAGGCAGATTTGGTCAAGCTTCACTGCTCTCCACAGAGCATTTTTTGTGTGTGCAGGGACTCTCTGTTTGACAGAGTTACATGTATGTCCCTTCACTTGAAACTGACCTGCAATGTTTTAAAGGTTTCACATAATGCTCTGACTATTGACTTCCAACAAAGAGGGTTAATCGACTGGGGTGCATTCCATTTATATGAACAACAAAAAGCGGGCATCCAAGAAAGTTTCCAATTTTTCATGTTCTTCATGAAAGTGGTATTCAACCCAGATGTCTGGTTCTATTTGATGAGCATAACAATAACTGCAAATTTACAGGCAAGGACAGGATTCAAATAGGGGAAACAGAAGGGGCAAAAGTCGAGCAAATATGCACTCTTCATCTCACTAATCTATAGAAACATGCTTCATTAAGGGCAGTTCATACTGCAAAACACAAGTCAATGTGAAGGGAATTTAACACCAAGGAACTGGGGCTGAGGGGTGTTGCAATGCATTCAATATTTCAATATATTGCAGCACGATTACTTCCACGGCGTCACAAATTTGAGTTCGTGCTGGCTTTTCGCGTCGTCGAGTATAAACCGGCCGTCGGCCTTACCATGTCGTGCGAGGTCTTGATGATGGCCTTGCAGGATTTCACCATGCTCGTCTGGTAGTCCACAAACTCGCCTGCTTCATTCTCGGGAATGGTATCGTCAGTCTACAAAAACCGAAAGAAAAATTTCTCAACTTGTTACACCCTATCCAGCATGTTACGAGTTGATTAGCACGAATGTGTGACATTAAGCTAATTCGGGATTCCAACTGCGCATGCGTTCAATATAGCGGGTCAAAGGATATTCAGGATAAACGTAAACAGCAATCTCCGAGTCAATGAAGCTGTATCGGCTCTTTGTGGTACTTTCTGAAAGTCATGTTGGTTAGTGCAGCATTTAACAAATTTAAAGTTAAGCGGCAACCTTTTTGACTTGTAAACTGCCGGAAGTCTTTATCCTGAATGACCTTTGACCCGAACTACTTTATTGCGCGAAATACCAAATTGGCTTAAAGTCAACCGAGGGGCAGAGCTGTCATCAAGTCATTTTCAAATCATTCCACAAAAGTCACCTTATTTTCCAAAGTCAAGCCACACCACACATATCATCTGTCTGGAACTGAGATGATTTGTTTTAGCTTTTCATGGGTGCCTCACCTTGAAAATATCAATGGATTTTTTGGGGGGTTGGTAGGAGGTATAGGGGGTTGTCATGCAGAAGATGTTCTGGCTTACTTTGAGGATGGTATCCACCATTCCTGAGATAATACCAAATTCACTAATAGCCTCTTCCAGCATAGTGTTCAGATCATGCCTTGCATGGAAGAAGGGGAGAGGGGGTTGTTGGGGGTTGGTAAGGGGGTGGGGGGGGGGTTGGTAAGGGTTAAGGGGGGGGGTCGTTCCAAGCTAACTTTCAGGATGGCCTTGGAGATGGTATACACCATTCCTGAGATGACGCCAAACTCACTATCTGCCTCCTCCAGCATTGTGTTCAGATCATCCACTGCTTCCTTCATGCCTTACTCGTGAGGGGTGGGGGGAGTGGGGTGGGGCTTGGTAAGGGTGGGGGATCATTCCCAGCTTACCTTCAGGGTGGCTTTGGAGATGGTATCCACCATTCCTGAGACGATGCCAAACTCACTGGCTGCCTATTCCAGCACAGAGTGTTCAGATCATCTACTGCTTTCTTCATGCCTTGCTCGGGAGGGGTGGGGGTTTGGGGGAGGGGTTGGTATGGGTGGGGTGTCTTTCCCAGCTTACCTTCAGGATGGCTTTGGAGATGGTATCCACCATTCCTGAGACGATGCCAAACTCACTGGCTGCCTCCTCCAGCATAGTGTTCAGATCGTCCACGGCTTCCTTCATGCCTTGTGTGGGAGGGGTGGGGGTTTGGGGGAGGGGTTGGTATGGGTGGGGTGTCTTTCCCAGCTTACCTTCAGGATGGCTTTGGAGATGGTATCCACCATTCCTGAGACGATGCCAAACTCACTGGCTGCCTCCTCCAGCATAGTGTTCAGATCGTCCACGGCTTCCTTCATGCCTTGTGTGGGAGGGGTGGGGGTTTGGGGGAGGGGTTGGTATGGGTGGGGTGTCTTTCCCAGCTTACCTTCAGGATGGCTTTGGAGATGGTATCCACCATTCCTGAGACGATGCCAAACTCACTGGCTGCTTCCTCCAGCATAGTGTTCAGATCGTCCACGGCTTCCTTCATGCCCTGCGCTGCTTCATCGATGGCTGAGTGGGTGTGGACAGCCTGCAAGAAGAACACCAAGAACCATAAACGAGTTGCAACTGTTGGCATTAACACGGTGCTTTCATCATTCATTGTTGACTCTGTGAACAAGCACCCCTCTCGGGAGCAACAAAGAGAGAGTTAGAACAACTCTCGGCTGCAGTATGCCTAGTCACCAAGTCAAAGTAGGGATAGGTTCTTGCTATTCCGATAAAATACAAGTAACCGTACATACGTACTACTTGCCAAATATGCACAGACTAGCATCAACACCTGGTGTGTTTGACTCTGCAATTGACCCAGCAACTGGTCAGGATGAAAGAGTTCCAAAACTAGGAACTTTGCTGTTTTAAATTTTGTACCTTTGGATTTCCACCACCTTCCTTGGCTGCGTACAGCAGCTGCAATCCGGACTCTGCCACCGTCTTAGTCAGGTCCAGGACGGCCATCTGCCGCTGGGAGTTGTGGGTCTTGGAGGCGGCACCGATGGCGCTGCGCGTCAACGGGTCAAAGTAGTTGGCCATGGAAGACACCTAAAGGCAATACAAAAAAAAATGGTTTCAACGGAGGGGCAATTCTAGCGTTATGAAAGACAGTGTAATATCCGTGATAGAGCAAAAATAACCATGGTATTTAATTAACGAGTGATCCAAAACTCCTAGTCTGTAATCTCCTTGACTACTACTAGATGATGGATGTATGAGATTTCAGAAAACTAAATGTTCAGGTTTATTCACTGAGCTCTTAAAAGCTCTGTCACAGACAATACACATTGACTACTACTAGATGATGGATGTATGAGATTTCAGAAAACTAAATGTTCAGGTTTATTCACTGAGCTCTTAAAAGCTCTGTCACAACATTTGCAAGCAACATTTGCAACATTTGCAAGCATAAAAGAAACTACCAAATTATTATGAAATACCTTACTGGATTGTTAGTGAATGACAGTCTAAAGCATCATGTAAAATCATGGTACTGGTGCGTTGACATTTTCAAGAAAAGTGGTATTTTGTATCAATTGTTGTTTTTCTTCTAATATTGCCCCCAATTTACCATATTTAGTTAGTCTGCATTTTGTTTGCAATCGATTATGCACCTATGAACGGGTACAAGCCAGCTAGACTGGTTCTCTGACCTTACAATTCCCCGACGTCTATAAATTGCTCCGTTTTATCTTAAGTGGGTCAGGGAACCAGACTACAAGAACATAATTGTTTATCTTGGTTTCTCCAGCATCTACGAACCCAAAACTTAAAAAAAAGTCAGTGTAACAATGTTTGCTATAAAATACTAACCCCCCAAATCCATCCATTTCTGAAAATTACAGCAAAAGCAAATGTTGTATATTCCCTTTGACACGACTAACTGGCATTTCTGCATATCATCCCATCAGAAAGGCAGTAATTCCCACAGGCGCCAATTTTAGAGAAATACAAAGAAAGAAAACAAAAAGGAGGACATCAAGAAGCAGCAATCTTCTTCCAACAGAGAAACTGATCAGGAAATAGACTTAAAGCATCCAGAAAGCTCTTCAAATCTTTGTGAAAAACTGGACATTATTTAAACGGGGATCTGAGTTCGAGACCCTGATCAGAAATCTAGGATAAACTTTTGAAACTGCAGCCCTTACAGCATGTCCCAGTTTCTCTGCCTGTCCCTTGGAGGCGGTGGCAACTTCGTCAATCTGGTACTTGAGTTCCACGGCGCTGTTGGCCATCTGTTCAGTGAAGCTCTGTAAACAGAAAAATACCAAACCAGAACACAGCTTTTTAAAAATCGAGACAAATTATTGGACTTGGTCTATTCAACTTGAGGACTATAAAGTTGCATTTCCTGTGCTCTTAAACAAATTCAATTTTGTTTTCTGTTAATACATTTTCAACTTGTATGTTTTATTTCAACCCAACAAATCTCCTTTTTTCCCTTTTTTTGACAACTGCAACTCTCTGAAAAAAAACCAACCCAATGTTTTTGTTTTGGGCACAGACAGATCCGCATTGCACTCAGAATGGCTTCCGGTCCATACATTATTGATACTGACTGCGGGACGGGAACCAGCCTACACCGCAAGAACAGACTTATTGTCTGGCAGTCAATAATTTGAAATTGTAAAGTAATCATTGCTAAAAGTAATTAAATAACTAAACATGGTTGATTTTTTCGGTCGATGTCTCATTCAAAAGTAAATAACTTTTGCAATGCTAGGAAACTAGCAATTTAGAAAATAGCAATAGAAAAGTAATCTATTTTACGGCTTGAAACTCAAAAATAGCTAGGGAACGCAATTTTAAGGAAGTCGCTCTATGGGCAATGCTATAGTTACTTTGGGGTCACGACAGCCTACAGAATTGTGAAAGATTTATGGTAGAGGGGAAACAAAATTCAGGTACGCAGTGCGAGAAAAAAGACCTTGACAAATATTTCACATATTGTGTTTTCCCCTTCATTGTTGTATTCTTTTTATATAAACACTGAATTCTCAGTGTTGTCTAAGGGCTTGGGACAAAAATGAGTATACAGGGACAACACTGAGTATACAGTGTTTAAAAAAATAATAACTTGGCGAAGGGCAAAACCAAATATGAAATTTACATCTCCCCGATGTAAATCCCATCTTATACAATATCTCGCAGTGCTAGCCTTCAGAATAGATGTGATGAGCACGCCATGCAAGTACAATGCTTCCAAGTTTGGTCGAGGGGAAGAAAGTTTAATCAAGAGAAAAAACACTCACCTTGAGAGTAGCGCCCTCATGCGGTGGAAGACTCTGGCTCATAGCAGCAAGGGAGGCTTGGTCCAGATCCCTCATAGACTGGTTAACCTGCTCTATGGCGTTATCGCATTCTAGCTGGCCAGGGGCACGGTCCCTGAAAAATTACAAGGTGAAATACAAATCAAATAATATGGACGTGTATTGTAAAGGTGAGCTTATATTCTGCAACGGGGGTAATTTCATCTAGCCACCCGTTCTGGAGGATAACATTAAAGCTTGAAGAGTAGATGAGGTGTAGCACCTGAAGTCTTAGAAATATTGATTGGAATCAACTACTTAGCTTCAGAGCTTGTCAAACTGGGATGCCAGGCTTTCGGTGTTAACGACACCTACATCGGGGCTGTTACATGTGTGTCTGATTAGATGCTGAAATTCCACATTTATTCCCGACTTGATTTCATATTAATAGCAGCTATGCGCAAGTTTGAATGAGAACTCTTATTGACCATAGTTCAACTATCTTCACTCGAGCCCACATTAACCCTCCTTTTGTTTGATCAGTCACAGACAGTTGAAAATTCAATCCTGTTCCCTTGCCTTGCCTTTTACACAGGCTAGTCACCAACAGTCAGATCATGTATATCTGTTGTAGTCACTGTGACTAGTCAAATTCTTACAACAGACAAAAGCAGGTGACTGGTAGACACAGTTGGCTTATTAATATCCTACAGTCAAAGCATGGTCATATCAGCTATAGCTACAAGTGCAAGCCGACTGCATGTAAAAGCGCCTTAGGCAGCTGCCAAATGACCATGTCTTACCAAGGAGCACAGCCAGAACGAAAGCAGAGAGAGGAAAACCAGAGAACCCAGAGAAAACCCTCACAAAACAGGAGAGAATCAACGAAAAACTCTACTTGCATATGACCTGAGCAGGGAATCAAACCACGGCCAACCAATGAGAGCAGCGGCATTGCAATGCCCTCCTCCCCTCCCAAACAAATTGTTGCCCTCCCCCCATTGGAAATTTGCTAGTCCTTTTTGACCAGCAGCCTTTTTTTTTTCATGAGTGCCCCTTTGTTTACGTTGTGCAAGTGTCTCTCGCCACCTATTATCCGATAGTGTCTGCTTTGAAGGGCACCACATAGACAGATGGTGTCCAACCTCCCCCCCCCCCTCCTTTTGATTTTACGGAGATCGAGTGACCGAGCGAAAAAAACCCTGTGTATCTTTCAACAAGCATGCTAGAGAAATTGGGCGCCCCCACTGTGCATCCAGCTCTCCCACTCGCCCCCCCCCCCCCCCCAAGGTGAGAACGTTGGCTACACTGCTGGGTGAGAGGCAAGCACTTGACACACTGCGGAAAACAGCACCCACCTGATGGAAGACACAAGTTTCTTGATGGAGTCGGAGACGTCCTTGGAGTGATTGGCCAGCTGTTGCCAGGTGGGCGGGTCCTTGGGGTTGAGAGCCAGCGGCTTGGCAGTCTGGATCAAGGCACAGGAGCTGGCGATCATCATCTTGCCGGCTGAGATGATGGGCTCCATGGCCTGACGAGCCTGCAAGGGGAAAAAGGAAATGGAAGCATTTACACTACCACATCTGGAGTACACTTTATGATTACACTTCATACATATTAGTAAGCCACATGCGCTTCTTTCGTTGATCAATGTTTGCAAGTTATTCCACACTCAACAACTGTTGACTGCTGTGATGTGGGACATAGAGGATTTTTTTTACTACCTAGGGACACATAGCACCCGAGACGAAGCCGACTGTGCGAACTTTTCAACTGACAGTACATGACTGGAATTTCACATACCTGAGGAGTGATCTTGGCCGGCACGCTGGAGAATTCTGGCGAGGAGGCAAAGGTGACGAGGTTCTCCACGGCCTCCAGCAGGGGCTTGGTGCTGGCGGCACACTTCTGTCGGTTCTCATCGCTGAAGTTACCATCCAGAGCCTGCAAGAAGATCGGGGAACCAGCTATTATCAACATCTCTAAAGTTGTTTGGTTTGAAAAGTGGGTATCTCAAAAAGCATAAATTTGATTTTAGGGGATTTTTTTTAAAACTAATTTGCATTCATACTCCTTTCTAATTGTATCAAACAGTTGTTTTTTTTCGGAGGGGGGGGAGGGGGTAGCAAATAACAGTGATTGCCGTAATTTTCGGAATATAAGCCGCGCGGCGTATAAGCCGCAGTACGCAAAAATCTGCAAATTAAGACTTGAAGTCGGCGTATAAGCCGCACCGGCGTATAAGCCGCATCGACCGCAGTGGTTTCAATTTTGTAGGGCCTCCAAATTCTAGTCAAAATGCTCTGAACCAGTTCCATTTACACTACGAAAGCTATAAAAAGGGCCACAAAACTTATATCAAATCATTCACAGTTGATACTCTTACAATAATACAAACAAATATGGAAATTGATGATGAGAAATAAACACCGGGAATTACTGCCGGCTGCCCCGTCCGGTCCCCGGCCTAAAACGTTAGGGCATGGCCCAGCAGCTAGCGCCGGCAAATGATAACAATTTCCCCCAGCACTTGAGATGTATGTAACCCACCGTGTGTCGTCTGACTGGAGGCTACAAATGCTGCTTTGTGGCAACAGATGCTGATTTGTTTTGTCCTAAGAATAAACAGGTCCGTTTTTACAACAAAACGTATCAAATTGTTGTGATTACTAACGTCAAAATTCAAGTTGCGATTGTAACTTTCTTCGAAAATAGTCAACACGATGCTGAAAATGTTATGGACGAATCCATTCATTTCGTAAGGGGTGATTTTTAGCCCCTGCTTTGAGTTTTACATCGTTTCTTGAATACATTTCAAGAAAAAATTATATTGTGACATTGAACAACGATTATTGAATAGAGAAATATTTGGAACTCCATAACAAGTATTAGTTATCTTTTTTTCTGTTTTTAAACAGCAAAAATATTGGTAATTATTGTTCCCAAGAAAGTACCCCCCTTTATTACAACAAATGGTGTGGTCCATGGGAAAGGCATGCAGCATGCATGCAGCACTAGAATCACGTACGTACGGCCGGTTGTCGATGTCGATGTCAAAGAGACAGCTTTCGCTAGCCGTACTTTTTACCGCTCGGTACCTTTTCGTTGGACGTGCTTTCGGTTTGTATTATGACTTTCTTAATTGATGGTTCATTTCAGCAACAGATCTTTCCTTATACCAGCACATTAAATATACATCTGAATATCATTTTTATTCTTCAAGGCTCGGCGTATAAGCCGCCCTGTGTATAAGCCGCAGTAAACATTTTCATGGGCAAATTCAACGTATAAGCCGCGGCTTATATTCCGAAAATTACGGTATATAACTGACATACAGATCCTTTTCACATGATTGGTGGAACTCAAATCACGTGACATTCATTATTGCTCCCATTCGTGCCGGGGCTCAAAAAGTCCCATTCGCCCATGGGGAATGGGATTTACTATTCAACAGCTAGAATCATGCTTGTTGCATGGCAAGGTATTTGTGTGCAAATGCATGCTGGTGTGCCCGTTGAGCGTTGCGTGTATTGTTCCCAAGAGCAAGTAGCTACAGAGTTGGAGCCAGTAGCTACAGAGTTGGGTTCAACCATTTTGTGAAGTGGTGGTTTGGAAGAGAGAAATACATTCCCCACCAATTTTGTATTGAAATAGAAGTTCATTTTAACTGTTAATCAAATGACAAGGATCTATATGTCAGTTGTATAAAACAAAATATTAAGTGGTTTTAAATTGTGAAATTGGTAAAATCTGGACTTTTCCATTTCGCAAGGCGAAAAATCCAGATTTTACCTTGTGATTATTCTCCTCCCATTCCACTCTGACCCACTCAGTATTTGTAAGCCATGTTGCTCATAACTTTCATTTAACTATGCGCAGAATGGAATGGGATCCCCTAACTTGTTAAATAACAAGAAAGTGCAATGGGCTCTGTGCACAAACAGTAGATGGCAGTGTTGTGGTACAGTCCACCACAAGTCTGGTCACAAGTGAATCATTATCCTAGTCACAAGTACCAATGGATGAAGAATTGCTGCATTGTCCCACTTCATTTGAATAGCTTTTGACTTGTGAGGACTTGTGAAGACTTGTGATGGATTTTGACATCATCCCTGGTTGATGTGCCCGCGTTGGTGCGTACTGGTTTGCATGTGAAGTACGTAATAACAAGTCTGACTGTCTTTTTCAAGGTCGAGGGGATACTAGTGCACACAGTTTCATAAAACCATGACAGGTTCTGCAGCAAATCTCTCGGGACTAGGTCTGACATACCTTGATGCTCTTGACCAGATTGGCGGTGCTGTTGGCCACGTCCTTGGCCGATTGCACAAAGTGTTTCTTGGCCACCGGGTTGCTGGTCTTGGACGAGGCCACGCGACAGATGTTGCACAGCGCCGACGTGTGCTTGGCCACCTCAGTGGCTGCGGCCAAAACCTGCGGAGGGACACAATAAAAAGGAAAACCAACATCATTCTGGTGATATCGTGCAAACTCAATTCATAATATAGCCATAAGAAAGGACACTTTTGTAGATTTTGACAACCAAATCGATGTAGATCTGTTTTTTTTGTCACATTGTTTACTGTGGGTAGTTGACTAAAATGGTACAACATCCATTCAAATGACTTTTTGCCACTAACAATGTTCTTTTGCTGTTGAATGAATAGCACAGACTGTATGAGAGCAAACCAGATCATTTCAAGGTACAATATGACCAAATGTCTGAAACCAAACTATAATTTCTTTTTGCATTTGATTCAGAAGTTTTTAATTTTCACCTCTTTCACACCACATTGAAAACTAAACAGGCTTTCTACATTGAATCCCACGTTGTGATCCACACAAGCTTCAATATAAATTTTTAATAATTCAAACAACGGGAAAATTAGGGAAAAATAGTTTGAAACTTTGGGCTGACTACACTGGAGGCTTTGGGTGTGTGCCATGCATTTTAGACAACTTGAAAATGGAGAGATATAACTTATATACATGAATATCAATATCTAAAATGGCCGCCAAATAAAAGAAAGCGAGCGTAACAATATTGAGTAATCCGGCGAACATAATTAGGAACCATTTTTAAAGGTGGTGCCCCGCAGATTATTTAGACAAGGCGTGCGCGCATTTTGGTGGCCCCTCAGAAAATGGCTGTCGCCTCTTTATCCAGTTACACTACGATATCGGACGCTCAAATATCAGAGGGCGCCCTGAACTGCACGTTGTTCATGAACAAAAACCCAACTTTTTAGGAATGAGATAATTGGCCTTATGAAGCCACTCCTTGTAGCCACGATAACACTGGTGACAAAAAAATCCCTGAAATTCTGGCCATCGATCCATATAATGTAACATTTCTCCCAATACTCAACACAAATTAAACATATGCAAAATGCAAAATGAATGATGACAAGCCCTAATAAAAAAAAACACATGCAAAATTATCACTGAAATTAAACGGTCATGCACTTCCTGGAAGAAAACAAAAATGAGCAAAACAAAGGAATTGATGATGTTGATGCGGTGTTACTTTCACCATCAACTCTAGCTGCAAAATAAAATAGTCATGAAGGGCTGCGAAAATCAAAACGGGATTTAGGTCAAATGTAAGCAAATGGTTGTTACTGCTCTGCTGAAAGTTTTTGTTTTTTAGGAGGCGTAGAAGGGAAATGGTTAAGGAATTGCCAGCTAGCTCTGGACCAATTATTTCATGAGAATCGTTTCTGAATTAAAAAATGTGCATTTTTATGCATGTACGGGCCGTGGTCAACATCAATGACTTTGGGGAAAATTTTTAAAAAATTCCAAAATCAGATGTTCTGGTTATCTTTTTTTCATTTTTGAAAAATTTCATTGCCACAACAACTGTGCTTCAAACTTTGCAATAAACCAGTTCGGTATTCCAACTGCGCATGTGTTTTCTTTCGGAATAAACATTTCATTGTGTGCGTGCAAAAGCATAGCGGCGTACCAGCAAAATTGAATAGATCGTCGTGTTCTGAAGTAACAATTTGCAAAAAAAAAACCTTTGGACAGCAAAGTGTTTTTAAGTGTTCGGTATGTCCAATCTTTTCCGATTGCACAAAAAATTATACAGAATGCAGATTCTGTTACCATGTCCCCTAATAGCCTTGTGTGCGTTTATTTGCCGCATTTATCCCCCCAAAAATTTGTCAAATCTTGTTGTGCACCAGACTATTCTGGAATACCGAACTGGCTTATTCTGTCAACACTTTCCTTTGAGTAATTCACAGCATACTTAGCTCTCATATCAGCTTCTCTGTCTGTTAAGATTTTGCTGACGGATACTTAAAAATTATTAAGACCAAAGTTTGCAAATACAGGTAGTTACGAAATAGTTTCTCTGAAAATTATTTAATCTATTGTAGAGTACATTCAATGATAACCTTGCCATTTGACCGTTGGTCCAGAGCTAGTTTTTTTTTTTTTTTTTAGCAAAGACTGAAGTGGTAGAGTATATACACGTATTTAGAATGATTTTTGTGTCTCGCTAACCAGCAAATTGGTCAGATGATCAAACATACGGGGTGATAAACGGACAGACGAATGGATGGAGGTATTGGGGACCAGTTTGCCGAACAGAGGCGTGACCGCGGAAAATGTTGCCATCAGGGCGCCCATAGTCTAACGACAAAAGGCACAAAAATGCTTGTGTTAGTGGATTAATTATGGTGAGGTGGAAGGGGGGGTGGTGAAGTGGAAGGGGGTGGGGAGGGGAGGGGGAAGGTATTGAGAGGAGATGAAGGAGGATATGTGTGACCAGGTTTCAGTAAACGAGTCTAATGAACATTGAGGAGAATTTCTTTTGTGCGTTAGACAAAGCACACTAAGCACTCTATTTTGACATCAGTTTGACATGCTGAAGGATCTAGAGGCAACACTTGGGTGAAATGTTTGGCAGTCATATAGGGCTCATTCAATGACGGCCATTTCTGTAGGAGAAGTGCAACTGCGTATTTTACGCAATCTAGCACACATTGCGCAGTGTTGAAAATGTTCCAAGTACGCGCGATTGTTGCTCGAAATGTGTTCAAAATACGACGCAGCCGATGCGTGTTATGCAAGTTGATGCTGAAAATGCCGATGCATGTGGATGGTCTGTAGGAAATGACGTCATTTGAACGAGACCTATTAATTTCCACACCGGCCTGTGTTGACAAAAAGTAGCAATCGTGTTTTCTGACTTAGTTTGTCAGGTTGGGGGACCATTAACAAGCAACAGGGTAGATATTAGCCAAATTTTTAATTTCACAGGTAATTATTCATAAGATGGAATTTGCATCGGGGTGATGTAAATTCAATAATGTTTTTGCCTTCACCAATGTATAAACACTGTATACTCTGTGTCCCCCCCCCCCCCCCTTCCCGAGTGAAAACGATTCAAATCACTCGGGTGGGACTGGAACGCACGACCATGTTAAAAAAATTCATTTTAACATGAACGGTCAACAGAAAGTATTCGTGGAAGTTCTAAAATGAAGGGTGTTTAATTGGTGGCATGGTTCTTGACAATACTGTAATAGTTTGTTAATGGTGCAAAGACAAACAAACAGACACACAAACATACAAATAACTCAAAACAAACTAAGGGTGGTCCAAACATGCGCTGCTTTTAACATAACTTTCATCTGGGTGAAAAATGTTCCAACACTTTCAATGAACGGAATGTTTTGTACTTTGTACATTGGGTACAAAATTTGGGCAACAATACATGTAGCAAGAGTACAGCTATACATTTGCATCTGTTAGGCCCCCCCCCCCCAAAAAAAAATAGTCGGTCTCTGGTCAGACCGAAGTTCCAGAATTGATGCGGCGACGCGTTTTTTTTTTTTTTTTTGGTGGCTTTTTTTTTTTTCAAGCTTGTATTGTACAGACAAGGTGGGTACTATTTTGCTTTTTTGTGTCCTCATTATACATTGGTGTCCTCCATAATTTGCCTTGGTGCCCTTTATCATTTGCCTTGGTGCAATTTCCCCATTCCTTGGTGCTCCTTAGTTGTAGCTTCTGTGTTAATTTGAAAAAAATAAAAAATTTTGACGCGCATGATTAAAATCGACGCGCGCGCTGACCAGAGACAGAGTTTTTAAATTTTTTTTTCCTTATTTATGTAATGTTTGGAGTCATCAGATCAAAAGAGCACTTTTAAAAACCCTAACCCTCCTCAATCCTCTAAATTCCTCCAGGCAGTTTTGGAAGATTTTGGAGGATTGAGGCTGAATGGCAAAAAAAGTGTCGGTTGGTTTCAGAGGATGCATTGTGTTGAGTTTGTAGGCTGTATCCATATGTTTATGTTTTGTCATGCTTAATTGAGCCCTGCATTAATATGCCCGATATCATCCGCACTGCTTCTGAATGTCAACGGCACTGCCTCAACCCATTAACAGTGATTGCTGGAGGGTTTTTGAAGGATTGAGGCAACGGTCACCCCTCCACTGAACAAATTCAAGAAATAACGGATGATTCTGGAGGATTGAGGCTGAATCCAATGTTTACATGGTGGCAATTGGTGGATTATGCAGGATTGAGGATCGTTCTTAGCCAAAAGGGCCTAGGCTGTTAGGGTTAAGCCAATGTCATTCGGGGTCTAAACTAGTGTAAAGTTCTGCATATGTTGGACCTCAACAAGCCAAAAAAATACATTCTGGATATCTGTCTAAAACACCAAATGAAAATCAATTGGCCTTTTTTTATATCTTAACTTAAGCTTATCCCGGATGCAACATTGCATTTTGGTGTTTATTAGCCATAATAATGCTCCCGTTTCTCCAATTGGCCACAGCATGCATAAAACAGACCACAGGCATTTTCGAAACACAGGCTTTACTCTTTGACTTCTGCCTTATCTCTGAATCTAGAATAATGATAAAGTCTTTGAAGGCCAAACTAGTTCCAAATGGAGATTAAGATTTTGCACCAAACATGCACCATAACATGGAGCCAATGTCAGAAGCCTTAAAGGCATATAACATCATTTGCATTTCATGCGTTTTGTTTGTTTCCAATAACAACGCTCCTCAAAATCAACAGAAGAGTGCTTAAAACATAGTCTGTTGAAGTTTTTGCTCAGTGGATATTACACTTTTCGAGAAAACGGTGAAAACCATGGACAACCTTTTGATCAAGATTCACGGTTTCGTACATAGCGCTCTGTACTTCCATAAATCAGTCAATTGACTGATCATTGGAAATCGCCTAAATTTCTTGATTTCTTTTAAACGACAGCAAGCCAGATGGAATAATTTCACAGGGTGTTTAGTACCAGTACGATCTTTAATCCAAGTAAGCTTTTTGATAATACTTTGATAAATGCAAATGATCCTATATGCCTTGAAGTCTTCAAAAGCGGCTGTCAGAGACAAAACTGACTTTTGGATACCCCCTAAAAAATACATCTGCAGTTTTATTGGTCACGTTCCTTGCACATACAATAACAATGCAGTCAAGATGTGATATTTGTACAAGCGTGACAAAAGCCAGTCTCATTTCTTTCACGATTTGCTTTATTATTCAGTGTGAGGAGACGAGAACAGGGATGTAGTCGAGTCCACCAGAAGTCCAGTCACAAGTAAATCACAAATCCAGTCACAAGTAAGAGTGGATGAACAGTTACAAAGGAATGCCTTTGTCAAAGCTCATTTGAGTAGCTTGTGAGTTTACTTGGCACTGGAGGAATTGTGATGGACTTGTGATGGACTTGACTACCTCCCTGGACAGGAATGCAGTAACAGTGTGCAAACAGGGTTCGTGTGCAACATACGCTACTCTCCAAAATGCAAAGGTGTGGAGGGGAGGCGGGAGGGAAATCTGGAGAGGACTACAAACCTGTTGCTGGCTGCTCTCTGGGTTGAGAAGGCTGTTGCAGGCGGCTTGGATGGCCTGGTGGGCGCGGGCAAACTGGGACTGGTCGACCAGACCGGGTCGGCCTGCCACACTGGAGGGGTCTGCGATACCCACTAGGTAGGCGGACTGAAGGTGGAAAACAAAAGTGAGGGATTTAGAATGTGATACCTGGATGTGTGTGTGTGTGTTGAAGATGGGACTACGAACAGAACACAATGTGACGGATAAACATGATGAAAACCCCACGCACTACTCTTATGTACAACCTCCTAGTAAATACAACCTCCTAGTCTTCTGCACTTCACAACCCTTCAAGTTTTGCAAAACCACTTTTGCTCATATAAATGTAGTAAGCACCCACATTTCAAATTCCTTTGAGGTAATCTTCTGTGGAGTATGGATAACGTTTCAAATCCCTGCACAATTCTTTTGTGTGATTCAGCTCAGGGCAAGCAGGCAGATTTGATCATGCTTCACTGCTCTCCGAAGTGTTATTTTTTTTTTTTTTTACGCAGTGACTCTCTGTGTGACACAGTTACTTTAACACTTCATATCCCTGCAAAATAATAATAATATTAATAATAATAATAAAAACACCCACCTGAGCTGCAGCTTCTGTCAATCCACAGACGGCTGCACCGGCGGCCTCCACGTTCCGTCCAAACTCCTCCAGCTGGCCGTTCTTGGCATTCTGAGTGATGCCACCCATGCTCTCACCAAGATCCTGGAAGGAAAGATGGGCAACGATCCAGGTCAAGGTGATATCGAGGGCCATTGTCATGTTGTGATGTGGGAGATAGCGTTTTTAATCCCCGATGGGCACATAGCACCTGAGGTGAAGCCAAGGGTGCTATGCGCCGAGGGTGCTATTATTAGTTATCCCGCGAGCGCGAGTGGAACACGGAAAAATGCAGTGCATCTGTGTTCGGCCTCGTGGTATGTGGGACACAGATGCACTACATTTTCCGTGTTTCACGAGCACGAGCGTGATTACGAATTTATCTTCAAGCAAACTTGACGAGCAGTAAAGTTGGACCATCGCTTTCCACGAACCTTTCAGCTGTTTAGAGCATGCAGCTGAAATGTCGCTCGCATCTTGAAATAGCGCAATACACAGGGTGCGATATGGACCTTGCAATACAGCCTCATATCACACTGTCGTTGCCATAGATCGACCAATCAGGATCGAGGATACAAGTTTGCTTGAAGATAAATTGCAGATATTCGTGAGTGCTATACACACAATAGTGTATCGCATTAGCATGACGATAGCCATGGAGCAGCGCATGCACAATGATCTAAGACTCACACACCAGTACACTTCGCTTTTAAACTATCGTTCGCCATACAATGTGAATGTGGCAGGTCTATGCCAAAAAAATTACATTTGATCGGCGTACTTGGTACGAGTCTAGCACGCTGAAAACACATAACATGCAACAAATTTTCCTATTGGCTTAATGACGACATGTAGTTTTTTTCTTTTTTTTTCTTGCACGCAACATAAGATTAATTTTTATTTGCACGCAACATGAGATCTATTTTTCCGGCCTATCAACAGATGGAATGCCAGACTTTTACGTACCCTAAAAAAGCTGGTATTCCGGCTATAGCCAAAAAACTGGCATCTTAGGGGCGTGACCAGAAACATGTTTGTGACGTCAAAACGGTAACCAGGAACATGTTTACGCAGGCGCAAGAAAACGCAGAACAGGAAACCGTCATTTACCGCATGCGCATGCATAATAGCAAATTATAATTTTAACGGGCAGACGACATCGTTGACTAACGACAAACGTCATTTTCACTCGCTTTACAGGCCAACATTCGGTATGTTTCCACCACTGCTGCCCTCTCTTTTCACATTCTGGAAGAAAGTAACCTTTTTGGTTTGCTGCATGCAATAACACTTTAGGGAATTCATAATTCGCTACTGTTTGGGGCGACAAAAATATCGTCTGCTAATACATTTTAGTATTTTCCGCCATTTTAAATCTGTGATAACCAACTCCAACCTTCGGTTCTCGTTTGGTCGAAACAATGACGTCACACAGCCATAACCAAAGACGGGAAAACGCCTGACCAATGACCAAAGCGGAAACATGTTTCTGGTCACGGTCACGAAAACACGCCCCTGGTCACGGTCACGAAAACACGCCCCTGGTCACGGTTTTTGTCCCCTGACTGACCTTGGATTTTTCCATGACGCCCTGCAGGCAGTCAAAGTAGGTCCAGTCGTTGATGGGCTCGTTGATGTTGTCCAAGATGTTCTTCATGGTCTGGATGTTGCGCAAGGAGTTGTCGCACTCCTTCTGGCCCGGCGCGGCTTGCATGAAGGTGTCAATCAGGTTGTTGATGCTCTCCGTAACACCTCTGGAGGATTGGAGGATTGAGGAGGGTTAGGGTTAACACCTGATAATGGGGATTACATAGTACCTTTCTGATCCAATAAAGCTGTACTTTCTGTGCTATTTTTTGTTAAGTTTGGCCACCCAAATTCAATTTTAAAAACTGCTACAAGTATTTTTAATGTTTAAATGAATTTGTTGGTTATTTATTTTGCAAGGAATCTGCCAAAACTTTTGTTGTTGTTGTTGTTGAGGAAATCAAATGTTTCTAAATTACCTGGCTGCAGCAGCTAGAAGGTTCTTGGCGTTAGGCGCGTTGGGATCGGCCGACATCGCCTTGACAACCAGCAGCAGCTTGCTGGAGGTGACCGAGATGGTCTTGAGACTGCCCACCATCTCCCCTTGGGCCTCCTTACTCTGTCAAGTCAACAAAGAGGAACATAATTATTGACGAAGGGTCAGAATTACCCATTTCAACAAGATCAAACCATTTCTTTGTAGAGTTGTTAATGACTGTTAAAAATGTGCACAATAAAGTCATAAATAGGGTTAACGGGTGGTTCATACTTCAAGAGAAAAGGAATGCAAAGTTGTCTCAAAACATTTAAGGCAAATTTCGACAAAATGTGGTAAACTTTTGCAAATTTGCAGCAGGAATACTTGTCCTGATGTCGCACTTTGCGCTCACATTTGCAATCTTGCTGAGTATAAAACTTTCTTTTTACTGTTTATACAAAGGATCAACTGGGTTAAACAGAATTGTTTTTTGATAAACGTTTATTAACATGTGTTGTTTATTAACCAACCAACTTATAAAAATTGTCCAGATTATCATTCAGGAAAAAGACTAGTCAACGTTTTTCAACTTGGACACATTGCAGACATTGTGGTACATGTATGTTGGTAAACACATGAATGTGAAATTTAGAGAAATTAGACATTATTTTCAGAGTGCAGAAATGCTTAGTTGTATTACTAAACACCTAAAAAATTAATATTACAATTACGTTTATGTCCAAAACCACCTCAAATTTAGTGAGAGAGACAAGTATGACACAATGAGTTACTCCTATTTTCTGAAGTAGAAATATTAACCCTAACTCCCTAGCATAACTTACTAGGAACCATACCCGTCCTAGCAACTTCCAACACCATGTGGGAAACTGCACACACATATTTCTGATTTTTTACTCTGGAGGTGTGCCAACCAAACTGTCAGTTTAGGGGTACTGTACCCATCCTGACAGATTCCAACAAAACATGCCATTGGGGTTTGATGGGTTGGGTTCTGTTTAATTAATGGTACTGAATTCTGTGCCGGTCTTTCAATAACACACATGTACCGGTATGTAACGTGTAGCAAGCCATGCTAACATGGCTTGCTACACGTAATAACCATAACCATATAAAACACATTTACTTGCCATTGGGGTTTGATGGGTTGGGTTCTGTTAAAGTTAATGGTACTGAATTCTGTGCCGGTCTTTCAATAACACACATGTACCGGTATGTAACGTGTAGCAAGCCATGCTAACATGGCTTGCTACACGTAATAACCATAACCATATAAAACACATTTAAAAGTATTCATTGTATACAATGTACATGTGCAGATCCCACATATTTTGTGTACATATCCACATAGCTATAGTATGTCCTAGGCACATGATCCAAAGACCTGTGTGAAGCCTTTCACATAGACAAATTCTGGGCATGATTATTGTACAGGCCGCCTTGAATGACAAAAGCATTGTGCTAGATATTGCACAGACTAACTGTTCCATGATGGATTTTCTGAACAACAGCTAGCACAATGCTTTCGCCATTGATGGGGGCCTCCGTGATACAAATTATAGCATGCCCGGATTGGTTTACAGGAAGGAAAATTTCCTGCAAAAACTGAATGCCACAAGTGCTCCCAAATCTACTATTAAGTACCTGAGCTGACGCCTCGCCAACGAAGATAAATTCAATGGTATGCTCTGGGAGAGGTTTCCGCAGTTTTGGGTAAAGATAAACCTGCAATGCTCAATCAGATAATGGGCACGTGTCCAGACTATTTCCAAATTTCAGGGATTTTTTTTTTAAATCAATTTTATAAAAGGAGAGACAGGTAGACAGTTTTAAATATTTTTTTTAATGAAAATGTTCCTTAATAAAAAAGGTGCGTTTTTAAGTCAACTTCTTTATCAACTATTTTTTTTGCAGAGGGAAAATGGAGTGGAGCATATTTGTTTTAAAATGTATGTGCTTGTTTATATGTCCTTAATTCTAAGGTGATTTTTTTTTCAAAATTAGTACAAGGTTGTTTCAGTGGAAGAATAGTTTGTTTAAATAAAATAAAAAAAGCTGACAGTTTAAAAATTATTTTTTTTGTTCTCAACTTGTCTAGCATTCTTCTGAAAATTGTCCAATGCCTAAATAAACTGGCAAGGGGAATCATATTTGGCCGTTTGAAATCAATGTTTTAGTAACAGAACTCTCCAAAAATAATGGTTTTGCTGGAGACTTGAAAATTCAGAACCAAATTTGAAATTCGGACAAAATTTAGGCATTATTTATCTTGTCTTTTCATATTACATGTAGCTCAAGAAGTCTGGACACATGCGGTAAGTAAATGTCAACTTTTTACACCAAATTTTTATTTAAATTTTTTTTTGCTGAATTAGAATAACTACACACTCCCATTGCCGCATTTAACTTGTTTAAAAGCATCAATTTTTCCTCATTCCAGACAGCGTGATTAAGTAGCCAACATGATTCCCCTGGCAGCATTCTAATTATTTCGAGTTTAATGTGTTAAGTAAGCGGACAAATATTCATCCTCATATTTTGTGAGTATTTTCAAATTTTATTTTCAGTTGAAAAAAATAAAAATTAAAAAAAAATTGACTCAAATCTACTGTCTCTGGAACAGTGCAACTGCTCTCTATATGTACTGACTGAGCTACTGTAGGCTAAATCCTGCCCTTTTTAATGTTTGCATACAATTTGATATGCGTATGTTTGCAATTTAAGGAGCCATAGGTCCAAGCAATCAGACATCGGGGCCGTCTTTCATTTCACGAACACTACTCTACAGAAAAGCACCATTAGTGCAAAACACAAAACTGGACACACTGATTGAGCAAACCAGCCTATCTGATACATGTAAGCGCTCTCCAAGCCTTTCTACCCATAATAAGAGTGAACTTTTCTTGATGTTCTATGATAGTTTTGTCTGCCATGTTTAGAAAGTTGAACTTGAACAACATGGTCAGTTGATGATGAGTTCCATTATACATGTAGTTCGGTTGAAGCCAGTGTATTAGTCAGGCCCGTCTCAAATCCATCACAACTCCAGTCACAGATAAGATAGGGGATGAACGACAAGGACGGAATGCCAATGTCACAATTCGGGCGATTCACAATGCAGTGCGCCACCAAGAGTTTGCCACGGAGAGTTCATTTTTCCCAGTGCATTGTGGGAGATGGTCGACAAATTCGCAGCGCGGGACATTTGAAATTGTTCGTTTTTCCGGTCAGTAGTTTCGTAAGCGTATGATTCAAGTATATGTTTGCCCTTTTCTTTTATTTTTATCAATATGGTGATTTTTGGTAAGGCGGCAGAACGCTATGCCCCAATCTTTAACAAATTAGCTAAAGTTATCTACTGACATCCATTCAAATGTTTTGTCGACTGTAAACTTGAAAAGTTGAGTCTCCATGGCAAACTCTTGGTGGCGCACTGCGTTGTGAATCGCCCGAATTCATTTGAATAGCTTTTGATTTGACTTGGGTCTGGAGGACCTGTGATTGACTTGTTCTGGACTTGTGAAGATTTGTGACGGACACGACAACAACACTGGGGGTTTTGACAAGAGAGGTTCTTTCAACCTACGCATACACTCGCACTGATTTGTCTGTAGGGCAGACCGATCGGGTAAATCTACAGGAATCATGTTATGTTATATATTCCCACATATAAACCTGCAAAAAGAATCATTAAACACACATGTACCTTATGTGTTATTTCCAGTTACAATTTAAGCCGTGTTCGCATCGGACGTTTTTGGGTAAAACTAACTGAGGCTGTTGCCAACTTAACGAAAAGTTTTGTCAAACTAGACCAAATTGAGTCCAGTGAGAACAGCCGGTAAACTTCCCAAATTGTCAAGTGTTAACTGCCGATTGTAAGTTTTACACACGTCTGTTCTGCAGCATTAAGTTTTACAGGGCCAATTTGGTCACAGAGGAATTTACATTGATACTTTTACGTAGTGAACGACTTTCTGCAGGCTGAAATTAATCCAAGTGCGCATGCACGGTGGAACAAACAAAACACAGTGGGATGTTAACAATCACTCACGATAAACTTTTTTACAAAAATGTAAGTCCAATGCGATCGCGGCTTTACACAGTTATTTTACCATGTTACAGACTGAATATAACATTAAAGAAACAAGAGTTCCCAAGAATGCCACTGCTAATAACCATTCAAGAACGGTCTAGTTTTTTAACACGTACATTTTGAATTTTGAAGCCTCCTCTTTCTTGCAAACGTTTTTTCTTCTTCAAATTTCATACATGTGTAAGACTGTTATGCTCCAACTAGTCCATCGGTTCCAACTTAAGCTGCGACCATCCCAACTACAGCATTGCTACTCTGTGCTCACACATGCACATCTGAGGCTGCGTCTTTATGAACCATGTCATATTGATCACGTACTGCAAAGTGCCAAAGAAACTAGCTTGTATTCAGTTACTTATAGACCTTTATCATGCTGCCACCATTTCAGTCATGTTCCCTGTATCCAATAACAGTACTGAATGATACTGGCTTTTTTGTGCAAAAAGGAACCAGACTATTTTCCCTTCCAGCCTCGCTTTGGTTACACTGATGTGAATGGGAAAAAAATCAAATGGCTGCAACATGATAATGGTCTATTTTGCTGAAAGATCGCAACACGAATCCGATGAAACAGCTAAAAGACGCGTTTGATGAATTCTCCCATGAAAACAATGAGGAGTCCGTGCGGGACGACTGTAGTCGGGCCGGCCCAACTGGAACACAAGATGGGACGGTCCCAGTTTAAGTTGGGTAAGGTGGTCTAGTCCGCATGGACTAACAAGATCACATTGACAAATAATCCGAAATTCTGGAAAGGTCAGAAGTTAATCTACTGTTCAACTGCTAACAATAAAGTGGCATGTGTTGGTTTATCTGTAGATGCAAGGGTAAGATTTGATGTCATAGTGATGTCATAGTGTATAGAAACATTACATACAGTACTGCATCACTGACAAAATCTTTCGCTTGCACCTGTCCAAATAAAAAAAACCTCCTCCAACAATTTGATCTCACCGAGGATGTATACACAGGCTTGGGGGACCACTTTGGTGTCTATTAGGGAAAGGAACATGCATAGAAATAAAGAACACACAGGATGGGAAAGGCTGAGTGATTCATTTGTAAGTTTATACAGGCCTGTAGGTGGCGTGGGGTTTCGGGGTCAGTACCCCTCACCTGTACCCCCCACCTCCTTTCCCCCCCTCTTCCCTCACTTCCCCTCCCCAACGTGAATTAAAAGTGTGGGGGTTTTCTTTGATTTAAATTTCGTCCATTTTGGCCGCAGAGTTTGTGCAAAAGCTCCTGGAAAAGTAGTCTGTCCCGAGCCCATATGGCCCATCAGGCCAGTGTTTATCTCCGGTTTCCTTGGCATGAAACGACTGAGAATATTTCTATTCCCCCTGGATGGGATGCCAGTCCATCGCAGGCTACTCCCCAGCTAATGCCAGTACCCATTTATACTCCTGGGTGGAGAGAGGCAAGTAAGGACGAAGTGGCTTGCCCAAGGACACACCATAATGACAAGCAGGTGGATTTGAACCCCTGACCCTCTGACCAGGAGCCACGAACTCCAAACATCTGTCACTTCGTGCAATTATTCTTACCATTGCACTCATAAACCTTTGTAATTTGCATGATATCACGACTAACATTTGAGATATAGCAAGCCAAGTCAGCACAGGCCGGGACCCAATGAGAAGCAGTCCAATGGAAAATCATGCACACACAAGAAAACGGCCAGAAAATTGTTGTGTATATCAAAATATCCTAACGAAAACTTAGCCACTGGACTTCAAACTTTCTGGACGTTGTAGCCACACTATCCAGCTCTCCATCCATGCATAATTTACCAGGAATTTCTGTAAACAAAATCCAGTTGGGTCAACCTAAAACACTTTTAGGTATTTGGGTTTTAGATTGACTCGACTCTGAAATGTAGTGTGAAACTAGTACAATTTGTATTAGTGAATGAATGCATAACCTACCGGTGCGGCGCCGGCCATGCCCATCCCAGACTTCATCAGATCGTCGAAGTCCTTGCTGAAGGTATTGGCTGCACTGGCCAGCTCTTGTGGGGTTCCCCTGGACGAGGTGACCAGCTCGCTGGCGGCCACGTTCAGTCCCTGGGCGGCCTTGTTCAGGGCATTCTGGTGTTCCTGGTAGTTCCTAGCATCACCCACGGGCAGCTACCGGTACAGGGTACATAAATGGAGGTCAGTCAATAATCGGAAAATTTTTACAACTACACTCCGACTGCACTGTGGCAATTTAAGTCAGGTCTACAAGTACATGTACACCATTTTCCTCTTTAAAATTTCTTAACCTGTAGTAATTTTATTTCACCCTGAAAAATATCCGGTTTATTTTGGTGTTTTATTTAAATTGTTATTTTGGTAGCTATGTGGAAATTATTCACTGTTGAATGTAACTTTACCAATTTGGAATAATTTGTAGCCCAACATTACACCAGGGGGATCTATTCTTTTTGGTGTGTTCCAGGCACAAATAAATCCCAATATGAAAGCCTTTGTTTCAGAGGGTTGCAGATGCCCACAATAGAAAAAAAATGTTTTTCCATGAAAAATTCAAATTGAAAAGTTATCAGAAGACCCCCCCAAATTATAATTTTTAACAGCACAGGAACAGCAATTGAGTTTTTTTTTTTTTTTTTGCTTTCTGACAAGAAGCACTTTCGCTAAACGACTGAAACAAATAAATCACAAAAACCTTACTGATGTTACAATCGTTACCTGAAATAATCATTTCTAATAAACATGTAAAATTCCTTTTTAAAATTTCCTAATAATTATGCATATACACTGCTTTCATGCATCTTAGATGCGCATTCCATTTCATGCAAGAATACATACCACAGATATAAACTCAGCTGAGATGAATTCCCAACAATTATTAGTGCAACACCATCATTACTGAAGTATTTTTTGTGTGAACAAAACATGATACCGACTCCCCAACAAAACATAACAATCACATCACCAAAATCTCATTTTTTTTCTCATCAAACACCCAATCCACCAATGTCAAGAAATCTTTAGTACAACAATTCCATTTGTATGAACCAATACTGGAGTAATGACTGACAAATGAATTTCCAATGGCTTAAAGGTCATTCTATAAATTTAGGGTCCAAAGTGGGAGATTTTTCCTGTCCCTGTTGCCTTGGTTCTTTATTATTTGCCATTCAAGTATTACTCAGGCCAAAAAAAAGTCGGTCTCTGGCCAGCGCGCGCGTCGATTTTAATCATGCACGTCGATTTTTTTTTCCAAAATGTTCCGCGGTAGCTCCAACAGCGCCCTCTATTGCCGCACCTCCTCATTTTTTTTTACCAAAGAGCACCAAGGAATGGGAAATTGCACCAAGGCAAATGATCGAGAGCACCAAGGCAAATTATGGAGGACACCAGTGTACATGAGGACACCCAAAAAAGCAAAATAGTACCCCACCTAGTCTGTACAATCCAAGCTTGAAGAAAAAAAAGAAAAAGAAAAAAAAAAAAAAGCCACGTCCCCGCGTCAATTCTGGAACTTTGGTCTGACCAGAGACCGAACATTTTTTTTTTTGGCCTAAGAATGACTTCAACAATTTTTGATATGTTGGGAAGGTAGTTTGCTATTCATAATCCCTCTTGGAGGACGACTGAATTAACCCTAACCTTCCCAAATCCTCCAAAAGCCTCTATGCAAAATGGAAGATTTTGCAGGATTGAGGCTATATGGCAAAAACTGTTTGGGTGATTTTGGAGGATGCACCGTGTCAAGGTCTTAGGCCGAGCCGTTAGTTGTTTTTGCTCAGCCATGCATAAATTAAGGCCCAGATTATACTTCAAATCCTCTGCACTGCTCCAGGATGTCACTGGCTCTGCCTCAACATATTGGCAGTGATTGCTGGAGGATTTTGCAGGATTATTGAGGCAGTGGTCACCCTTCCAAGGAACACATTCAAGAAATAACAGGATTTTGGTATGCAATTTTTACATGGAGGCAGTTGGAGGATTTTGCAGGATTGAGGTTGCATCCTAGCAAAATTGCCTAGGGAGTTAGGAAAATGGAGTGCATCAGAATTATAAAATCATAGATGTCAGTTTTACAGGGACGGGAAAAAAAAAAGTGGACCCCAAATGTATAGAATGACCCATAGGTGGAGTTAAGAGAAACTTGACCATGACAGGAGGGACTCTGAAGGAGTGGGGGTTTGTGGGTACATACACGAGACGACAATGCCACATCCTGGTCTTGGGATGCCAGTATGGCCTCGCTGATGAACTCTGAGGTATAAGAGAACTGCTCAAAGACCTCGGTCAGCTACGGGGAGGAAAGATGGAACGAAAGGAAGGAAGGGAAAGGAAACGGAAGGAATGAGAAACCAGACAAGACAAGGGTGGAGACAATACAGGAGGACAATTCCACTGAGATTATGATGTAGTGAGGGTGGGGAGGAAGTTGCTGCTACGAGTACCATGGTTAGTCCGAGTATCACCCGTTGTCCAATGGAGCCCTCTCCGTAACAACGTGTGATATATGTGAGCAATGCAAATTTTATGCGACCCCGCGCCAGCCAATCGGAGTCGGCTTTAGAAACTGTGACGTCATTTTGATCAGAAATGTGGACTAAGCTGTAGATTGATCAATTTGATTGCCATGTTTTTGTAATACAAAAAAAGGAAAACCTGATAGAAGGCGCCCGCTGAATGGTCAGAATCTGGAGGTCAAGACACAGTCTTGTTTTGCGTAATTAATCGCCGAATCGCTGGCTGTGCAAGAGGATATTCCATACTTTTTCTTCGCAAGTGATAATTGTTGGTGTATTTAAAAATGCCAATCGATCGCAGAAGACGTCAGATAGAAAGCTTGTTCATGTACATGCAGCAGCAATTCCTCCAGACAAAAGGTCACAATGTTAACATTCTCATACATTTTGGAAGTCAATCAACCTTTTTCTATGAAAGGAGTTTGGAGCACATTTAAGACCCAATTGAGGCTGTGTGAAACAGAGCACTTCACTTTGGTATTATTAGAGCTCTTCACTTTGGTACTATTCAATTGTCTAGCCTGGAAGACAAGAGATTTTGCAAAACAAAGCTTTCCTTTTGCGTATACAGGAACTGTTCTTGATTTTGTTAAAAGACTCACAGAACCATCTGCATTACTGTACCTTCGGAGACTCAAAACTCATTTTCTAAAATACACTCATTTCGTAAGAAGAAATATTGATTGACTTTAAGGAAAAACATACATGATGGGGGAAACCAAATGTTAGTTAACAAAATGCACACTTTAATACATGTACATGCATGATAAAACATATTCCAGGGAATTTTCAACACACATATTTTTCAACCTAATATTTTAATGATTGTCACGGATGAGAGCAAAGCAAAACAAAGTACACAGTTGCTCTGAACTAATCCAGCGAAAATAAAAAAACACATGTGTGAAAATTCCTTGGAAACGTACTTTACAAAGTCAATAAAATACCCACAGTGGGAAGTTACAGCAAAGCCCTCAGAAGCGTGACATGGTGTGGTAGTGTGTTAACAAGGTGCCTAGCCCCACACAACAGACAAATCATGGCATCTGTTTTCCAAAATGAACACAACCTTCAATCTATGGCAATAGCGCGGATCCTTTTTACAGAAGGATTTTAAGCAGACCACTGCTGAGCGTATTCATTCGTTGCATAAGAATTGGGCTTTGCACCAGCAAAAAAAAGGGATACATTACATGAAATTTAAGAACGAGAAGCTCAGCATTTTGACCCAGTCTATTTGTGTTTCCCCTGCTCTAATTGCCATGCCAGTGCCATGCCAAACTCAAAATGGAATTGAGTTTGGCAATATCTCGGCTAAATGCATCTAGAGCAGCTTGTCAAGTTAAAAATAGCATTCCAGCAGTTCAACGCACTTTCAAATAATTATTTGCGCCATTCACGATCAAATATTCGCGATACCTTCACTCCCCGTAATGCGGACATGAGAGAGATTATCATAAGCATGCGCCTTCCTAGAATGTTTGCCCCAACTTCGAAAGGCACGGTGTTTAACACAGTGCCTTACCACTGTCGTTCGGAACGTCGATAGCTCATCAGACCCTGTCAAGTGAAAGGACTGTGCCGTGCCCAACATAATTTGTTGGGCCAAATGGTTCTAAACGCTGCGTTATCGTCGTGCGGAATTCACAATTGTCAAATTAATTGAGTTTGGCGCGGCAGTAGTACGGTTTTTTAAAACAGGCCTCAGTTTTTATGAGCTCTATGAAATTTGTGCCACTAATTGGGCCACTAATTAGATTTGCTGAAAAAGACCACTTATTAAGGAAAAACAAATTTCTTTTTGGTCTGGCAGATTTTCTTAGTTTTGAAAAACTTCTGTACCGTTGGAAATTTTATAAAGGAAAACTGATTTCTTGATTTGTCTGTTGTTGTCTAGAGGGGAAAACGTTACATGCACTACTGCAGAATTTCACTTGTGTTAGTATCTTACCCTTGCACTTTGTTCATGTTGCTCACGAGCCAATCGGATAAGCTAAAGGTCAGGTCGGTTCAGGTCAAACAAAGGTCATGTCAAAGGTTAAGAACAGCTAAGTGACATAGCAAAGGAACTCAATCATGCGGAAATAATGGGTTAATCGTTCTACATGCTAAAAGATGTTTAAGCTATTAACAGTTTTTTTATTGGAAAAGAAAAATGAAGACACTACATGTACTAGCTCATTTCTTATTCATGGATCTCATTGAAATTATGTAACTCTGGATGCAGTTAACATGCAAAACTTGTATCTGAGATGCATTTTAGATACAGATACAGGCAACTATAATCAATTTAATCAGTTTTTTCTATTCCATTGGTACTTGTGTTATTAAAGCTGCAGCCTTTAAGAAACTATTTTTCCTTCAAAAAAAAACAACAACCCAAAACCGCCTGACATAACAGATGAAAATAAGCATCTTGGAAACCAAGCACTTGAGCCCAATGATGTGAAAATTGTTCAGATTATTCTACAAGCACTGTTTCACAGAGTAAGCAATATTTTGTCTCCTACATTTTTTCAAAAAACACAAACAAAACTTTTTGGTGAGTTTTCAAGTTTTCAGCCACACTTTCCTTTTATTCCCCCCACCCCCGTTTCCTACGTCAACAATCATTTTATTCTATGTCTATATAAATTTCGTCTAGCGAGTGACATTATTAATGTACATTCATAAATACCTCAGACAGTTTAGCTATTCCTATTGGTCGAGAGCCCGTCACGTGGCCGGTATTAAACGGATGATAAAGACATGGCTAGCTGGTCTTAAACACTTTTCCAGTGTCACAATAAAATGTGGACTCCTAAAAATCCAGTGCCTCTTACCGTTTCATTGGTTGAACGTTCACAATCCTCACGTAGGCATGCGCAACACTACAAGCGAGTCAGAATTTTATAGTTCTAAATTCAAAACGCAACGCCCCAGGTGCGTTCTGCGTGACATCGCGCAGAACATGTTACGCGCGCGTCAATCTCCATAAAAGGGTTGTTTACATCTTACTCGCCAGCTGAACACTCCATTATTTTGCTAGAGGGATGTTTCAAAAAGCATGAAGTGAACTTGTTGAACCAAATCGGGATTTTTTGAACGAATTATTTGAAATTTTTTTTACGGATAAGGTATTTATGAATGGGAATAAATATGTGCTCGGTCGGTATTTATCACTCGTTTAATACCGCTTAGAGTCTGGATGCTGATAATTACCCTCGCCTCCGGCTCGGGTAATTATCAGCACCCAGACTCTAAGCGGTATTAAACGAGTGATAAAAACCTCCAGAGCACACATTTATTCCCTTATTATTAATGATTTTCAAAAAAGTTTTCAAACCACTTCTGCTCAACATATTGGCCAAGATTTCTGGAACATTTAATAAGGTTTCCTTGACGACCATAACCCATTCACTGTCTCAGAATAATCAACTCCATATCTACAGTTAGTAATCTAATGTTCCACGTCTCAGCTGTGGGGCAAAGTGCATCAAGCATGCTTTTCGTCTGCTCATTCAGTTGTAAGACTTTGCAAGGCGTCAGACCAAACTTACCTTGCCGGACATGAGCCCCTTGCTGGCCTCTACCACGGACTTGATGGCCTTGTCCACGTCGCGCTGGCCGGGCAGACAGCTCACACAGCCGTTGAGGGCATGCGACACTGCCTTGGCAACCTGGCAAGGGAAAAACGAGATTCATTTGGTCAAATATTGGCACAGATATATGGGGCAATTCCATGGAACATGTAACTCATGTTACGCATAGAGGGGGTCTTTTGACAGCTCTGTGCTATTATTCTATGAAGTGGAGATATTTAGGGTGAATTTTTCTCACGGATCCCTTGCCACACCACTCAAATGAAAGGTCGTCTGGTCCCCTTTAACTTGGTACCACATTTGAGGTTGAAATGCCCTATCCGCTCCGTTCACAAGTATCCCCTCACCAGCAAAGGAAGTACAAGTTGGGGGTGACCGAACGACGCCATCTTGCCTGACTGCATTTATTTTGCCGCGAAGCGCGGCCACTGCGTTTGCATAGTACAAATCCCCTGGTGTACGTGCGTCACACACAAGGAATGGTGCACGCACGTTAACCAGCGAAATGTATGTGTCCTACCCATGGGACGTTGTTGCTATGTAAAAGGGCGCTGGCATGTTTACTGCCACCACTGTCTCAAAAGTCTCCCATTGTTATTACCTGGAGAGGGTGTGTAATATTCACACTGCGAAAAACACTAAAAAGCCACCATAGCCAGTCAGCCAATGGACACAACTTGGACACGTGACACAAGAAGCACATACGCCAAACTGGTGAAAACCTCTCCATTCTGGGTCACTGTCAAATTCCCCGAGTCTTCCCGATGTTTGCATTTTTTCCCAAAATTTTATGAGTTTTCCCTGACTGGAAAAAAGGAAAACTTGTTTTTGTAGTTGCCATGATTTCCAGAGAGGCTGGAAACCCTGGTACATCATGACGCCAGCCAAGGTTAGAATCCAACCTGACACAAAATCTCAAATCAGATCCGCAAATGTGGGCCATTGGAATCAGAGACCCCCCACCCTCCAAACCCAACCCCCCAGGGGTTCTAAGCACATACCTGTGCAAGTCGCTGCTGGTTGTCCGGATTGTTAGGATCTGCTAGGGCCTTCTTGGCCTCTTCCAGGAGACTGGCGGACTTGTCCAGGACATCCTTGGCCCGGTCGATCATGTTATCTCTCGCTGGCTTCTCCTGAGGAGGGGAGTAAAGAACAAAAAAACGATGTCGTTTTCCTTTGCTTTTTTTTCCTCATCTGCTGTTAACCCATTACTTTATTTTTAATTCTTAGTTGTAAATCTTTCTGGCATATGAAAAACAGAGTTTCTTCAAAAGTGCACATGCACCTTTAGCTCGGTAGCCAGACGAAACTTACAGGGAGAACACAAATGAAGATGAAATGTTCAGCTTAAGGTAGTTTATGGAATCAGGTAGGGACCGACAACCCAATCCACATTTTGCCTTTGGAAGATTCGAACCCAGGTCATAGAGGTGGAAGGCAAGTAAAAGTTCCACTGCGCCAACCTTAATCAAGCGAGCAAGCTTTGTTTATCGCATGATAGTCTTATTCAACATCATCACATGTAAGCTGCTTGAATCCAGACATGAAAAAGGCAGTGGGAGTCGGCAGCTGCCCAGTTACACAAGTGGTTTGTTCAGAGCTCACAAGGGTCGTTATTTTCTGTACCTTCTCAATGAAAAATGTCAAGAAGTTGTCAGCAAGCTCTTTATTAGACTCATGGTCAGGGAGAGCCTTAGTTGTCTTAAGGAAATCACTGATTGTGGCATACATTTCTTTCACATTAGAATAAGCAACTTTTTTTCAGAGAAATAATTGATCTTAGAATCAATAATCAGTCTACTGAGTTTGAGACAATTATTTCAAAGAGATTATAAGAAACCACTGTGTGTTACAAACACAAGCCTGTTGCGTATTTACAATTGCTTCGCCAAAATAAATATGTGCACAAGCATTAAAGCGAAAACAAAATGTAGTCAGCTCACCTGTGTAGTTGCGGCCACGCCCCTGACCGCGCCCGTCAGGTTCTGCAGGGAGTTGGCCGTCTCTCTCGCAGCCATGCCGGTGTAGGTCTCGTTAGCCTGGGAGGCGGCAGTCAGCAGCTGGGCCATGGATGCCCCCACGTTCTTGGATGTCGTGCCCAGCTGGGTGGCGCACGACTCCGGCTGGGGAACAACAACAATTGACAATACTAACCCTCTCCTTACCACATAGTTAACTGACATATATCATGAAAGAAGTTCATCAGGCTGGTAAAATTTCAGCTTTGTAAAGAATTTTCTATAAACACAGCCAATTACTTACGTAGTTTCGTTTACGTTTCGACTAGTTTCACTAATCATCCTCAGAATGAAGCACCACCAGTCGGTTGGTGGCGCTGTTTCCTGTTGCGGCCACTAGATGCCGCAACAGGAAACAGCGCCACCAACCGACTGGTGGTGCTTCATTCTGAGGACCGTAGTGCATGTAAATATTGATGTAAATATGAAAGCCGGTACGTGCACACGTAGGAATGGTATGTACTTTTTTATCTGGTCCCATGATCTGGCGAACAACTTGCGATATGACATCTGATAATCCTGAGGTCAACTCCCGTTTCTTACCGATTCGCCAGGCAGGGGCGTGAGTTTATTGTTGTCCGCCGTCTGTCTTATCACGTCCAACTGGTCCTCCAAGGCCTTGATCATGTCCAGGGCGTTGTCGATCTCTTGCGCACCGCACGCCTCTTGGGCCTGTGGGTTCACAAAGGAAAAATTAATCACTTGTTTATAAACTTGGGAATGGAGGGTTAAAACTGCATAAAGAAGGGCAGCAAGGTGATAACCATTGGTTGGGAAATATTTTTGAAAATACTGCCGTACCCGCAACCCTCAACATTCCAACAAAGACATGAAGGCAGTTCTAAAATGTACACCAGTACATCAACACGAGGTGCAAGCGTTTCCACAGGAAAACAAAATGAAGTGGATTGATTAAGGACGAAACAATGGAAGTTATGGTACCAAACTTTGCACAATGCTCGTGTTTTGTGCTTTTTGTACTGTGTTTTTGTTCTCCAATGAAATGTTTTCGATAAGCTCTGCATATTTACTGTTGTCCCAAAGCCAACGAGAAAAATTCTCTCTCCCGTGTCCTTTTCCTCCCTGCTTGTGAGTTTCTTGCTTGTTCTGTTACTGTTTTTTGTTTTTTTTATTTAATCTTTGAGAAAGAAATTGCTTGGATTAAGTTTTAAAATTTACACATCGGGCAAAATTTGCTATATACAAAACCAGACCTTTTTTTCTTCTCCATTTTTGGGAAGTTATTTCACCTTCGTTTCGTCATAAAGATTATTTTTTTTTGGAGGCAGCACGATGATATCAGGTTTTTAGGACAACGGGGCCCAATAGGCCTTATTCACGAGTCAGCCATATTGAATTAAAAGTGAGGTAAAATCTTAATTTTTGGAACTTGCGAACAGAAATGAAAGCAACTTAATTTATAATCAATTCCAGTCTGCTTCAATGAATAATTTTAAATTTGTAATTAAACATTCCCTGATGTTTAAAAGCCATATTTAAAAAAAAATGACAGTATAATAAATAGTCTGGCGCCATCCAATTCAACAGTTAACAATTAATGAAATACATTCAGGAAACTCGACAAAAATGGCCAACTTGTGAATAAGGCCCATTTCTTGGCTCTGCTTACCGTTAGCGAAAAATCCCTGCTTACTATAGCATAAAAATTCCGTGCTTACGGTAAGTGTTTTTCAGGGATGAGCAAGGAATTTTGGCTTATGCGCGCATGCGTGCATCCCATAACTAAGGATTCTGTGCTTACAGGGTTAGCGCAGAATGTTTCTGCTAGTGGGGTTAGCGCAAAATGGTGAAGCGCAGAATTCTGTGGTTAGCAGAGACATGAAATTGGGCCAAGATCTGAGTGATCCTCTCTTCAGAATAAATCTGCAATGGAGAGGGGCCTGCCTCGTTTCTTGGACACGATCAATCAGATGCAAGCAAACACCTTCCTTGGGGACAAAGAAGGGGGGGGGTTACAGATGGGGGAGAGGGGCATTACAAATACCTTGTTAGCAGCAGATCTAAGATCTGCCAGGGATGTGGCCATGTTCTTCGTGCAGTTGGCCAGCTGCAAGGCAGCGGCTTTGTCTTCAACGGTGGGTATGGCAGCCCTGCTGGCCGAGATCAGATCAGTACCAGGCTGTCAAGGGAACAAAACCAGTTACAAATTCAAAATCAAAGGAACAAAGCTTGGGAAGCTCAGTTGATAACTGCACAATTGATAAAGGCATGTCCTGCGACAAGTGCTCACGTTTTCATAAATTAAAATATGAACTCCGTGCACAAGTCGATCACAGGCCATCCAATCTCAAGCCATGTGACTAGTTATACAATTGAAAAGCGACATACGATTTGCCTTTTTATTGTTCCTTTTCTCAATACTTGTGACTTAACTTGTGAAACGACTTGTTATTTACTTATCAAAACAAACTTGTGATGGACTTGACTAAAGACTGTAAGAAACCCCTTCAGTGATGAAAATGAAAGAGAACATGAAGCAACCGTGACACTGTGTGCGCCTGTGATCAGGAGAGGTTTTGCTTTAATAATTCTGCACATCGTTGGTGAAAAATGCATACGCCATGGCATAAATGTTTGAACCAGTGTCCACGCACACAACTACAAATGGAAATCGTCACTACTAATGCATAACTCCATCTGGGTTGTAAAACATACTTACAACATTAGCACAACAAAAAGCAATTCATGAACTTTTCTCTGAACTCAAAAATCTTGGATAAGAAGCCAGAAAGCAAGAACTACTCCACTGGAGAAAACCCTACGGAAAAGCACAGGATACCGAAGTCAGATTGAATGTGCACTCAAAGTTGGTCTGATCCAGCACCCATCTGTGTGTCATACATGTAAAATGTACACGTGAAACCGAAAGGTTTATTAAAGTCAAACTGACTGATGCAATGGGAATTGTGATTCTTGCCAGTGTAATTTTTATGCATGCATGTTTCACATAATGACCTAACCTTACATACTCTTTGTGGACCTGTGAACAAAAGAGGGCCACAGGATGCAGGAAGCGTGAACGCTTTGTGGACTTGCACACGTCCACACTAGGTTTCCCCCTCTCTGGAAAACAGGTTTAGAGGCATTTTTGGGTTAGGGTCATCCATCGCAAATGAGGAGGAACGCTCAAGGAAATCATTGCAGTGCAATGGAAGTTCTATTGCACGGTGAATAGAACTTCCATTACATCGATGATTGTTTTCAACCTGTTGTACAGTTTGCAATATTGATATAAATATGACGAACTTGTCGAACTTTTAAACAGTTTTTGACCTGAATAAATTGGCTATTAAAAGTCAACCAATCAGATGACAAGGATTTATTCAGGTGTTATATAAAACAAATAATGAATGTTTCACATTCGTGCAATGGAAAAAAAGAATTTCATTCGGTGACAGATGAAATGTTCCATTCCACTCGGCTTCGCCTCGTGGAATGGAACATTTCATCTGTCACCTCATGAAATTATTCTTACCATTGCACTCACAAACATTCACTATTTGTATATTGTTACAAAGTTTACAGAAGAACAGATTCATACCTGGATGAAATGCTGACTGGCGTTGATCAGCGCCAGTTGAACGCTGAGATTGTCTGGCTGCCGCATGTAATCACGCACGCCTTGCACTAACTTGGGGATGTGCTCAGCCACGATCTGTAACCAATCAAATTACATTACTGATAAAAAACAACAAGATAGAACAGCAGCCAATCCATCATGCATGTTAAACTAAATTATTTGTTTTAGTCTTGCCAACCACTGTAAGATATGGCTAGCCATTAATGTAAAACAAAGAATAAGTCAGACATACTTTTGTTGGCTTTTAGTTTTAATCCTAAGAAACCGTTAATACAAGGTTAAGTCAGTCTGTAAATCGATCATACTAATATGAAGATGCCACTCTAATAAGTATGTGGATGTAAATGTGTATTTGGGGCAAAATCTCAGATACATTGTGCAAGTTATCTGCTTGCCATCAAAACAAGATGGTACTCGATGTTTATGTATGAACTTTTCTTGCGTTTATAAAAAAAAAATTAAATCAACAGGGTCCTCACCTTGCATTCGTCCACCAAGTGCTGCTGTGTGCTGGGGTTCTTGGTGGAGTCCTTGGCACCCTGGGACGCTGCGATGGTCTGGGTGGCTGTGGCCGCAGCCTGCTTAGCGGCATTCTGGTAAACAAATGCAAGACAACAATATGAAAATACCAACAATGCATAGCACAGAGTAAAACAATACAGGAAAAATTACAAAGTAAAACACACTTCTGCTTTTTTAACCATGATGTTGTATGCCTGAAATGAAAGGTAGTAAAAAATGAAGATAATTGTTCATTTGAAACTGGAAATATAATACAAAACAACACACATTTATTGCAATCGTATTTGAAATAAGATTCTTCAAATTTAAATTTCTTGAAAATTCTGGCCAAGCTCATCCACTTCTCTGGGAATTTTAAATTCTGGTCGCTTCCAGTAGCTGCGGTCAAACAAAAGAAGAAGCAACCTTCTGCAAATAGACAGACGTGCACTTTGAAACCCTTCAACAATTACACTACTAAGAATATAAGTGGAGCTGTATGGACCAATCAGAACAGTGAAGCCCTCCTTGTCCTGAACTCTTCAAAAACCCTTCAATAGTTGTTTTACCAATTCTCACAGTGTTACTCTGTGGATGGATCGGAACACTGAAAGGGTTTGAACAATCTACAATGATTTTTTTTTAACAGAAAGAGGGGTACTGCAGTCTTAAAGAGACAGGCAGCGTTCTGTTGGCCAAAAGTCATGTACTTCCGAGTAGCAGTGCTATGAATATGGGCCCTGGTACACCCATGTCAGATTTACGATCTTTGAGGGATCAGGTCAGCATAGCAGTACTTTCCTCGCCTTGCATGTCTGTGATCCGGGTTCGAATTCCGTCTTGGGCTGCCATGTGAAGTGGGTTCAGTATCACTGGATTCCATTGGTTTGCCCTTGTTTGTAATGCATTATGGGCCGCCCAACTCCTTTAAAACTGTAGTTTCACACTAGAAATATGTTGAGAAACTTCCGTGGGCTATCCCGACCGAATGCTGAATATTGATACATAAAATTAGGCACCTTACCTCCAATCGCTGCAAGATCTTCTTCTTGAGGGCGTTGTTGGCGGCAGCGTTGGTAGCCGTGCGCAGATCCTCAGCAGCCTGCTTCAGCCTCTGCTGCTGGGACTCGTCATGGGGACTACTGGCGCAGGCCTTGGCAGCCTCCACCATCTTGCCCGTGGCGTCAGCCAGCTGCTTGGCCGCGCCGAGAAGACGCTTCTGGGAGTCACTCTCCGTCACGGCCTCCGCGTCGCCCTTGATGGCATTGACCAGATGTGAAGTGGCCTGGAAAGAGGACAGACAGAGATTTTGCTTAGAAATATTGATTCACAAATTCTTTCAAACCCTTCTCAGACTGACCTTCCAAGGTTGCAGCGCCAAAACCGCATTGCTCAGAAGATTTGAATTAAGTATGTTTGAATCAGTTACGGGCAACAATGTCGAAAGATCAACTATTGCAATTTTTCATAACGATTCCAGAATCTAGTCCATTGAAATTCCAGATGCTATAGAATCCCTTTGAAAAGGGATTTCTTTTACAAATACTGAAATCAGGAAAAATCCTGACAAATTTTTATCTCTGCATTTAGAATGAGCCAGTTTTGTATAAATCCAACTGTGCAAATATATATCAATATTCAATTTTCATTTTTTTGCGAAACATTAGCTATCTTATCTTTGATTGCTTAAAAAATGCAGATTACAGATTTGGTAGCACAAAAAAAACACCCCCTAAATTGTGTGTTGATATGAACCAGACCTACCTGAAATTTCTTTTTTTTTTTATTTTAAATAAAGTATATTCTGAAGATTAAAAACGTCCTCACTATGCGAATTTTGGGTGTGTCATTGGTAATTAACCAATTAAACAGGTTAATTAAACAGAATAATGTTAAAGGTATCCTAAAGTAAACATACAAACACTAATAACGTTACTATAAGTAAAACAATTTTCCTGCCTACCTACTTGTACCTCTATAATTTATAGGGCGTTACCATAAACACACAAATCTTTTTTTTTCAGCCTAACCACAGTCCCCTTTATATTTTTGTTTATTTATCTGCTGTGCTCATCCCAAAGGCCTAATGTGCAGTTGGAATAAAGTAGGCCTATTCATGACTCAAAACAAAAAACACTTTGGACTAACCATGGCCAGTATCTTGGCCTGCTTGACCATCTCGGCGGCGTTGCCCACGCTGCTGAACAGCTTCTCCGTGGCCGTCATGATCTTGTCGCAGGCGTCGTCGTACAGGGTGGTGGGCCGGCCCGCGGCGGCCGTACCTTGCTTGACGTGCTGGAGGAGGTCGTTGAGGGCTTTGGTGACGGCTGTGGCAGCCTCGCCCAGGTCCCGCAGGAGGTTCTCGTCCTCTGTCGCATTCTGGGAGGGACAACACAACAGAAATTTTTGCTTATTTTATTTAACGTGTATTGGACACTTTTTACAGCCACAGGTTCCCAGTTGAGTAAGCCAGTTGGGCTTATATAGACATATTATAAACACACATGTACATTACACATTTATTTGTGGCAACTGTCCAAACAAGGTACGTTTTAAAGGGAAGATACAACATTTGCAAACATCAAAAAACGAAATGATCAAATTATCACGAAATACCTTACTGGATTGTTGGGGAATGACATCCTGTAAATTCATGGCTCCTGGTGTGCTGACATTTTCAAGAAAAAATGTAGTTTTCCAACGGTGGTCGGCCGACCAGCGTTGGAGAAAACTGACTATTTTCAAAAACTGCTCCTAATTTTTCATATTTAGTTATTCCGCATTTTCTTTGCAATAGATTACGCACCTGTGAAGCGGAACAAGCCTGCTAGACTGATTCTCTGACCTTACATTTCCCCAAAGTCTATCAATTGCAATTGTTTCGTCTTAAGTGGGGTCAGGGAACCAAACTACAAGAACAGTCTTGGTTTTCTTGGTTTTTCCAGCCCAAAACGTGAAACAAGTCAGTTTAACAATATTTGCTATAACATACTAATCCTCCAAATCCATTTATTTCTGAAAATTGCAGCAAAGGTAAATGTTGTACATTCCCTTTAAAGACACTAAGAAATATATGTATTTAATGAAGAAATCTTCTCTAGTCTGTTGATTATGAAAGTAAATAAAATGATGTCTAATGAAACTCCATAGTCACTTTTTAACAGTTTACTTAGTGCGAAATGAAGAGGGCTTCTTTTTCCTCTCTTCATCTTACGAGGAAAGCCAAAATCATGGGCTGCTACAAGGGAATAATTTTAAGCCGGGGTTGGCAACAGATTTTGCCAAAAATATTGCATATTAGCACCCTCATTATGTAAAAAAAAGGGGTAGTTTTATTAAGACTTTGGTGGACTTTGTTGGTTGTTTTGTATTTTCAACAATCCAATGATTTGTTGGGAAACATTAACGACTATTGTTTATTTTTGCGACATTGACCTTCCATAGTTTGCCAAACCGTGGTAGGCAATGAGCGCCAACCACAGGTTGGCAAAGAAAGGTCTTTACAAAATGCCAACTTGGTACATTTTTGTGACATTTAAATGTGTATCAATGACGCAGCACGGATCCTAGGCAGATATTCTTGTGATAAGGCTGTAACTTGAATTATACCTCTCGTGCAGAAAAACAGTGAGTTCATGAGGGAGGCGAAGTGGAAAAACATTTGATATATGGGCAATTCCTCACTAATGGGCCCAAAAGTGTGACATTTGAGAAGACCTTTAAGTTTTGATAATAAAACTACGATTTTGGTCTCTCAATTTTTGCTGTAAACATTGCAAGCTTCGAACAAATGTCCTCACCTGCATATGATATAACTGGTTTTGTATTTTAGAAAATATAGTGGATATTGTTTTAAAAAGTGTTACGTACGTAACGAAGGACAGACATTTTAGATAAAGTATAAAGCATAAAATTCAATGATCCCCTAGTGTTGCCTTATTTTAGAAGATGTACCCTGGAGGAATGCTATTCAGTCAAAACCTAGACAACTCAAGTGTCACTGTGAAGAATTATTTGATATTTTATAATCAGGATTTATACGTACAAACAGACTGGACATTTGTCACAAAATGTCTGTCCCTGTTCGTACGTAACCCTAACAACATCATAAATTTGAAGCCAGTGTGAAAACTGTTATATTTTCGATTGATAACAATGTAAAATGGCTTAATAATGTCACTGGAAGTGCCTATTAGAAACTGAATTTGTCCTAAGCACCCTTTTCCTTGCAGTGTGTCTGTCCACGTTACCTATGTATCACACAGAAAAGAAGCCTGTTATTTTCTCAAATAAAAAAGGTATCATCTTTTGTCTTGTCTTGCTCTAGTCACTTTCAACTAAAGAAAATAGCAATGTGTAACAGTCCAATAAAGCTATGAAATAAAAAAAAATCTCAAATAATCTTTGGATACCTTAGAGGAGTCCACGACAGCTTCCACTGACTGGGCCACCAGCTTGGCTGCCTCCACCAGCTGCTCCTGGCAGGCCGGACTGCTGATGGTAGGAGCTACAACCTATGAAGAACCACAGGGAAAAATTTGCTCATACATGTCACACAACTAAAAGCACTCTATTGGGACATGCATTTTTTATTTTGACTTTGAAATAAAAATTCTGTACTAGTTGCCTATATGGCACTAGCTATGACAGTACCTAGTAATCATGTATCATTCATTGTTAACCCTAGCCCCCCTGGTACTTCCTCAGGACTACCCTGCTAAATCCGACAGAGTCCAACCGGACTTTCCTGCTAAATCAACTGTGCCTCATTTTCAGTTGTCTGCTGAATCCAACGGGGTCCAACAATGTGTTATAATGCGGTTCAGTTGCCTGCTGAATCCACCATTTTGCATGAGGAATGTACACAAGGGGTTAGGTGCTCAATCCAACAGGCTCCATCGGGTATGTGACATAGTTGGATCCTGTTGGATTCAGCAGGGTTATTAATGCATAGTATCACTGAAACTCAAAAGCCATCAGATGCTTTGTAAACAGATACATTATTCAAGGTAAACATTTCTACTTAAATTGCGAAATCCCCCCCGCCCAGGAAAAATCACAACATAAAAATACCGAGTCTTTTCTCATAGTGCAAAATGTCTTAAAATGCTTCATTATTATTACCCTTGTTTATTAGATGATATCGATTTTCTGCAGCAGCTCGAGATCAAGTAACAAACTGTGCTCTACCCTTGTAAGTACCCATGTATACCCCTGGGTTGAGAAAGGCAATAATTATTGTAGTCAAGTGTCTTGCCCAAGAACACAAACACTATGAACACAGTCAGGGTTCAACTCGCATTCCTGCACACGAGTTGGACACCATTATATTGGACCATGGCATTCTATCACTGCTACCTCTGCATACCTAACGTTTCACAGAAAAAGACTTCTGCATACCTTGGTGCAAGCCACGAGCTGGGAGGTGTTGAGGGCGCACTGCGTGGCCGAGCCGATGACCTTGTTCTGCAATGCTTGGTCCTCTGTGGTACTGGCAACATTCTTAGCCTTCAGGACTAGGGCCGCTGTTGCGTTGGCGACGGCCTTGGCCAATCCTAGCAGCAGATCCTGTACCGGGGGTACGTAGGTAAAAGCACATTGGATCTCAGGTTTTTTTTATACAGCTACAGGTAGGTTCTAATTTTATCCGATAAATACCGTTTGCAATATTTTTATAAATCAAATGACATCTCTTTAAACATAATACTAATAGCATATCAGTATGCAGATTGGAATTAGTTGTTACAACAAGAAGCTTTTATATAGATTCTTACCTATTTTGTTTTTTCCTTTTTCTTTTTTACACTACAGTTTTTTTAGTAGGCATTTATTACTGTATTTGAATCTTTTTAATTGTCAACTGTAAATTTCTAAATTGTCAAATTAACTAATACTAATTCTTATGTGTTTCAATTTATCTATACTGAATGTTTTTGATGTGCACTTTGGGTAGGCAAATTTCATTTTTAAAGTTTTGTCAATTGTGATGAAATTACAATTGAATTGAATTGAGTTGATTCTTCCTTCAAATCTACTTGTCGGACTGAGAAAAGAATGAGGCAGCCACTATAGCTTTACATGGGGCTTAAAGCCCCTTCGCGTACAAGCAAACAAAAAAAGATTCCTGCAAGTGCTGGATTTTGGAGGATTCAGGAAGAATTCAAGCTAATTTGCTGAGGCCTTTTGTAGCTAATTGTTCCATTGTTTCATACAGCCACTTGCCTACCTGGAATTTGGGGTCCATGTCGCCCGTTGAGCCAATACTCCTGAGTAAGGCATTCTGGGCTTCACCGACTCTGTTAGCTGCACTCAGTAGATTCTGACGAGGCTGCGGAAAGGAAAACACAAACATTTCTATCATATACAAAACCCAGAGTCAAGTCCAAGGTTACGGTGATAGGGTTTGCAATCTTCGTAAAGGCAAAATGCATGGCTCTCGGCTCTCAGGTCTAGGTCTGAGAAGGCACGCATCAAGCCCCTGGCCGCATCCAGGATGCTGTTACCGTCTCCTTCCTCCCCTAAGGAGCTAATATCGACTATCCATCCTTAAACCATGTCATATTTATATATTGACTCATTTCTTGGCTCTGAGGCTGGGCACACTTGAGGAGGTATGAGAAGGCACCCATCAGACCCCGGGCCGCATCCAGGATGCTGTTACCGTCTCCTTCCTACCCCAAGGAGCTAATATCGACTATCCACCCTTAAACTGTGTCATATTTATATATTAACTCATTTCTTGGCTCTGAGGCTGGGCACACTTGAGGAGGTATGAGAAGGCAACCATCAGACCCCGGGCCGCATCCAGGATGCCATTACCGTCTCCTTCCTCCCCCAAGGAGCTAATATCGACTATCCACCCTTAAACCATGTCATATTTATATATTGACTCATTTCTTGGCTCTGACGCTGGGCACACTTGAGGAGGTCTGAGAAGGCACCCAACAGGCCCCTGGGCCGCATCCAGGATGCTGTTACTGTCTCCTTCCTAACCCAAAGAGCTAATATTGACTATCCACCCTCAAACCATGTCGGCTCTAAGCCTTGGGAGGTTTGAGAAGGCACGCATCAGTCCTTGGCTACATCCAGGATGTTGTTACCATTACCTTCCTCCCCAAGGAGCTAATATCGACTATCCACCCTCAAACCATGTCGGCTCTAAGCCTTGGGAGGTTTGAGAAGGCACGCATCAGTCCTTGGCTACATCCAGGATGCTGTTAGCATTACCTTCCTCCCCAAGGAGCTAATATCGACTATCCACCCTCAAACCATGTCGGCTCTAAGCCTTGGGAGGTTTGAGAAGGCACGCATCAGTCCTTGGCTACATCCAGGATGCTGTTAGCATTACTTTCCTCCCCAAGGAGCTAATATCGACTATCCACCCTCAAACCATGTCGGCTCTAAGCCTTGGGAGGTTTGAGAAGGCACGCATCAGTCCGTGGCTACATCCAGGATGCTGTTAGCATTACCTTCCTCCCCAAGGAGCTAATATCGACTAACCACCCTCAAACCATGTCGGCTCTAAGCCTTGGGAGGTTTGAGAAGGCACGCATCAGTCCTTGGCTACATCCAGGATGCTGTTAGCATAACCTTCCTCCCCAAGGAGCTAATATCGACTATCCACCCTCAAACCATGTCGGCTCTAAGCCTTGGGAGGTTTGAGAAGGCACGCATCAGTCCTTGGCTACATCCAGGATGCTGTTAGCATTACCTTCCTCCCCAAGGAGCTAATATCGACTATCCACTCTCAAACCATGTCGGCTCTAAGCCTTGGGAGGTTTGAGAAGGCACGCATCAGTCCTTGGCTACATCCAGGATGCTGTTAGCATTACCTTCCTCCCCAAGGAGCTAATATCGACTAACCACCCTCAAACCATGTCGGCTCTAAGCCTTGGGAGGTTTGAGAAGGCACGCATCAGTCCTTGGCTACATCCAGGATGCTGTTAGCATAACCTTCCTCCCCAAGGAGCTAATATCGACTATCCACTCTCAAACCATGTCGGCTCTAAGCCTTGGGAGGTTTGAGAAGGCACGCATCAGTCCTTGGCCACATCCAGGATGCTGTTACCATTACCTTCCTCCCCAAGGAGCTAATATCAACTATCCACCCTTAAACCGTGTCATATTTTTATATTGACTCACCTCCTGGTTCTCAGGCTGGGCATACTTGAGGAGGTCCGAGAAGGCACCCATCAGGCCCCGGGCCGCATCCAGGATGCTGTTACCGTCTCCTTCCTCACCGAGCAAGGCGGCCAGCATCTTGACGCCCTTGGTCATCTCTGTCAGGTTAGATGAGCTAGGAAAGACATGCATAGATAGTCAGACACTATAAAGTCATGCAAAACATTTTGCTTTAATTTTGATGTTGAGTGCATCACAAGTCGTCGTAAGTCCTCATAAGACTATCACAAGTGATCTTCAAGTCAGGTTACATACTATTTTGCTCTTTTGATTTCCATCGTGTGCGATTTGTTTTAAGGCTTGTATCTCAAAGCTAGCTCTGGCAACTTCAGACCCATATTTTTTGTTTGGAATGGCTCGCAATTCTTATCACCAAACTGAATATCCTTACAAAAAAAATTTGAAATGATTTAAACCTTGTTGAGAACGGTAAGGACGCAAATTTCCTTTGTGATCTTCAATCCAAGAATACCAAATTGCACACACTATTAGCACCCTTTATTGGTGAACCCTAACACCAAGAGATCCTTCAGTACCCAGAGGGTAGAGCCCACTTACTACTGCTCAAAATAGGAGTTCGCTGCCCCTGGAAACCTTAGGGGCCAAACTGATTTTTGAAGGATTTGACAAGAGGTAACGTAGCAATGTGATCCTTACATGGTGGTGATATGAGAACCCACAGATGTGTAGTCGGTATCGGACGGGTCGCCGGACGTTTGGCTGATGATGCCAGCGGTGGCAGCAGACATGGCGCTCAGCTGTGATTGGATGTTCTGCTTGTTCACGTCGATGGTGTTCTGGCGCCACTGCTTGGAAGCCTAGGGAATGTACAACATTTGCACACATCAAAAAATAAAACTACCAAGTTTTTACAAAATACCTTACTAGGATGTTGGTAAATGACAGTCTAAAGCATCCTGTAAAATTATGGCACCTGGTGTGAAGTCATTTTTAAGAAAATGTATTTTTGTATACATTTCCAATGGTGGTCGGCCGACCACCGTTGGAAAAACCTAACTATTTTTCAACTACTGCTCCAAATTTACCATTTTTTTTCAGTCCAAATTTTGTTTGCTATTGGTTACATGTTCATGAACGGGTGCAGGTCAGCTAGACTGGTTCCCTTACCTTACAATTTTCTGGCATCTTTAAATTGATCAATTTTATCTTTAGTGGAGTCAGGGAACCAGACTACTTGGACATTTTTTTGTTTTTCTTGGTTTTTCCAGCATTTTCGAACACAAAACATTAAACATGTCAGTGTAACAATATGTTATCTAGTATTATACTAACCCCTCAAATAGTTCATTTCTGAAAATTACAGCAAAAACCAATGATGTACATTTCCTTTAATGTAGCGTGAAACCTTCATCGGATACAATAATATGCAAAAAAAACTTAGAATATGAAAAATATAGAAATGAAAAACATTCTTCAATTTCTTGGGTCTTCAGTACTACTCATTTATGGCTACCTTCGAGATTTTCAAACAACCTTACAATTTTCATGTGATGGTATTGGGACTTAATTTAAGGAAGCCATCGTGGTCTGGTTTCCTGATAATATGGCATCAATTTCATAATTAGGATTTTAGATTGAAATGGCAGCAGTTGCAGCCTGATGAGGGGTGTCATAAGACCGCATCTTCGTGATCTGATATGTACCACAATAGACCATTGTCATGTTGCGGCCATCATGATTTTTTCCCATTCAAATCAACGCAACCAAAGCGAGGCTGGAAGGAAAAATAGTCTGGTTCCTTTTAGCACAAAAAAAGTTATCATTCAGTACTGTTTAATATTGGATACAGGGAACATGACTGAAATGGTGGCATCATGATAAAAGGTCTATACTGAAATCAAAACACAATACACCTCAAAATTTGCAACAGTTATGCCTAATGTTTGACACATATGCGCAGGTGTGCTGATTTGTTCACGTGCTATCTATGCCGGTTGGGTTTTGTTTTCTGGTGCAACCGATAATTTGTTTCAAACTTTCATTCCTGGAGTACACTTTCCGAAGGTTTGACCCACAATTACAAGATTTGTTGTCCACAAATTCTAACTTCTTACTGACAGATTTTCATATGAGAGGGAGCATTACAGCATTCTCAAGGTAACTGCTGCTGATAAAATTAATCATTAATTAATTTAACCCTAACCCTGCCAGACGCAACACAGTGCATCAGGTGGAAAAGTCTGGTGCACTTTGATGCATTCAGCTACCAACACCAGTGCGTAAACAGCCACTTCTGACACTATGAGAGCAAGTCCCATTGAACAATGCCCTAGTTGTATCCTGCTGCGTTCGGTGAGGCATTTAGGCCTCGAGACTTTTGACCTGATTGATCTTGCTACACTAGGCAGGTGTTGCATGTTGCTCCGTTTGGCAGGGTTTCTAGCCAAATACCCTGGAGGGATAGGGTTAAGGACTTCGTGCATGAACAGAAGATTGCTCTTTGTGAGCAAGTAAGATTTGAGGCTTTGTATGGTGGAGATACTAAATAATGAAAGGTTTGCGGAAACACCATGTGCGAATAATTTCTCAACTAAGAGAGTGGTTCTGAAAAGAACCAGAGGTATAAATTCGACGTTCCGGTCAGAGTGCTCTGACCGTCTTCTTTGTGAGCACTTTCGAACATTTCAGTGGGAGGAAGACTTTGCGTACAGATAACTGGCTTACAAGCACATGGCACGAAGTACGCAGAACTAATTCTATTCTGCATGATCACAAACCCATGGTTTCTTTGCATGAGCTTTGGGCATCATCAGCAATGCGTCCGAACGTCCCAGTGGGCTCCCCAAACTCTCCCTTTATAACCGTTGAGGGGGTTGCTTGTGCACGGAGTCTATGACACCCCTAAGTGTGGGTCAGTGTCGAGGCCTACTTTGGCCCGTATCTTTTGTTACTTACAGGATCAGTTCCCAGTGGGGGTAGCTCGGCCTTGGTCATCAGGTCGTTCTGGGCGGCATCCACAGCAGTGAAGCCTCTCTCCACGTTGCCTTGTAGAGCCTGCTGGGCTGTGGTCATTCCGGGCTGGCGGGCTTGATTGGGCTGAAGGTAGGGAGAAGAATACAGAATTACTAACAATAACTAAAAGGCGAGTTGAATCTACATATAAGTTAGAACAATGCACAAATGAAAAAAATGTAATTTATTATAAACTGGCATGCAACTTCGAATTAACAAAAAAAAGAGGAAACTCCAATATTTGCAAGACTTTGTACAGTGTTTTTCAGTTTTTCATGGCATAAGTGTGAAGTGAAAAACGAGGAAATCAGCTGATCCAAGGGAAAGTTGCATGCCTGTTAATACATTCAGCTGGGAAAAAAAAAGAGCTTCCAAGTGACACATGCGAAGACTTGAATCGGATTGCATTGGAGGGCGCTCATTCATTCGCTTTAAGTGCACACAATACGTCACTTTGTGGTAGGACCCACAAATTTATGTTTTGTACTTTTACGAAACATTCTCTGACGCTGCAGTAATGGACAGGTTGTAGTAGAGAGAAAGTATACACATCAAATTAATGGACGGAGGTGACTGTTGCACTTACCATGGGTGCGGTGTGGGCCATGTTGGCTTGGCCTTTAGTGACAGCATGCTGTGGGGGCTGCATCTCTCCTGTAGTGTACGTGCCAGCTACAAAGACAACAGAACAAGACTTGAGTCAATCATAAGAAGTCTAAAATGTGTATTTTCTTAGTTCTTTTGACGGAACGTATGAGAGGCATGCAACTTTGAGGTCATAATTTTTTTTTTTTAATTCAAAGCTTTAGAACCTTACAATGGTGGCAACATATGCTTTAGTGACATGAAATGGGAAGTAGAAAACAAGGAAAAGTGGAACGCCTGTCCTTCAAATTTCAAGCTTTACAAGATTTTCCACAGTCCTTTGATTCACACAGAGTTATAAAACGAGGATATCAGCAGATCTGAGGAAATGTGCATGCCTGGTCTTTCAATTCTCCAAGCCATTCAAGACTTCCTACAGTGTTGGTCAATTTCTAACATCATGTACTTTCAAGTTTTGGGTCATTCCATAAATTTGGGGTCTAATTTTTTGTGTCCCTGTACATCTGATATGCATAAAATTTTGTAATTCAGGAAACATTCTTTTAATGCCTTCTATCTCCACGCATGATTATGTAAAGCAAAGTACCCGTCAAACAAATACAAAAATAGTGTGGAGTCAATTTTAATGATATTTGAATGGCTAATTACACAATTCAGGGTAGCTTGGACACAAAGAAAATCACACTTTTGGAACCCGAAATTTATGGAATGGGGCATTCCATAAATGTTTACAAGACTATCTACAATGTTTTTCAATGTTTAACGTAATACATTTGTAAGTTAAAAACGAAGAAATTAGTTGATCCGAGGAAATTTTTGCAAAAAATGTTGCAACCCGACGCCACTTCAGCGGTTGTGTACAAAGTGTATGGAGAGTCAAGAATTTTTTTTTAGTTCCTAACCAAATTGGAAGATTCATGTGGGTCATCATTTTTGCAATGACTGACCTTCATTGAGATGATATATGAAGAAAAAAGTGGCGTCAGGTTGTAAATTTTTTCCGAAATTTTGCTTAGCCTTACCCGAGCCACCAGCTCTCATGACTGCCGGCAGGGCCACTGAGCCCTCCGACGCATGGCCTGGCCTGTTGGTCTGATGCTGCATGAAGGTTGCCTTGGCCGGCGACACGCTGTCCTCAAGAAGGGTGGATTCCTCCTCCCCTTCCAGACCCATACGATCTTTGCCTTTTTGCTGATAACAAAAAGAGAAAAACCAATAGCCAAGTTGCATTTAAGATGGTACCTTAACAAAATATACCTTTTAACTCAGACGACTGCCTCATGTGAGATTGGTAAAGTGCCAAAATAGGGCTGGACAGCTCAAGCACTTGGAGAGTGTAACAGAAGTCACAGGCTCAAGCGTTTATTACAGGTACATTAGATCAATTGCGGTTTTTTTCCTTCTTAAGAAGTTTGCTCAAATCTTTCGAAGGCTGTATAACAACTAACTTGTTGAAGTTTCAGCTCAGTGGATACTTTACATTTTCAGAAAACAAAGAAAACGTATGCACAATTTTTGGGGTCTCATAACTGGATTCCGTTGCTAACGCACGGAAAAAACCTATGCTTGTGGGCACATTTTCCTAAAACCACTTCAACGATCGTTTTCTTCCAAATAATACCATTACAGGCGGAAAAATTTCACATGGTATTTGGTACCGGTCCTATCTTCACTTTGAGCAAGGATTTTCTCGTTAAATCTATAGGTACGTTTCTGGGTAATTGCAAATGTTTCTACGTGTGTTATAACTTCAGGAATTCCTGACAACATAGATGACAGCTACAGCTACATAAATTACTTAATTATTTAAATGGAATCTGTTAATGTTAAAAAAGTATGAGATGGACATTTTAGTGCCCATCCTCATGTGTGTTCCTCTGCAGAAACGAAAAGGGATTGATGCACATTCAGTTCTCTTGCTTAAAAAGAAATTCCAACACTAGGCTTGAGCCGTTCAGTAAATAGGACCCTGGCTGTGATTATTAGTTACGGCGGAATGTCATGCTCTGAGCTAGTGAGAGCCCTTGCCCTCACACGACTCTAGCAACGCTGAAAGAGGCCGTACAATAATAATAATAATAATAATCTTATATAGTGCCAAATCCTTTAAAATGATGTTCAAGGCACTTAACAATCATTGAAAAAATAAAAAAAAATAAAAATATGAAAAACCTAAAAAAATTACATATTGTTACAGTAATTTTAATAATAATAAATTAATATTAATACAAGCACATTAGCATTAAAACCTAAGAACAAAACTAATCAAGCAAAAGATACATCTTAAGGGAAAAAATGGCATATGAGAGACCTAAAGTTAAGTTTGTAATGAATGATAAAAAAGACAAAAACAATTTGAGAAGGTGACAAGTATACAGACAATTAACAAGACCATTATGGGCAGACAGAAACAACCAAAAATGAGCAACGGAACGAAGAGCTATCAACAGACCGACAACTAATGACAGAAAGACGGACCAGGAACAAAAAATTACTCATCAACCTATATATCCATGGGCCATTTCCATCTGACTAAATCTGCATTAGCCCTTGATTTCAAATAAGTCTCATTACAAAAAAATATTGTCTTAACTCACTTCACAAAGGGTAATCACCGAGAGATGAATTATACATCAAATAAGGTTTACAAACATGGGCCGATCCAGCACTAGTTCCTGTTTAGTGGAGGGCAACAACCGCACCCGTTGTGATGTGCGCATTGTAAACAACTCGCCTTAACACGGCAGCTTAGACCTCAGTTTAAAGGTACTACATATAAAATCCATTTCCCCACAGCTGAGCTTACTTCAGCTTACAGAAGCCTTCTTGGCGGAAGACAAAGAAAGCCTTGCATTCAAGGTCAAGTGGTGAACTAATGCTACTGACCTTTTTGAGGATGATGTCGATGTAGCCTGCAATCAGGGCACCGATGGCTTCGCCTTCTTTGGTCTGCACAGAGTAGTAGGACTCCGAGTAGTCGCCGAAGTCCAGGGTGAAACTGTTGGGGGATGCAGCCCAGCGACGGACTGTGGTCAACAGCCAGGTTTTCATGATCTGAAGAAGAAAAGGGGAAAAATTGGAGGAGAAAATAAGACAAATGCACAAGAGAAAAGGTAGTTCAAAGTTGAATTTACGTGGAACTCTTTATTGACCAGAGCAGCTAGAAGCAGCGAGAACTGAAAGTCTGTAACAGCCACAGGAGGCCAGCATTTAAAATCTTCTAAAGTCTTACAAGAGTTGAAGCATGTTGAAAATCCATTCATAAATACCTAAGACAGTTTAAAAACGAGAGCCGGTCACGTGGCCGGTTTTAAACGGTTGATAAAGACATGGCTAGCTGGTCTTAAAAACTTTTCCAGTGTCACATGAAATTTTGACTCCTATGAAATCTGGTGCCAGCACCATTTTCCAACGGTGCTTCTTAAGACGCAGCGTTGGAAAGGCCTTCTTTCATTGATTTCTTCAAATCGACAACTTACCAGAAAGAATAATTTCACAGGGAGTTTAGTCCCCTTACTATCTTTCAACCAAGTATGTTTTTCAACAATAATTACACCAGTTACTTTTTGGATAGCTGCAAATGATGGACTCTGGCTTTAAGGATTATCTTTGTTTTAGGCCTTACGTACCTCTTTGGTCTTCTCATCCACGCGCAGCACGCTCTCCTTAGTGACGCCCATCAACCGCGGGACCAACTTATTCTTACCCTTCATTTTTTCCTGTGTGAGAACAAAAGTGTAGAACTAAAAGGTGAAGATTGAGATTTCAAATTTGAAATGAAATGTACAAATCCTTATAACGGTACCAATTCTGTAAAGTATGCTTTTACTCAATCCAGAAGCAATAGGACAATACACTCTTGTGAAACTTAATGAATTATTTATACTTTGCATATAATTTATTTAACCCTAACCCTCTTGGCATTTTTGCTAGGATGCAACCTCAATCCTGTAAAATCATCATACTGCATATTGCCGCAATCCTCCAAAACCATCCATTATTTCTAGCCTAGTTATTTCTTGAATATGGTCCTTGGAGGGGTGACCTCTGCCTCAATCTTGCAAAATCTTCCAGCGATCACTGTCAATATGTTGAGGCACAGCTAGTGACATTCTGGAGCAGTGCGGAGAATTTCAAGTATAATGTAGGCCTAAATTTATGCATGGCTGAGCATAAACAAAACAAGATCCGGCCCAAGACCTCAACACAGTGCACCCTCCAAAATCAGACACAAGTTTTTGCAAAATAGCCTCAATCCTGCAAAATCCTTCATTTTGCAAAGAAATTTTTGGAGGATAAGGGAAGGTTAGGATTAAAACAATCCAACTGTTACCTGTGTTCAAAGACAAGGCACTGAGAGTCTTTCCTCATTCACATTAGACTTGACTCCAGTCTGACATTTTATTATAATTCTTATAAACATTTGCGTGAGGTCTCGAAAAAGGTCTCGACTATAACACTGCTGTGTTTTAAAAAAACATTCTCCACATCAAAAAGTCAACAATTTTTCAATGAAACTCGGAAACAAGCCGATGTCCCATCAACCAAACTGTTTTTCTTTGACTTACCTTGACAAGGAAGAAGGTGATGCCGTACGTCTTGAGGGAGCGGCAGAGCTGGGTGTAGCGCACCTTGGAGTCTAGCTCGCTAACGCCAATCAGCTTAGCGTGTTCCTGTACAGAAAATATCGGCACTTTTTACTTTGGTCACAGGAGACAAAACCTTTCATTAACAAATCTATGCTTACATGATTCGCATCTTATAAATGTCATTTTGAATGGAATGACTCTTTTGTTTTTAAGGATTTCTACGGCTTTCATAAGTCAAAAGGGGGGATCAGGACAAATAGGGGAAGTGTGGCCTGTTGGTTAGGGTTTGTGACTCATGATCCCAGGGTCAGGGGTTCGTGACTCATGATCAGAGGGTCAGGTTCGAATCCAGCTGCTGGCCATGTTGTGTCCTTGGGCAAGCTACATCACCCCCACTTGCCTCTCTCCACCCCAGAGTATAAATGGATACCCGCATGAGCAAGGAAGTAACCTGCGATGGACTAGCATCCCATCCAGGGGGAACAGAAATATTCTCAGTCGATACATGCCACTGAAACCGGAGATAAATGCTGGCCTGACGGGCCATATTGGCTTGTGACAGACTTTACTTTTTTACTTGGATAAATCCTTGGAAATCTTCACAGCTTCCGGAACAATATGCAGGATTCCAGTTTGATGAATTTGTTACTTATACTAGAAAAGTGCACGACTTACACCAAAGATCCTCTTTTCTGCCCCTTTGAGTTTCACATACTCTCTAGGGAGGAAGTCTTTCAGCCTGTGGAGAGAAAACACAAGCATCAAAACTGTCACTGCACAGTATATTCACTGGGTTTGAATACAAGTCGATGGTGTAAAATACAACAGGGCTTCAATGGGTACCTGAATACCTGGTTCCATTTTTAGAGGATTTATTTGTTCCAAAAGCATCTTTACAGATAATTACAAAACCTTTGTGAAGGGAAGCACACCTTTTTGTTCATCATTTGGTGATTAAAAAATTAACTTAAAAGTGCTTTTGCGTCTTAATACCCTGTTCTGAGTCCAGTTGAAAAACATTTTAGATTATCAAATTTCTCTCGACAATGTTATGATTGTTGAGGAATTTTGGTGCAAGTGGGAGTTAGGCCAAAAAAAAAATAGTTCTGCTTCCGATTACATGGCATTTAAAAATAGGGTAGGTAGGTAGGGATTTTTTGGAGGTTTTTTGGCATTTTTTTTTGGCATCTGCATGTAGTCAAGATACATGTAAAAGGTAGTAATTGATGATTTTGGGTGTTTTTTTTCCCATTTTTCCCATAAAAAAATTAAGCTGGGGGCTGTCAGAAAAGGTAGGTAGGGAAACCGGAAGCAGAACTATTTTTTTTTGGCCTGTTATAGTCAGAGCAGTGCCTATGAGTCAATTTTACCAACAACTCCCAGAATCCAACCCGAGCTTAACAAAGCCACATATGATCATTTTCAATCACCCGGAAGAGTACCTACCGATTTAATGACAAAATGAAGATAGGAAATGGCGTCAAATACCCTGTGAAAATATGCGGCCTGAAAAAAATACTTTGCTTTGGAAATGTCTGTGCTTAGCAAAAATTAGCGGAGAACCAACCAAATTGCAATGATCAGCAGATGACATTTTGGCTGGTGACCCGTTCCTGTTAAGCACATATTTTCTGTGCTAAGCAACCTTCAGAGGTTTGATAACTCCCATGAAATTGGCTCCATGAGACTGATCAGTAAGCTTTGGAGAAATTCTAGCAAGACGGTATTGGTCTGAGCTTACTCAAGGAAGCCAAGCTTGTGTCTGTTGGGGTCATGGTCGCCGTAGTGAATCTGCATCTGGGTGCCAGCGAGATGGAGAGCCTCCTCATAGGAGCAAGGGTGGGTGCCGTTGATGATGGCATCTCGAGACTGGAAAATAAAAGAAATCAAATAGTGACAGAGCTTCAATTTCTGCTACAAAACAATTTTCAGAAATAGATGGACTCGGGGTTTAGTATTTTATAGCAAATATCGTTACACTGACCTGTTTAAAGTTTTGTGTTCATAGATGCTGAAAAAAAAACAAGAAAAAAATGCTGCTTTTGTAGTCTGGTTCCCGCACCCTACTTCAGACTAAACGGAACAATTTACAGAGGTCCGGGAATTGTCAGGTCAAATTGGGGGCAATATACGAAAAAAGTCAGGGTTTTTTTCCACATTGGCCGACCATCGTTGGAACTTGATACAAAAATTCCACTTTTCTTGAAAATGACAGCACACCAGGTGCCATGATTTCACAGGATGCTTGAGACTATTATTCACTTATAGTCAAGTAAGGTATTTCATTATAATTTGGTAGTTTTGTTTTTTAATGTTCGCAAATGTTGTATATTACCTGTCAGCACTTAACAAATCTAGGTCCAAAAAAACCCCAATAAAAACCCTGACAAGGCAAGCCTTAGTAAAACTAGTCCCAGAGCACACCACATTATACTCAATGGATTCAGAATGGCAATCCAATGGAAGTCTTGTAGAGCATGTAGTCTACACAATATATACAATATTTGAATCTTTTATAAATAGAATATGTGAACTTTAATTTTTTCCCCTAGAATAAAAATAAATGAAACAACGAAATGAACTGAAACTACACTAAATTCTTTATCATACAATAGGTATAAAACTGGCACAACGGTAAGAACGTTGCTATAATGAACACTTCTATACCGAACATTTGGCTACAATGAACATCAACCTTTGGCTCCCAAATTTTATGTACAATGATAAAGGACCATGGTTTTTGGAAAGGCTGCAGCTTGTGCGAGCACATGTAGTGGGCTGTCCATGCATGTTGAAACCGCGCGATACCAAATGTGTTGGTCATTTTTGTTACACGACTGTTTATTTACGTGGCTTGAATTTTCCTTCATTCTTTTGAGTCAGTTCATGAAATTTAATGAAAGCCCATTTTGTTGAGTCGTGCTAGCATTTCCCATTAAATTGACAGGAAAATACAAACCTGTACATGTGTACAGACACAATCTTGAAAACTTTGGGTGTCATGTCGGCGGCTGAAAATTGCCGCAACAAATGACCACTATAACGAACATTCTTGTGTGGATCCCATCGTGTTTGTTATAGCGACGTTGTACTGTACATGTACATAGAATCTATTCAAACAGAACTAGACTTACCTGCACATAGAGCAAGTTGAGTTGTACGGGATCCCTCTTGTCCACATTCTGGTCGGAGTAGAAGTATTTTCGTCGGAAGACGAGCATTTCAAACTCCTCCACGCCCTGTTCCCTCAGAGTCCTTGTGTGATCCAGCCAGTTCACTAGGGAACAGACACGATAGGAGCCAATGCTATCAGTTTTATACAAAATTTCTGGGCAATATTCTTCATAAGTGGTTCATTCTATAGATTAGGGTCTAAAGTGTGACATTTTTCCTGTCCCTGTTACCTTGGTACTTAAATCTGCCAGTCAAGTATCAGTAAGAATGACTTAAAACGACTTTGTATTTGTTGGGTAGGTAGTTCGCTATTCGTAATGATTCTTGGAGGACGAATGCATTAAGGAGTGCATCAGAATTATATAATTATACAGTGAAATCTCGATAAGTCAAACTTTAATAACTCAAAACAACTGTTTAGTCAAACAAAGAATCCATTGCCTTCAGTAGTATAGCAATGATATACAACCTTGTTTAACTAAAACTCTGCTAAGTAAAAGTTTGAACCTGTTCCCTTGAGATTTGACTTATCAAGATTTCACTATAGATGTCAGATGTAACAGGGACAAAAGCTGCAAGCAAAGCCCGCCGGTTAAAATTTTGTGTGCAGTGATCGATATTATGGACGGTTGAAGTGTCAAGGGTTGTATAACCTGCTAAAAGGATGGGAACAACAAACCATCGTCGACAAAAAAAAGTGGCATCTCACAACAAAGCCCTGCAACTTTACGATTAAAATAGCATCACAGTCGTGTGTGCATGTGTATATTTTAATTATTTCTTTTCTTTGAATATTCAAACCGGCAAAAAGCTCAATTCAATATTAGGTTTTGCCCTTTACCGACGTATCAACACTGTATACTCATTGTGTTACCCCCGAGTGAAAGTGAGAAAAATCACTCGGTTGGGACCTGGTATAAAGCTATATTCGGTTGATGATTGAATATTCAAACTTTGAATATTCAAACTTTGAATATTCAAACTTTGAATATTCAAATCTTTGAATATTCAAATCTTTGGGTTTATTTGAATAAACAGAGGAATGGAATTTTTCTTTCCTATAATTCTTTCCAGGACCAATAGCAGAATGAAATTCTCATAGAAAAAAACTTGCTTTAAAAATGCCGTGAACGTCTGTCTTTCCCATATTTGCTGATCTTTCTTTTAGCTTACATTCATCATCCGTGTGCAGCTTCCTTTTCAGCGTTTCCATCTTTTTCTCATCTCGGAGTATAGATGAAGAGCCTTTCTCCTGAAAGTAACAGACCAAATGAATTCAAGCAAACCCTTGCAAGACTTGTTAGTTATCACATGTACTTCAAGCACTTCAATAAATCAAACGTTTGCTTACATCAAACGTATCTGCTTGGATGTTTAAGTAATGGACCTATCATTGGTCTCCCACCTCCCCCTCCCCCTCAATTGTGGAAGCAAATGCTGGCAGAAATGTTTCAGCTGATTACCAGCTTTATTTGCCAACACAACTTGACAATCTTCTTTTGATAACCTCTGTGGAACTGCAAGGGAGTTCTACAGGATTGGAGTAAGGAAATACAACAGGCACAAAGAGACACAGGGTTAGACTTTGAAGTAGTGGTGGGATGTAAATCCGCACTTTTAAAATTCGGTCTGAATCCCACCGTTCGGTTTTGATTTTGGAAACCGGACATTTGAAACCAACCTTTAAAAAAAGTAAGATCTCCGTTTTTGGTGGCACAGGCGAAAAAAAAAAAAACTGGAACATCCCCCAAATTGCTCCACGGTCTCTGATTCGCTCTTTTCACACTTCTGCCATGTGCATGCAGAGCCTCGATCTGGCAACTTTACACAATACATATAGCCGGTTCAGTGATTCCCGTGTCGGGGTTCAGATCACTGAACCGGCTATTTTCATTGTGTACAGTTGCCGGATCGAGGCTCTGCATGCCCATGGCGGAGTGTGAAAAGAGCGAATTTGTAACTACATTCACTTGCTAGTGGTCTTCTTGGTAATAGAGAGGTTTCGCATGCAAACGGATACGTTTAGTGCGACGGATATGTCATCAGTTATGACGTCATACGCCACTCACTATCCGCTAAACGTGCAGACGACACGCATATCTCGCTCGCTACACGTAAGTAAAAAACGGATACGGATAGCTAAACGTAAGTGTAAGCGTATCTGTTCGCTTGCAAAACCTCCCTAATATATGAATAGCCTGTCCATTTGACTGATCAAAGAGTTCCCATCCATTTTCAACTTTACAGCTCTGGAGTGTTTTTGTATAGGCCCAGTTGTCATTGTATCCTGCAAACTATTCCCAATCATTGTGGAGGGCATTCCATGCAGCACTTGCCTCATCACTTTTTGTCTGGCATGACTGTTAGCTGAATGGGGACTTCCAGTGAAACTGGCTAACCGTTATTCGGTTTGAAAAAAATTAAGATGGCTGGATTTAGAAATCTCCGATTTACCCCCACTGCTAATTTGAACCTACTTTCTTGAGGGTTGACCGGTTGATGGTGCCGTCTTTCTTCTCATCGTCCAGCACGTCGCGGCAAAGGGAGTACTCATCGTAGTTTGTCACACCTGAAAACAGACAAATCAGTGGAAAAATTTGGTCAAAACGACGCACCTTCTCGAATGTTAGAAAAAAGGTGCAAGTACGAGTTTAAGCTCACAAAACATGTAGCACCAACAAACAAGGTGTGTGCGTTGCAAAAAGATTTCACAAACCACTTTATACCGATGTGAAAGTAGTGGGTTTTTTTTAGGGGGGAGAGAGGGGGAGTAGAGCACGAGACATAACAAGGGAACTTTAATTGATTTTCAAAAATTCAGACTAGCACTGAAACAAGAATGCGAGTTCATATTATTACAATTCACTTTTAGCAAAACCCAGAATGCATGATTTATCCCACAAACTACATGTAACTCAGGATCCTTGGTGGTTTCACAAGGTAGAGAAATGGGACTAGAATGGGTTCATGGAGACACCACATAATCTTTTATCTAAATCGCTAAGAGTGGCTCCCACACTGAACTAAGGTCTTCTCAAACATTTCGACTGGTGTGCTCTGCTTGTCGTCGGGAGACAACTAGTCAAAACGGTAAATAGACCTTCTTGCGGGAATCGTGGTAGCTTGTTAGGAAACACTTGTGTTTGGTGATAAAATCCCCATATCACCCTGTACTGGAAATGCTACTTAGATAGGGTGCATAATGGAAGCATCACAAATATGAACAGCAAGTTTACTGCATTTTCGAGAGCAATGCACAACACTCTCAAACACACAAGTCAGCTTCCAACTTACTACTCCCTACAACGAAGTCTTCAACAAGAGCAGGACGCTTCCAGACACTGCAATCTTTTGCCAAATTTCCCCCTAAATTTATAGCCGCTCTGTGGGCCCGTCGGCCAATCAGATGGCAGTATTGTACTCACCGAGTCGGGTGCATATGGTGACCAACATCTGGCTGACTGTGTTGCTGTCATCAATCTAAAATATTGACGAGAAAAAAACAAAAAATTAAAATTAACCTAATCTCGGCTGCCATTAAAACCCCATCAATCTTTACAAATTGGAGGAGAAATGTTTTCAATGAGAAAAATGTAGATAACGCTAATGATCCCGAGTCGGTACGAGCAGTTCCCACAATTAAATGGAAATTGCGAGAAGTTAGTTATCAGCCTACAACGAATGCTTGCGTCACTACGCTTGCAGGCAATCAAGATGCTGCATACAAGTGAGATAAACTCAGACCTCCCTTGTGCACATGTGTTTTAGAGAGGACTGAAGTAACTATATAAAATAAAAATTGCTGAGCTTTGAGAAATTTCGAGAAATTTCCTCAGCAAAACAACCTACGGATGGCCTACGCGAAAAAAAAAAAAAACACCTGTGAAGGTTATCAAAGGCATGTATACATCACCCCGGTTCGATACCGGATGGGCACAACCGCCATTAACATGAAAACCAAGACTCTTGAGAAAAGGGTACAGGGACAGATAAGCCAAGTTCACACAACTGGAAAGATATCAGTCATGGATGTACATGTAGGTGGCCTTTTTTCCCCTTGAATGCAAGGGCAAGGCCTTGCATTACGCCACCACACTGAACCCCAACTCTTCAACAATCCCTTGCAAGAGAAATTCCTCTTGAAGTGTAATTTTATGCACTTAAACCTCAGCACGTCATCCTGTGAGACATACACTATCATGGTAACTCAGGAATTGTCATTAACCCTCCTGCTATGTAAACAGTCACAGACAGTCCAAATTTCCATCCACTTCCCCTGCTATACTTTTAACACAGGCCAGTCACCATCAGTCAGATCATGTCAAGCAAGCACTGTGACTAGTCAAACTCAGTCAACAGACCATGAACAGACAAAGCGGGCAAGTTGTGGGCACAGCTGGCTTATCAATTACCCCCAGTCAAAGCAAAGCTGTATCGAGTTACATAAACAGTCAGGGCCAGTCAATCCTGCTTGATGTACCGTAGGCTGGGAATTCTTAATGTTGTTGAAAAAAAAGTCACTTGATTGAATTTGACTGAAAGGACAACTTGGCTCTGAATGTATGTTTGCATAGGAGGGTTCATTAACACAGTAATTAGCAACAGTTAATTAGTATTTAGATGCCCAATTTTACATGTTTAGCCTATTTTACAACTTGACCTCAGATGACCTTTGACCTTGGTATGTGACCTTTGACATCAGTATCATATGAAGGTTGGCATGTTTCATCTATGACCCAAGTTTGGTTCCAATGGGACTTCAACTTTTGAAATGAGACCAATTGTACAAAACTTTAACCAAAAACCCACATACATGTACACCCATACATTGTACACATACGGACAGAAACATGTACATGAAGTGAGTGCATAGTCTCTTCCCTGGACAAAGTTCAGGCGAGACAAAAACAATTTCTGTGATTTTCTTCCAAACAATACCATTTCAGGTGGAATAATATCACAGCGTATTGGGGACCATCCCTATCTTAACTTGAGCGAGATTTTCTCACGCATAATTTGAGAACTTCCGTGAGGTATATTGGCCCAAATTTTGTCTTAAAATCAGTCAAATATCAACCATGCGGCTACATGTTCTTTAAAGCTATAGTCCATCATTTGCAGCTATCCGAAAAGTAACTGGCGTAATTATTGTTGAAAAACATACTTGGTTGAAAGATAGTAAGGGGACTAAACTCCCTGTGAAATTATTCTTTCTGGCAAGCTGTCATTTTGAAGTAATCAACGAAAGAAGGCCTTTCCAAAGGTGCATCTTAAGTGAGAACGTGTCTCGGACACTGAATTCAGGCCCAATTCAAAATATGATTCAGGAACTTTTGATTTGAAATTGAGTTCCTAGAATGCTGTTTTTCTCGGAATATACAGCTGAAGCTGAGCTGAAACTTCATCAGGTTAGTTGTTCAGTATCCTTCATTAGATTTGGAACACTTTTGTTGCTTCAAACGAACAAAATGCACAAATTACAAATGATGGACTATATCTTTAATTTATTTTAACAAGCTCTTCATCAATTTCTGACAAGTGCAGGTGCACGCCATTCCCAATCGGTGGCCAGTTTAGGCTGGCACATGTTTAACATGATCAGTGCATTTCAAAACTGAATATTCGAATCAGTCCAGTTCGAATAATCAAATAGGCCTACTAAATTATTCGAAAAATGCAGTAACCCTATTTCAGGTGCTTTTCCCAGCTCATTCACGTACAAATACACTGTACCTCTGATATTGAGAAATGTTCGAGTCAAACCCTGTCAAAACACAACCTGAGACACTACCTACGTGTGCCCGACAGGAAGACGGATCTTGTATGACAGTGGCAAGTTACACTACGCTGTTAAGGTACATGTTAAAACAGTGCACGGAGGATATGCACAGCTTGCGACCTCAAAAAGTTCTACAAACCATGCATGCACTCATGAACATGGGTCATTCTATAAATTTAGGGTGCAATTTGCGACATTTTTTCCTGTTCCTTTGAACATTGTAATTTGCCATTCAAGTGCCATAAAGAGTGACTGCAAATGATGTATTATTTGTTGGGTACCGGTACGTAGTTTGCGATTTATAATCACTCTTGGAGGATGACTGCATTAATAGGGGAGTGCATCAGAATTATATACATGTAACATAGATGTAAGATGTAACAGGGACAGCGAAAAATGTGGACCCCATATTTATAGAAAGATGTACATGTACATACATAATCCGCATGCATGTAGTGTGTATCCCCCCCCCCAAAAAAAACCCTGGCATACACGGCCCTTTACATGTAGTCCAATGCATACCATATGACATGATGACTACTGAACTCTTGTAACATCATAAATGTCATCGACACACTTCGGTTGTTTATTTTCTTGTGTATACATGTATTTCAGTGCAATTTCTCCCCCCCCCCCCTTTTTTTTCCATTTTATTCTTATATATTTTTGACAGATTGGCAACCATGCTGTACAACCAGTGAGCGTTATCGTCAAGACATATCCCCCACAGGTAAACATTCCACGCAGAGAACCCGTTGAAAATCTATCATCATCGTATAACTTGCCATTAGCCGACCCATGAAAATAATAACTATCCCACTGACTGTCATGATTAGGTGATCTTCAAACATCCAGGGACTGCGGATTCCTGAGTAAACATTGCTTTGCGCTCTCTCGGTAAACACGAAAATCAATCACGCTACAGCTGCAGCGCAAGAATAAATGAAAGTGATACAGATCTACATGTACGTGTACCTGCAACGCAGCTGCAGTATGACGTACCTTTAAAGTAACTCTATCGTGGGCAATTTAAGCATTAGGGAAGAAAAATGTAATGTCCGTGACAGAGCCAGTTAACCATGATATCAAATTAATGCTTCAAAGAAATGATCCAAAACTCCTAGTCTGTAATCTCCTTGAACATTACTAGATGATGGATGTACAAGATTTGAAAAATATATTTTCAGGTCTATTTACGGAGCTACAAAAAAGTGTCTGATTTTTAACGTCTGTGACGCTGGCGTTGCCAATTTCATAAACAAATATCACATCAATACAGACAATAAATTTGTCTTTCCACGAGCAAAAAAAGGATTAGTATTTTGCTTTAACCTACAAGCAGTGTTTGTATATATGCCAGTATTCTACACAGTATAAGATTGTGTTTTTTCATTGTTGAATCTACATAAAGGCCTTCTTTGGTTGATTTCTTCAAAATGACAGCTTGCCAGAAAGAATAATTTCACAGGGAGTTTAGTCCCCTTACTATCTTTCAACCAAGCATGTTTTTCTACAATAATTACGCCAGTTACTTTTCGGTTTGCTGCAAATGATGGACTGTAGCTTTAAATATCACACAAATGAAAAACAGAAAAACCAAAAGTTGGAAACTAACACTTTCAAGAAAAACAGTGAAAACAAAACCCATGGAAGATTTTGTAATCAAAAAAATGTGATGTTTAAATACATTTGACAAGTTGAGTCAATATACAAACAGCATCAGCAGCAAATTTCACAAAACTTCACGATATTGAAACTCCTCTATGCCACATTATACAGGGTGAGTAAAAAAAAACCAACGAAACCCAAATAGCCGGTCCAATATTTGAATGAAGTTTTTCCTGTAGCCCTTTTAAAAATTTAGGATATGAAAGCCCATAGCTTTCTTTTAGTACAAGAATAATTCAAATCACTCGTGTACTTATCAAGTTACGGAATTTTGAACACAACACCGTTTTAAAGTTCTGTCCAGTTACAGCATAGTGATAGTGAGGGTACCTATCATAAATTGACAATTTTTATAACTAAGTTTCTTCTAAATGTCACCGTGTCTGATAAGGATATTAACTTCGCGCAGTGTTTTGGACCAACCCTGTCTCGACTCGAATTAGTCTTCCCAAATTATTCGGTAGATCTAATTCTGATCCCCAAACCGTATTTCCACAGCTAGGCAGCTTGCTAGGCAGCTCACCGTCTCTATCTTGTTACTACAACAAGATGCGGCGCCTTGCACAGATTTAATTAAGTCAAAGCAGTCGAGAAGGGGACGCTTTAATGCAATATTGAGTCTGTATTATTTGGGATCAGCTGTTAAGGGGTGGGGGCGAGAGGGGGGGTTGTAAAGGCAACTTCACACATTTGCCGTACAAAACAATGACATGTTTACAATACTGTGTTTTCAGAACGGCCATTTTGCCAAAGTTGAATTTGTTGCAACTACTTAATACAGGGTGAGTCAAAAATAGCGGAACCCAAACCCCAAAAATTGTATTCATAATTACCAAAAATATGTAGCACTAAAAATAATAATGAGTGGAAAGCCAATTTCGTTGTGTTTAAATGGTGATATTATTTGAACAGATTGAGCAATTTCAGTATTTTTTTCATCTAAAGTGGTTTCTAAAATTGGCTTTCCAGTCATTATTATTTTTGGTGCTATATATTTGTTAGGGTTTGGGTTCCGCTTTTTTTACTCACCCTGTATAACATGTTTTGGATCAAATGTTTTTCGTTTTGTCTTTCTTTGTTGGCTTTTTTTTTTTTTTTTTTAAACATGCATACCTGTATGCAGGGGTTACACCGTGTATTTAGTGCTTTACATATTTTAATACATTAGTATTTGATTATTCTACCTTGGACGTGATCGAATATTCAAAATATTTAAAAAGTGCTGGTCAAGTTTTACGTGCGCCAGCCTTTACTGGCCACCGATCAGGGTTTGCGTGCGCCTGCGTTGTCGAAAATTGACAAAAGGCTTAGTAAAGTAATACAAAGAACATCATGTATTGATATTTTTTGTCTGGTATATTATAGATGTTAACCCTCCTATTGTTTGATCAGTCACAGACAGTCCAAAACATCTTCCCCTTCCCCTGCCATGCATTTGTAATCAGACTAGTAAAAAAACAGTCAGATCACGTTTGATCAAATTCCATCAACAGACAAAAGAAACCCAACCCCAAATTCAAATCTCAGAAGTTGCTGTCCAGATTGTTCATAAAGGTCCGCACGATAATACTACCACATCGGTGCATCAATACAGCATGGTATAATTGTGTAAAGTGAGATTTATAGCTTTACGGTGTAAACTGCAGCTTTCGCAAATGTCACACACGTGAAACATATAGCCTGGTTTTCATTTAGAAAATTCCTCGCAAATGACATGCAAACCCTTTCTGTTTTATTGTCTGAGAAGTTACTAAGTAATATGTAAAGTTGGTTACAGGTACCCAATCCCATAATCTGGAACCGGTTCCTGACATCAACGGTTGGGTACTTGGGTACCTGGTTCCAATGCACAGCCCCAGTTCCCAAAGCTTTAAAGTGATTGAAGGAAAGAACTCATGATTTGCTAAAGTTTCTGTATTACAAATAGTAGTATGTATTATAAGTATTAAATTACTACAAAAATGATATTGAAGACTCTACTCCGGACGCTTCTGTCGAAACACCCACTCAATTTATTTAGATGTGTAGTATCAATGCATACAAGGAAGTTCATTGGTATGAGTTCACAATGAGGAAATTAAATACCCAAATTATGTAATCTAATCTCATTGCGAATTGTGACAAGTAGTATTGAATACTCAATAGTCACAAAACTCACCAGCAATGTTTTCTTGGAGCCATCCAGCATCTTCACCTTCAGGGGACGAATCTTCTTGCGATACTCCAACAAATCCTGACATTGCAACCAAAAAATTTGTGTTTCAGTAATAATATTCGAATACTAAATTAACTACAAAATATGGAAGCTTACACGTACATTTAATAATAATCTGGGGGGCTAATCATCCTAACTCGCAGCTGAGAAGCTGAAATGCGAAGGCCGCAGGTCCAGCCGAAGGCATGTAAAGGCGCCTTAGGTAGCCGCCATATGACCCACGTCTGACCAAGGAGCACAGCCAGATCAAAAGTGTTGATTTTTACCGAGGGAGGAAAACTGGAGAGCTCTGGAGAAAAACCCTTGTGGCACAGGAGAGAATCAATGAACAACTCTACTCACAGTTTACTACTCAGAGTGTCCCATTTTACTGGAAATGTTTGTTTTTGATACAAAAAAAGTAAACCGGATTCATTCAATAGGACAAAACTCTCAAATTTCGTTTTGACTGCTGTGGACAGTCGGCACCCTCAATCATTTAATATTGCCGCAGGATTCATCTAAAAGGGACCAAAGTTTTACCCCTTGCCGGAGGAGATAATGCTCCAGCGTCTTTCCTGACTCTAGCCACACCCCTTTCTTGGGATCTTCATCGGCAAGGAACAGTCCATACTCGTTGGCTGCAAAGACAACAAGAGAACAATTTAACGAGAACATACACGTTAAGTTGGGGAAAAAAAAACCAGCCACTCAAGGGAAAGGATATAAATTTTTGATTACATCTGTGCGAAATGAACACCTACACGTACATGTAATAATTGTCCAATCAGTGTGAAATAAAAAAGCCAATTATTTCGTAATCAGTGCAAACGAAGATCCAATAAGCCTCTGTACTGATGACGTCACACTTTGTTTACATGTGCTTTCTTATGGGAGCCTGGTGGGGACGACGGTTTCGTAGCCCCATAGAAGAGTGCACAAGTAAACAAAGTGTGATGTCATCAGTACAGAGACTTACATGTATTACTTGCAGAAGAGTGATTTACCAATTTAATGCAAATTCAAACAGGTCAGACGTCAGACAATTATTGACCATTTCACAACCATGTTTGTCTGTGCGTAAATTTTGTACTGTAAGTGCATTCTACATGTACATGTACATACCGGTAGTCTGTAAGTGTATGTGAAAGCATGAATACATGTAGTTGACTAGGCTTGATCATTTTTTTCATTCAAGCTGTTTTTGTGTCTGATTTCACATCTGCATGTGCGTGCACAAACACAAAATACATGTGCATGAATCTTGGATGACATTCACAATGCATGATTACATAAATTCACATGTAAAAGTAGGTAGCATTATTTGTTTTTTTTGTGAATTTTGTTCATTTGAAACAACAAAATTGCTCAAAATCTTACGAAGGGTGCATAACAACTAACCTGTTGAAGTTTTAGCTCAGCGGATACTGTATATTTTTAGAAAATACATAACTGGATCCCGTTGCTACAATGCGCGCAAAAAAGTGTGCCTGCAGGCACCCATTGTGAAACCACCTTCAATGTATGTTAGTTTTCTTCCAAATGATACCATTTTTATAGGTGGAATAATTTCAAAGGGTATTTGATACCAGTCCTGTGTTCAGGTTTCCGTTCTCAAGTCATTAGGTAGTTTTTCAGGTATAACTGCAAATGTTCTTACGTGGGTTTAAAAACTACATTTATATAAAAGAAGCAGAAAATCTCTGGGTCTTTTTTGACAAACCTACATACATGTACACCAGCGTACCACAGAATCCTTCAACTAAATCAAAGAAGTGCCCTCCCTGAACAACCATTTTGGAACAGAAAATCAATTTTAAGACTGAAATTTCAAACACCGCACATTCTCGCATATCTGCGGATCAATGCGTCAAAAAACTCACGTTGGCCAAGCAACGCGGCCGCTTCGGGGTTCTTGTCCCGTATGCTGCGGCACACATCGAAGACGAGCGCCGTGGGATCAAACTGCATCGTCTTGGTGCTGTTGGCAGCCACAATGTTGATCTTCAAGGAAATCTTGGCCGCCATTGTGGCTGGCTGGTTATAACCACTTTAATCTGTAATTTTTAAGAAGAAATATAAATATAAACTAAAACAAATACGTAAAGTGAGACAGAAAAATTCCAGATGTGCCATCTGGCCAACAACTTTAACAGTTTGAATACCATGGAATGTGTTACATACATGTATAATAAAAACAATAAGAAATATTCAAATTGTCTGGTTTTTCATGACATTGTTTTACATACTTATCTGAAATTTACGTGCAACACTTGTGTGTATTTCCACATCAGATTTATGCAACTTTTGGAACACAGGAACATTTCAATTGTAACCTTTTACACTGTCAGGAATTCTGCAGAGTTTATTACAAAATTTGAGAAAGGATTTTTTCTGCAGACTTCGGGCAAAAGTAAATTTACTACAATTATCTAAATGTAACATGCACAGTGTAAACTTTAGGGACTAAAATTTAATATACATGTACATGTAGCTTTATACATGTATGAATATAATGATAAATATACGATCAGACCAGAAGCAGATGGGAAATTCCAGACATGATTGCTCTATGTCTCAGAGTGCACTATGGCAGCAACCATGAATATTTCATTGGGAATTTGCACAATAATCAATGACATCTGGATGAAACATCTCAATGGTGAATTACTGTCTGATGTAAGAACAAACTTTTTGATGATGTATACATGTACATGTTCATGTATATGTGCCCAAGGTAAATATTGAGCTTTCAATAATTATACAAGTACCGTATGAATACACATACATGTACATGTGTATAATCTACGAAAACATATCATACAGGCATGTACACGATCCTGCATTAATTGCATGTACATGTAGATAGTAAAAGTAGTAAAGTCAGTCCCGAGCCAATGTGGCTCATCAGGCCGGTGTTTATCTCCGGTTTCCTTGGCATGAAACGACTGAGAATATTTCTACTCCCCCTGAATGGGATGCCAGTCCATCGCAGGTTACTCCCCAGCTAATGCCGGTACCCATTTATACTCCTGGGTGGAGAGGGGCAAGTGGGGGTGAAGTGGCTTGCCCAAGGACACAATATATGGCCAGCGGCTGGATTCGAACCCCGGACCCTCTGATCATGAGTCACGAACCCTAACCACTAGGCCACACACATGTAGATAGGGGACAATAAAAAAACAAAAAGCGCCTGCTTCCCTTTTCCTCGCCGCCTCCTTTTCTTGTTCTCTTTTTTTTATTCATACATTTCTCCTTTTTTTTTTTTATTCATACATTTGCACTATATTTGCACATTGTCAATATTGTCTTGTTATTTGTTTCCAACAAAATTTTAGCTATGTAGAAAGGGTGACGGCTCCTTTGGACACACTTTTATAACAGCAAAAGAGTTGAAAATATAGAAGAATCCATCCCCAGTTTAGAAAATCCGCCATCTTGGGGAGAAACAAAAGCGCCCCCCTGCTTCATTTAAAAGAAAGTCTGGACAAGAAGTTTTATTCAGCCTGAAGAGGTACAGTCAAAGTACACATTCTATTGGAAGCAGAACCAGCATTTATTACTGTACTGGTATGTATGCATATCTAGTCAATGTTTGTACTGTAAATGTACTGTAAAAAAAAATTACACACAAACACAATAGAATTTTTTTTTTTAACAAACAAAACAAAAACTTCATGAGATAGTCGGGCAGTTAAAGAGGTTGTGGAATGCTTGAAGACATTTCCGTCATTTTTTGGGTATATGTAACCTAATGTGTGATGAAATAAAAACGACTATTGTGTCTGTCATGAAATGAGTACAAAAGGTACTTTGAGAGCTGTTTTTCAGGTCCTGTTTCGACCCGAACGTGCAATTTGTGTAAAACTCGTCGTTGGGGGCAGCAAACAAAACATAGTAAATCGTGACGTAATAAACAGGACTGGTTTATACTATGCTGCATCAGGAGTCCTGTTTATTACGTCACGATTTACTATGTTTTGTTTGCTGCCCCCAACGACGAGTTTTACACAAATTGCACGTTCAGGTCGAAACAGGACCTGAAAAACAGCTCTCAAAAGTACACAATGTACCTTTTGTACTCATTTCATGACAGACACAATAGTCGTTTTTATTTTTCATCACACCTTACGCTACATATACCCGAAAAATGACGGAAATGTCTTCGAGCATTCCACAACCTCTTTAAATGCACCCTCCTTATTTATTCCAGTTCAACAGAACTCGTCTGCGTGAGCAAAACAACTTACTGCCCACTCCACAAAATGTCAGCCAGACGCAAGCGCGCCCGATCTAATGCCAATCGCTTGATTCTATTAAACTCTCTCCGCGACAGCCCCTCGGGCGAAAGGTGTTACTTTCAATTAGCAATTTGAACATCGGTCGCTTTTCTTGTCTTCGGCGGGGCGACCGAGATGAACCGGCTTGATCATGCGAACAAGAGTTCTTCCCACTTTAAGAGGACAGCGCGTGGTTTAAGTGTGCCATGGTACCTGGGCAGAGGTGGCTATTTCCGGTTTGCTGCCGGACTTGCCCGCTGGGTCTGGTGGGGCATGGAACATGCTCAGCCTGTTAACTGCCTTCATTGCTTTTTAAGTACTCTAGACCGGTACGCGTACATGTACGTCTACATGTTCATGACTTGTGAACAATAATACATGTAGGTGAGAAGTCTGTATTACAAATAAGCTATTCGTGTATAACACCCATGTAAAGTTCTTGATCAATAAATGCTTAAAGGACCTACATGTACATGTATGGCAATGTCATTTTTTTAATGCAATCCTTGAAAGTGCACCTTTAATTGTGTCCCTTTTAACCTGATTGTCAATTTTTGTTGAAATATGAACTAAACTTAACCCTAACCCCCTAGGCCCTTGTTGCTTACAACCATCCTCAATCCTCCAAAATCCTCCAAAATTTTCCAAAATTTTGCAACTCCGCCTAAATTTTTCAAAATTGTCAGACAGTCCTGCCTCAAAATGCATTCATCCTCAATCCTCCAAAATCCTCCTCGTCCCAAAACTTTGCACTCGTGTTTAAATGAAGGATAACCAACGCCAAATCCTTCAAAATCATCAGACAGTCCTGCCTCAAAATGCATTCATCCTCAATCCTCCAAAATCCTCTTGTGCTTCAATCACCATTCATCCTCAATCCTCCAAAATCCTCATGTGCTTCAATCACCATTCATCCTCAATCCTCCAGAATCCTCATTTGATTCAATCACCATTCATCCTCAATCCTCTAGAATCCTCCAAAACCGCCAGGAGGATTTTGGAGGAGTGAGGTGGGTTAATGTAATTCCAGGCAGAAACCTACATGGTACAGCTATTTCAGCACAATTACAAAAAGGCGAAAGAAAATTTTGGATATTTTGCTGTTGTAAATTTTCTTTTTTGCTACATGTATGTCAATACATGACAGCATAGAGCAAGGACGAACAAACCTTTCTCACAAATTTTTTTCAATGAGAAACTTTTGGGTTCACAATTTGAACAGAAAAATCCTGAACTTAACAGTGTCTTTCTGGAATGACATCACAGCAACAACGCCCTCAATTGTCCAGAGAAAGATGGAAAAGTTTTAAATGTGTAATTAAAGAAGTGCACTTTTCCATAAACTTAACCAAACAGGGACATTAGTTTTCATACATTTAAAAGGAGTAGAAAGGTGCACAAAATGTGTTTCTGAGAAAATTTCATCGCATGAACCCTTAAAGGGAATGTACAACATTTGCTTTTGCTTCAATTTTCAGAAATAAATGGATTAGGAGGATTAATATGTTATACAAAATATTGGTAAACTGATTTGTTTCACGTTTTGGGCTTGTACATGCTGGAAAAACCAAGAAAACCTATCATGTTCTTGTAGTCTGGTTCCCTGACCCTACTTAAGATGAAACGGAGCAATTAATACACTTTGGGGAATGGTAAGGTCAGAGAATCAGTCTAGCAGGCTTGTACCCCTTCAGAGGTGTGTAATCATATGCAAAGAAAAGTCAGAATAACTAAATATGAAAAATTAAGAACGATTTTTGAAAAAAAAAGTTTTCTCCAACGCTGGTCGGCCGACCAGCGTTGGAAAAATACAGGTTTTCTGGAAAATGTCAGCACACCAGGAGCCACGATTTTAAAGGATGCTTTAGACTGTCAGTCCCTAACAATTCAGTAATTTGATCATTTCGTTTTTTGATGTTTGCAAATGTTGTATTTTCCCTTTAAAAGAACATAATTTCAGAGTTTCTTAAACTGTATCATGCTAGTGATGGTTGTGTATACGTAGACTAACCCGGCAAACCAAATTAGATTTTGGTAACCCGGTTGGTCGAAGGTGCCTGAAGTGCATGTGTATTACCTGAGCGCAGCTAGCATGAGCCTGGTGCCACCTCAGATAATGGCTGGCACTGAATCAGTCTTTACATTTGTGGTCCACTTTTTTTCTGTCCCTGTTTCATCCGACTTCTATGATTTTGTAATTCTCATTCAATCCTGTTAAAGCTATAGTCCATCATTTGCAGCAATCCGAAAAGTAACTGGCGTAATTATTGTTGAAAAACATACTCGGTTGAAAGATAGTAAGTGGACTAAACTCCCTGTGAAATTATTCTTTCTAGCAAGCTGTCATTTTGAAGTAATCAACGAACGAAGGCCTTTTCAATGGTGCGTCTTAAGACGCACCGTAGGAAAATTTAAATTAGTAGTTTGTTTTGTTTTTCGACAAAGCGCGCGCAATCATTGGCACACGCGCACGCGCGCGCGGTTGCTATAATTCGTCGGATCAGTGCGCTACATCGCGTAGCTGCAATCGGCTCAGTGAGAACGTGTCTCGGACGCTGAATTCAGGCCCAATTCAAAACATGATTCAGCAACTGTTGATTTGAAATTGAGATCCTAGAATGCTGTTTTTCTCAGAATATATACAGCTGAAGCTGAGCTGACATTTCATCAGGCTAGTTGTTCAGTATCCTTCATTAGATTTTGAAAACTTTTGTTGCTTCAAACGAACAAAATGCACAAATTACAAATGATGGACTATATCTTTAATGCAGTCGTCC